TTTTTTGAAGCAAATTCATTCAATACAATTTCCCGGTTTTTTTTTCTGTGCCAATATAACCACTCTGTGAATGGCGGTCTGGTTGCCTGTATATTTCTTGGGTACCCGTATGGCGCTTATAGGGCAGAATGCCTGACAGGGTATCATGACAGACGGGATCAGTGGAAATTATATTAAGAATGATCAGTGGATGGTCGATCTTTTCCTTTTCCTTTTATTATTTCTTCCTTTTCCGAAAATCTTTTGCGGCCCTTTCCTTTTTCCCTTGATTTTCTAGTATACCACAAACTCAAACATTCCAACCTACTTTCTACTTTGTAATAAACAAAATCTACCTCGAATCAACCAGCGCAGCAAATACCGCGGCACGAGAACATCTGCCCCCCACTTTCTTCCCCAATGACAGCTCCATGTTGTCCAGGTTATCCAGGGTCTATCAACGACCTACCGATAGAAAGCGGGTACCACTACCCACCCCGGCCACGAAAAGCACGCTAGGCTAGATTGCCGGATAGAGAAAAAACGTCAGGCCTGATCATCAATAGTTTGCTCCGACTGTGTTTGACGCATTGCCGATCTACAGCACTTATTTTACCTTACGGCCTGGGTCATCTGATATGGATTGGGAAATGCTCACTACCTAGTAGACTAGTACTGAGACCCTTCACACGGCACAAACCATCCATCCCTCGTTGGTATTACCTCATGTCGACGCAAGTCGGGAGACACACCCGGCAGGGAACGGCTTTCATAGGGCCTTGGGCCAGATGATCATCACGGGTCGACTAGTCAATCGGATTACGAGATTTTGCCGGCCGACCGACTGGCTGGGGCCTCTCTAGGGTAGTGGGCTGTTGTTTACTCCAGACAACAGTTAGTTCTTAGGTAGATGACGACCCGGGGAGTTCGTCGTTTTCATTTTTATTTTTTTTTGTTTTTTCTTTTCTGCAAGATTAAGCAGGAGCCGACATTGGGCCTAATTTTACCTTATTCTAATCAGTCATGTCTTTTGCTTGTTATGGAAATGCTTCGATTTCTTGTCGATAAACTTGTGATCATCTCTCGTCATCTATCTTATGTAGGATATTATCCGCAAAAATTAGTCAGGTAGTATAATGTTGACACTATACCTCAGCGAATAACACTGATGAAACAATCGGCAAGAAAAACAAGAAAAAAGATTGATATAAACAAGTTAGACGAATCAACCAATGATAAATTGTAGATAGTAAAATCAAGTATGGGAAAATCAAGAAATTAAACCAATCAAACCCAAACCCACATACATCATAAGGTAGTGACTTCACCAGTGTCCGTCCGATAAACGCACGTATCACAGGCCACCTCCATCAGCACCGATTCAAGTCTGAGTCCTGGTTTTGGTGATAGTGATGGAGTGATGGAGTGATGGAGTGATGGAACCTCGTCACGTCACCGACCACGCGACAGACTCAGCTTGCAACCGACTCAACTGGCCTAAAGCTCAACTCAGGGTAATACATATTGGTTTGTGTGCTACTGTAGTATATATTGAAGCGCTTGGAGTACTGTTTGTTATGGATTAGTACATCTATCAGCCTGTTATCTTGTTTCCTGGGTAATTAGCGTGTGTTTAGAGTTTACCCTGTTCATTTATGTATGTCCTCAACGCTCTTCGCCTTTGACATACATGGTATGCTGACAATATCATTACACTCCAGTGTCTACAATATCTTGAAATGTGAGATAATATTGCAACTGCCGTTCCCCAAACATTACTTCTCTCTATCCAGAAAAAAAAAAAATAAGATAATCAAAATAAACCCAATAAAAAAAAGAAAGCGAAGCATGTAGAGAGCCCACGAGACTCGCGGCAGATACCCCCGACAGATTACCAGCCCTTTCAATCCCTGGCTAGCTCAGCAAATTGATCATAGTTGATCTATTGTTATTAGAGATATCTTCAATAGCGCTCAACTAATCAAATATCTAATATCTAGTTATTGAACATTCAGAAGGTGGCCTTATCCCAGCCAAATTACACTATTCACTGGAGTGTGTGTACTCTGAACCTACTTGTTAGCAAGCACTAGAAATACAATAGTAGGCAGATCTTACTGACTTGGGTGCGTCTGTGTCTTGGAATCCTACCAACATAGACAGGCTGGTAATAAGCGGTGAATTTCCCACCTACACCGTATTTCTACTAGCGATTGACACGCTGGGACAAAAAATTCAGCCCATGGGATATTAATTAAACTTTATATTTTTAATATACCTTTCTAGGTATCATTACTACAGTAGATGGTAGTTAACTGCGGACTTTTCCGGTCCGGTTTGGCTTTATAGTGGCTTCATTTGTCAAAATATCCTTTACTTATATAGGGAAGACACACTCATATAGCATACCAATTAGAGACAACCCTAAGATTTATTAACTCCATGAAATATCGCTTCTTCTACACTTTCTCGTTGCTATCTACACTAAGCCAAAACAGGCCATTATATCGGGTTGATATTCCGAAAGGACGCATACCCTGGTGTCAACAATCTACGTGGATAGTAGGTAGACTATCAGGACTATTAGCATTTAGTAAACGATAATTATCCACCTCTTTAAGGATAGGACTGTCATGGATATTCCATTTCACCTTCCATAGTAATCGAAACTTCGCCAGAACACCCGTTAAGTGTCCACCATTACATTGCCCAAGATACCATGTCAAAATCCAATAGTCCCTTTACTATCAAGCACTAGTTCGACAACGACAGGACAACAGCCATCCATACCCTCTGCGGAGTCACGAAAAAACTCTCCCGCTCTTCTCCTCGCGAGTGCACTTTCTACTCCCCGATTGGTTGTGCGCTTGCATGCTCGGAAGTGTCCAGTGGTCCTGATGACTGTAGGTTGCTAATGCCTCCTAATCAATCAGCCGGTCACTAGGCAGTGCAAAGTCCTGTGCAGTTTAGAGAGCTGCAGACCGCGGATAAGAGACGACATATGCGACATCAGAGGGGAAAATCGTCTAGCGTGTGGTACGTGTTTCTGTTTCGTAGCGAGACATGAACTTGGAATCGTGAAGGGGCGTGCGAAACGGCGGCAGTGAAATAATTTTTTTGTTTAAAAAAAATGAGAGTGAAAAAAGAAAAAATCATGTCTGTGGATCGCACGGTGTCTACTTTCTCCCAAAATGGTATCGCGATATATCCGTGGGCGGTGCCATCTGGGCTTCCAATCTCATCTCTGCGTTTTGGCTGAAATAGTGGGCCTCCTGTGGCACGCGCTGCACATTTTAGGTCTCTCGACTCATCCCTCCTCTCCGGTTAGGATTCCCTCTCCTCTCTTTTCTCCCTTTCAGAGATGGGGAGACGGGCGGCCAGCGAACTACGACGCCGTCTTCCATACACACACACACACACACACACACACACACACACACACACACACACACACACACACACACACACACACACACACATATACACACACACTCTCCATCGTAGATTGTCTTAAAACCGCTAGCAGGACTAGTGGTAGGATCCCTCTTGTGTAGGTGTGTCAGGGGAAATTTAGCTCTCGGCGATCGCGGGTTTGCTATCTGCGTCCCAACTTGCCTATCAGACTGAAAGGCAGCCCTGCATTTTACAGGCGGGAAGACAAGACTTGCTTTGCTCGGGGCCAAGAGTGGCTGGGATATCCACCTGGCCAGGAAGCGGATCTCTCCGGATCTTGGTCTCGCAGGCTTGTCCAGAGAGGTCGTTAGATGTGTTTCTGTTGGGGAAGATGACGTGCGAAATTTCGGTTACGCGGTTGGGGGCGGACGTTCTTCCTGATGCTGGTTGGTTTGGTTTCTTGTTGCTGGTTCATTGGACCGTGTATTTAGGGACATGGCGTTGCAGCCTGTACTGGTCATGTCACGCCGGAACTCGGAGAAGGGAATGTTTCCGCATTAAGAGACGAGCAGGGTCTGTTCCGTGCAGATCGTTGTGGAGAGAAGGATGGCTGTGATATTCGAGATATCTAGTCCGCTGTTTGCTTGACAGGGGGCTTTGGGCCAGTCGAATAATGTGGTGATTGGGACCTTCGCCCCAAGACAGCTACAGATTTATCAAAACTATTGTTAGTTAGAAGGCCGCGTATAGTTAGTATAAGTTAGGATTAAGACAGGAAACGAGGAGGCCTATAGCGATGAGGACCGTTGTTCAGCAAAGCCTGTAAAGATTCTTCCCGTTAAATGTCCTTTGCTATCCTCTGGTGGACGATACAATGGGCGACTTCGTCAAGGTGCTACCGGAGAGGGCTCCCCCAGAGAAATTTCGAAACGGCGATCTGGACACTGACTCGTATCATGGAGGCCAAGTCGGGCTAATGGAGTATGGACGCCAATTCTTGGGTTTCCCATGGTTCTACTATGAAAGCCACGCCGTCTGCCCCGTGTGCTTCGTAATTAGTTCTGATCCATTCTGTCCGCGTGGAAGCTTGTCAGAGGTTGGAACGTCACCTATAACATGGCAGTGAGAGAATCATTCCTCCAAAACAAGAAACCTGATACCAGTACCACCCGTCTCCTTTTGATTCCCGCGTGTTTGTGGTGGAGAAGAGGTGGAACCCGGGATCTGCTTGCGTAAGACTATTTGTCTGTTTGGATAGCGCAGGGTCATCAATCCAAAGTAACTAAGGGGCTTTATCGTGGAGCTCTGCGAGGGTGGAACCAGACAGGCTCTGGTCGAGAACGTCTATACCACCGGAGTCCGGGTGGGCATTCCATCACGACACTTTCGACTTCTTGGAAGATACACCAACCCTTCTCTTCGATTCGATGTCAAGGCGTCACTAAACTCGTGCATTGGACTTGACCCCTTGTACTTGTTCATTTTTTTGTATCTCCCTCTTCTTCTGAGATCTTTAATGAATTTTTTTTTTTCTTTTTTTTTTATCTTTGTCCTTTTTCGCTTCCGATTTCTCTCTCTTATTTTCCGCTTTGCATCCCGCCATTACTTTGCCAGCTGGTCATACTGAAACCTCTGCAGCCAAGCCGTACTATGTGAGCCGGAGAGGCAGACATACCTCCTAGGCCATAGGTCTGAAATAAAGGTAGCATTCCATTCGTCAAATATTGCAACAAGCACTGTGTTCATATGTCGAGAGTCCGACGAGTGCTGACAACCTCGCGCCCTAGTTATGCCGCAATTCACCTTCAAATGCAACCCCCTGTAGTGAACAAGCACCCTGGCTCTAGTCTAGGTCTTGGGATCTCGAACCATGCAATAAAGCTGCCACCACGGTGATTAGCAGGACAACGAACCCAGCCACTGAAGGCATACTGCTTTACGGGCCACGTACCATGCAAACATCGTCGCCATCTCGACACTCCATCTCCCGTCTCAGCTCAAACCCCATCTTCTCATAAATCTGCACATTAGGCTCATTCCTCGAGCTCTCCAGATAGCACTTGGCGCCCTCTTGGTCAGCGATATCGGTCACCGCCTTGAACAACAGCCGTCCAATACCCTTCCCCTGCTGGTCGGGACTGATAGCCACGATGTTGCAGAAGTAATACCCCCGCGGGTCGTCCCAGATGGCGGTCTGGGCCTCATTCTGCCGCTCCTTCCAGATCCAGTAGCGGCGCGAGATGAGCCCACCGCGACCCCAGTGAAACAGGTTGTTCAGCAGTTGTCGGTACGACAGCACCCATCCTTGCAGCCAGCTGGTCCAGCTCTCTGGCTCTGAGGGGGAGTGGGGCCGCAGCCAGCACGAAACCCCAACAACGCGCGACGGGGCCGAGCCAGCAGGACCGACCTCTTTCGCGACCTGGAAGAGGGCGTTGTCGATGCCCCAAAGACAACGTGCTTTGAGAGAGTCATAGTTTCTCTGTTGGTTGAACTGTTGTTGCACCTCATCCGAATCCCGAAGGGTCGTCGGGACCCTCGACGAGGATTGATGTTAGCCGGCGGATCTGGCCCCCCGCGGGTGGAAGACCGCATGGCAAAGCTTGGACTCACCTGGGCTTTATCAAAGACCCATAGGAAATAGGGATCTTCGGCAAATGCCTTCTGGATCACTTCGATCGCTGCAGGGATGTCTGCCTCGGTTAGGGGAGAAATCTCGATCGCCATTTTGCTCATTAGATCCTTGCGAACACAAGCGGGAACTATGATTTATTGTGGGGGTGGCGCCTGCGGTTGCAATGATTAGCTCCAGGAACACAAGCTCTATCGAACACGGAGAGAACAAAAGGGAATTCTCGGTTATCGGTGGGCTAGGGTAGGTCAGGTTTCAGACAGGGGCTGCACCGACAGAGGTGCCAAGTACGAAGTTGCACAATGAAGTCAACCGGTTACATACCTAAGTATGTACTCGAAAATCTTTCGACGGAGGAAGCATTCGTTCACTGAGGAAGGTGGGGATGGAGAGATAATAAAGGAACGGAGTTGACCCGGGAAAACAAGACACTGACACCATTCATTAGTAGGTACTTAGTACCGGAATAGCAGTAGATAGGCGCTGGATGCTGTGGAGAGGAGACCACCTGTGGTTCCGTGCGAATGAGAAGAACGACACTAATCGGAGGAAGACGCACGGAAGACAATTGACAGAAAGAGTGTCGGGATGGAACCATGGGCGCCTTACCCGTGCTGGGTAACTCCACGCGGTCTGCCTCTCCAGTCTCCACCCTGTTTCGCCTTCCTCTCCACATCCACCTCCAGCCTCATGGCCGCCTATCGGTAATATCATAGGCGTGAGTGGAGATCTCTCCCACTCAGGATCGATCTAATGATATTTACGAATTGGCAGGCATTCCCTCGTGGAAAGACATAGATTCGATAGGCAGTTGATATTATACAGAAAGCAAGGCAAGTTCTGCGTTAGGTCTGTACATGATAAGATCTATCTCTAGTTTCATATGGTAGGAGCATATCCTTCAATGCTCTAAAGAAAGTCCAGCTCATAGCTTTCCCCCGCGGCCGGCAAGTCTCAGTAAGCTATCCTGATAGCTAGTGCCCATCAATTGCCCATCCGGGCTCCACAGCCAGCTCTCGTGGATCGCGCGATTCTCCCCAGAACGGGGCGACCAGCCTTCCTGGATGAACCACTTTTTGGGAAGCTCTTCGCCCCCTGCCGTTGAATCCCAGTCGATCATCCGCAAGGCCTTTCCGTGTTGGTGGAAAACGACCGTCAAGGTCAAGCTGGCCATGGCTGCAAAGGTCTTGTAACCTAGCGCACGCGGAATCAACAGCAAGGAGTTCTTATCGCTGGAATACATGTGTGCACAGGCGTACAGGTTGTCGAATTCCCCCGAGTCTTCCCTTTTCTTCAGCTCCTCCCGGCTCGCCAGCCCTGACGCCTGCTCTAGGGGCGATCCCCGGATCGAATACATTGCTAGTTGACGGTACTTTTCCGGCCCCGACTTCACCTCGTCCGTGGTGTTGTGGTCCAGCATGTCAACTTTACGCACATCTAGTCCCGGAAATGGCGCCTCAGAGACGGCTCCACTCTCTAGAAGCTCGATCCAAAAGTCTGCGTCCACACCGACACTGGGCGGTTGGTCTTCAGGACGCCGCGCCTCGAGAACCTTCTTGAATCGTTCTTGCACGGCTGGCGGCTGGTGGCTTACCGCTATTGGTCCTTCATCCCGCTTGAACGAGCATAAACACGAGAAACAGATCTCGCCGCCCTGGCGGACATCGACAGCACGGCTACAGTATCCCTTGCCATCTCGCAAGTGACGCACGGCGTAAATATACGGAACGTCTAAGCGGCCGGGCAAGATAAATGTACCGGCAATGTCCTAGTGTTGCGGTCAGTACCTGGGTCCTTATTTATGGGTTACACCCCTCGCAGGTGGCGTCTCTTTGCCGTGGCACTTACGTGGATGACAAAACCTGCTTTGACGGTTTTGGATGCTGCGTAGGCGGACTGCGCGTAGACGTGCCCCCCGAATGCTACGCCACGACTCCCCGGGGCAAATGGGACCGCAAGTGATTGGAAGAGTTCGACCTTTTCAGGCTGGTGAGGCGGGACCTCGGCATTTCCCAGTGGCTTGAGGGCCATCAAATTGGCGAAAGACGACGGGGAGGGCGTAGACCCCGAGTCTGCAGATTCCTGCGTCATTGCGCCCGTATATAAAGTCCGGAGATAGATTGTCTGTATCGGCAAATGTTATGGCTGGTGCTGACGGGTGGGATTTAGGTATGACCAGGGTAAATAAATAGTTCCGGGGATCGGTAAAAGCTGAGGGGTCAGGTCGGGGGTGGAGTAGGTAAGATCGCAGGGCGTTCGTGGCTTGATATAGCAATGGATATTGTAATAACGCCCTTGGGACTACAGAATGATCGCGAAAGAGAGGATACTGGCATTAAATCTTCATGGGCGGATCGATGATCAATCATGGGACCTCGGTTGATGGCGGTTCTGGCAAGGTTCCCCGTGGGCAGTCGCCGATTTGCCGCTGCGGGACTCCTCCCTGTCGGTCCCTGGGGTTCCTGAAGCTGCTTGCTTTAATCCGATCCGGATTAGTCGATGATCGCAACAAATACTACAAAACCCTTTGCAGGTTCATTTCAACAACGCTGCTTGGGTTTTCATAAGAACTTTGTGTGCAGGGTCTTTTCTTTTGTTCATCTAGTTATCTATTATGGCTAAGAGGAATGTCGATGGCTTGGCAGGTTGACTGGTAGTACGCGCTAGGCGTAGAGCTGGGATAGAGTTGTCAACAGTTGCAAATCACTGGTATACAACCAATGGCATTACCAATTTCCTCTGACGATATTCCGCCGACAACGCATCCCTGGTGCGAACGGCGTGGTAAATAACGCGGGTCCCATGATCACTTCCTGCTAGTAAGCGCAAGGGTATACGCAACCAACCAACGTACTGGTGTCGAAAAACCCAGCAAATGATGAAGAAGAACGTAAAAAGATTATCATATATGCGCCTGCGATGCCGAAATGGTATGATGATACAAAACAATATCTCCGAATCCCCAATAATACAGACCCAAACAGAACTGCAGCGGTGCAGTTAATTAACCGACCCATTCAAGAAAAATCGCTTTCCAGCACACCAACCCTGACTCAAATAGTGTCGGAGATGTTGCGCGCGTGGTTCCAGGTAATATGTCCTTCCACATCCTTGATCTCCTCGAGCTTGTCGCCCAGCTTCACAACCGAGAAGCGGATCATCCGGGGATCGAGGCCGAGCGTGCGGCGGATAGAGGTCTGCACGGGTCCGGACGAGTCGAAGCGCATGATGAAATGGTGACCGTCGTTGTAGCGGGCCTGATGTTTCGTCGTGGGCTTGGGCAGTCTAAAGGTACCCCAGTTGGTGTATCCGCGGATGACGCCGCCGGAGCGGAGGACCTGGAGGCCGCAGTTTCGGGCAATTCTAGCATGTGTCAATACCAATTCTCTGGACGTTTTCAATGGATGAGGGATAGAATATATGCGCGGTTCGGGGGGCGCTGGGTAAAGACGTACTCGCGGACCTCGTGGAGGCTGCCCGGACGGACCTAAGGAGTGTGTTAGCGGACCACCGCGCCATTGGGAAACGCCGAACAGATCGGTAAAGAAGCGTCTTACAATAGCAATCAATTCGTACAGCATAATTGCGGGGCGTGGAAGGGCAGATGCGTGACGATGCCGGAGCGCAGGATGACGATAAAGTCGATAATTAGCGATTGAACCAGACAACAAGTCGAGATTTTCCCGTAACGCCGGGAGCCGCTTATCGGAGTCGCGCTTGGCACAGCTATCAGCGGCCGGAAACGTACGTAATCCGCGCTAAGCCCTTCACGGTCACTAGCACTGCTTCCCTCACTCCTCCGCGGGCATGGGATGGAGTAGATAAAGTCACTTTTGCACAATTCCCCCGCCCTTTTCCATCTTCCTTCACTCATCTTCCACTCTTACAATTCCCACTCTCTTCCTCTCTCGACACCTCGTCTCCTCCACAATGGCCGCTGTCGCCCGTTGCCTCCGCCCCTTCGCCTCGCGCGCTCTCTCCCAGCAGCTCCCTCTGGCTGGGGTCCGCAGGGTGTCGCCCGCTGCGGGTTTCCCGCGGGGAAGCATCCGGAGCTTTTCGCAGAGCCCGTTGTGTGCGTTCTTTCTCCAATTGAGTCATGAGTGGCCTCGAAATCTACCGTCTAGCATGGCGAATAGCTAATTGGGTTTTTTTTTCTTGAATATACAGCGCAGTTGAAGAAGTACACCGAGTCTCACGAGTGGATTGACTTGGCCGACAACGGCACGGGTGAGTAACATCCATCTTCTAGCTCAGCAACCACCACGACCCCGCGCAAGGACTCCCAATTGCGCACGCCCACCCTGTGTACTACTCGAGCTTTACTGACATCCCTTCTCCCAACAGCCAAGATCGGTATCACCGAGTACGCCGCCCATTCCCTGGGCGACGTCGTCTACGTGGAGCTCCCCAGCGCCGACCTGGAGGTCGCAGCCGGCGAGCCCGTCGGTGCCGTCGAGTCTGTCAAGTCCGCCTCTGATGTCCTGTCCCCCGTCTCGGGTACCGTGCTGCAGGGCAACGCCGCCCTCGAGGACAAGGCTAAGCTCATCAACGAGAGCCCTGAGGGTGATGCCTGGATCGCTGAGATCAAGGTCAACGATCCGGCTGAGCTGGATGCTCTGCTGGATGAGGCTGCCTACAAGGAGTCTATCAGCGGTGAGGACCACTAGATATAGGTAGATATCTAAGCTGCTTTTTATTGATTTCTTATTTTTTGGTTCGGGAAAGGCTTTTCCGGGTGTCTTTTTTTGTACGTAGTAGAATTGGGATTGATTGCATGTGAATTGACGAGTTCTTTTTTTCTTCTCTCTCAGTTGCGGATCGGGATTCAATGTTGTAGATGTTGTCTACCATATTATGTGCCGTAGTGTATTGTACAAGCATTCTCGGACTCTTGAGGTGTCATTGTTATTATTCCATTTTATCATCTTTTGTATCAATTGTCCTTACTGTGGTCGTGGTGGACGAGGATCCATCTACCTGCCGGGCGGCCATCATTTCATTTCGTCATTGCACCTTTCCCGTCCACGAATCACAGGACTGGTATTCGCCGACACTTCCCGAGCGGTGAGAGCTTGCATGATGTGACGATCCATTCTCAGATTATATACCCCGTGATTATGCTTCGATAATTCTTATAGTTGAAGAATCCTGCCATATATATAAGAGATGATAGATATAATACACTGAAATAAAAAACCTTTTGAACAAAGAAAACACTAGCGGTGATGTGCAAACCATGCCAGACACTCTAAATAATGTACACTATCACATGAATCATAGTCATAACCATAGCCATAATACATTCTATACAGGAGGGATGGACTCGCGGCAGATCGGGCACTGCAGCCGGAGCCGCATCCAGCTCTCCAAACAGGTGCTGTGGAAGATGTGCCGGCACGGCGTCACCATGTATGCGCGGCGACTGAGGATGGTGGTGGCTCCGTCCGTGACGCTGTTGCTGCCCGTGGACGCGGCCAAGACGGGCACCTCGATCTCCTGCATGCAGATCGCGCAGTCGAAGATCGCTTTTTTCTTGTCCTTGGGTCGATGCTTGTCATCGCCTTTGTCGTCTATTGATATGTCTCGTTCGTCGGCTCGTAATGCCCCGATGGGTAGCACTCCACCGGACTCCAGATCGTCTGACCCGGCCGCATCCCGCACGAGAGGGTGGTAGTCATAGGCTGGGGGTGCCCATCCACGAGGGATGAAGAAACGAGGGCCTAGGATGTCCTGGCTTGCCAATACCCAAACCTGGATCCATACCCAACCAGCCAGCACCAACGCCGTGGTCACATCGGGTCGCACAAATAGGACGTTTCCACGCACAGTGAGGAAGTACATGAACGGGAATAGTCGCAAAAAGCTTTGCCCGACGACAAAGTCCCATCGCAGGGCTTTGCGACAATTGCGCATGACGTTCCGATAGATCTGCGGCGTCCAAAAGGACACATAGATGAACCCAAGAGCCCGGGCGTAGAGTGCCGCAAGCTGGTTCGGCCACATGAATGACCAGATGGAGACAATAAGCGACACAAACAGGATGAAGTAAAATCGAGCATACATAGCTCCGACGTCGCTGCGAGCGTCCCGTGCGGATGGCGCAGCGGTGGCCCTGGCCGGCGGTGCCTCTTCTTCTTCGGGAGGATCCTGATCAGGCGTTAAGATGACCGGCGTTGCGCCCGAATCTCGCATCCGTGCCGCAGTCACTGGCAGTGGCAGGTCTCCAGGTCGCACGCTAGGGGTTGGGGGGTTCGAGCGACGCTCTTGTTCCCTCCGTTCTTGTTCTCTCCGTTCCGGTGCCTGCACCGCCCAGATTTCCATCATGAATTTCATGCCAATGTAGCTGACTGACAGGAAAGTGAGGAAAGAAGCGGTCGTCATGATTAAAAACGACACGGCCGGGTAAAGCTCAAGAAGGACAAACACGAGCACAAAGGCGTCTCCAAAAGCCATCAGCGCAATCGTGTAGAAGCTTACACGACTCCGGGTCGATGGAGTAGAGGACACCTTGATCTGCCGAAGAAGCAATGCTATCTGCGCAACCCAGAAGGCCGACATGAGGGATATGATACGCGCGGAGTATTTGCCAAACTCCTCCAACTTAAGCCCCGTCAGGTAGAGCGAGTCTGTTGGCGGAAATTCGGGTGTGCCTTTGGTCTCGAGTATGTAGCCACAGTCAGGAGAAAAGACCACGGCTGACATGACCATCAGTGGAGGCGATGGGATGGGGGCACCCATCGGATATCGAAGCTCTTGTTCCACTTGGTGGATGATCGACTTGTCCATCAGATAATCACGAGTCGCAACCGGATGTTGCTGTAAGTAGACAATGTGTTCACATTTGGGCGAAGGAAATTCCACTTGCTCCGTACCGACCAGCAAGGGCCAAGGTAATATTGTGGGCGGCCGATTTTGTTTCTCCGATATGGCATCGGAGAGGGACTTGACGAGGAGCTTGTGGGAGAGATCGTACCCATCGGACGAAAGTGTCAAATGCGGTAGAGCGAACACGCCGCCAAACTTTTCGCTCGAGGTCGTCAGGATGACAGCCCCGGTTTCCGGAAAATGGACCCCGTACAAGGGCAGGTGCCAGGTGTTTCCCCAGAAATCGCCGCTCTCCACAGCCAGGGCTGCGCGTATTTCCCGGATCTCGCCATTGCGCAACCGCAGCTCTTCCCCTCCGCCTTCCCGCAAGTCTAAGTAGAAGGTCCCACTGTTGCCGGTGACATTCTGGCTAAACTCGCTCGTGAAGTATTCGTTCTCCAAAGCGATGGCGGTTGTGTTCAGCGGCGGTCGATCCCCAGCCAGCTTGCGACGCACCCAATCTCCCTGAAGCTTCCCTGTCACATTCTGATACACAGGAAGAGGTAACTGCGACAGGTTGAGACCGGGTGATGGCGGTTCGAACCCGGCGTTGGATACGATAGACTGCAGTTGATCCCGCGCCCTATCCTGGACCTCGCCGAGGAGACTCCACGCGTAACTATCGTTCTTCCTAAATCCATGGTAAGGCAACCACCGATCTGCTTCGGGATTCAAGTCTCCATAGGAGGACTCATTCAGCAAACGGAGCGCCTGTCGCTCTCTTTCGAGCTCCCGTTGACGTTCTCGATCCTGCGCGACCAGCGGAGCATGCGACTGGGAATTGAGAAGAAGATAGAACACGAGGAGAAGGAAAAAGAAGGAACCGCGGTGATCCATAGATGCACCTTAGGAGCCGGGAAGCATAAGAGTCGGACTCTCCTCACGATAAAACGGTCTATACGGAGTATCGCATCGCCAGTCTCGATGGAAAATCAAAAAGGGTTCGGGGTCCAGTAGGGTACAGAGAGACCCAAGAGAAATATCAAGTGAGTAAAACGAAGATGAGAAGATGGAATCTGTAGGTAGAAATAACCCAGGAAAGACGGGTAGGTGGGTAGTATTAGTGTAAGATGGTGATGGCCGGAAGGAGTGGGGGGGGGAGTAATCGATGATGCTATGAGGGAGTCGAGGCCTTAGGCCCTCACCTGAAGGGTCTTGGCGGGTGAATTGCCCACTAATCCCAATTTAGTGATCTGCTACTCCCGCCGCAGCGCCCGCCCGGGTACTCCAGGGCCACTCCGGCTGAATTGTTAGGGAGGGAGTCTGGCTGTCCGCCTGGGTACCTTTGTGGCGTCCGTTATCTCCTCAGGCCCCGACAGATAGCCAAGTTTATCGTCGCGCGCATGGAGCCTCTTAACCATCTTCACCTTCATCGGTCCATGACTCCGCTCCACCCTACTCTTGGATTTTTGGTCTTCGTCTGATTGGTATCTTTCGCTTCCGTCATCCCTTCCAGTGCAGGTGCCAATTCCTATCCCTTCAATTCTCAGCAGGGCAAATGGCATCCAATCTTCCCATCCCTGTTCCTCCCCGCACGCCCACTCCTCCCCCCGATGATTCTCCCAACCCATCTAACCAGCAATCTGGCTTCGATGTTGGTAACCATGATGCTTTGTCTCCTTTAGCGGAGGACTTACCGACTCCGCGATCGCCTCGGGATGGAGAGAATCGTAGTCGGTTGAGTCCTCAGCGGTCTTCCTTCAACCTCAGTCCTTCAGATGCTACTGGCCAGAACGACAATGCGTCTGCGGGACCCTTTAACTTCAAGACGGCGACGATGGCCAAAAGTCCGGTCGTGAAATCGGTAAGTCTGGAGAATTGCCTATTTTTCTCGTCAAAGAGTGCGACGCTAAAGCGGTTGTTTGCATTATCAGAATATCGGACAGCGGCGCGGACACAAATACAAGCATAGCAGTATCTCCCATCAGATATTTCTCGAGCCCCCGCCGCGAGCACCTCTAGCACTGCCCAATTCGTTGCCGATCCCGACCTTGAAGGAATACCGAACGAGTATGTCGAAGGAGCAAAAGACGCGATTTTGGTGGAGTGTCTGCCACATGTTTGTGGCCGCCTACACTCTCTGGAGTGCGCATGGGTCGCTAGCGATGACAGCCCTGTCTCACTTGATTCTCTTCGATTCACTTGGGGCGCTACTTTGCGTAGCGGTCGATGTGTTGGGCAACTTTGAGGTGTGGAAGAGATCCAGCATCCGGCATCCATTTGGACTGGAACGTGCAGAAGTGCTGGCTGGGTTCGCAATGTGTGTCCTGCTCCTCTTCATGGGGATGGACTTGATTTCACATAGTCTTCAGCACTTTCTCGAGTCCTCGGGGCACGAGCCTCACCACCCCCACCCCCACGAGCGCGTTTCGGTAGGAAGCGTGGATATCACTGCGTTGCTTGCCATCTCATCAACCTTGGTGTCGGCGATTGGGCTCAAAAACCATGCCCGGATAGGAAAAGCCATGCGTTTTGGATATATCGAATCGCTTCCGTCGGTACTGAGCAACCCGTCGCATTTCCTGACCCTCTCCTGCTCTACGCTGCTTCTGCTGCTTCCACTGGTGTCAATCAAGCTTTATAATTGGCTCGATGTCTTCCTGTCTAGCACCATCTCCATCTCGATGTGTGTCATCGGCGTGCGTCTGGTCAAGACACTAGGCTCTATGCTTCTCATGTCATACTCAGGCCAAGGTGTCAACGATGTCATTCGGGACATTGAAGCTGACCCAAACGTCCTCGGCGTTGACGATGCCCGCTTCTGGCAGGTGCATTATGGCCTGTGCATGGCCAATCTCAAGCTGCGGGTTTCTGGCTCGGAAGAGAACCTCATCCGTCTCCGCGAGCGTATCTCCAGCTTGATCAAGAACCGACTAGGTGGTGGGTATGGAACTGGCGGCCAGAAGTGGGAGGTGTCTTTGCAGTTTGCGGTTGAGCGGACATAAATTTTGCCATGGTCCGGACCTGTACATCAAATCCATGGTACCTTTTTTTTTCAATATACATGTTTGGACACTGTTTGAGCTTGAGACTATCGTATACATTATTTTCTACTCATTGCTTTTCTTGTAGCAGGACACGGTGCTGACCAGCCAAGCATTGGGATCAGGGCGCTCTTCGAAGACAATTTCACCAGTCCATGCATATAATAAGCATTACAGTAGCAGAGTTATTGATGATTCATCAAGTAGGACGGCTAATATAAACCAATGGGTAAATATGTGGTCCCTATATACCTACCAGGCGTAGCCCGTGGATTGCAAGACATGCTTGCCCCAAACCAGCCATTCGACACTCAGCGCGAAACGTATATCCCCACCGCAGCGAGAAACAAATAGAGAAGACGAATTGAGCATTAACCATTCAATTGAATTTTAGTACACCGAAGGGGCAGGTCAACCGAGACCGCGCCCGTCCGCCAGTCCACACAACTCATCACCTTTCCCTAGCCAACTTGACCAGGGCAAAAGGGAAAAAAAACGATAATGAAAAAGAAAACCAGAACAGAACTGTAACAGAAATCAACCACTATATGTACAGCCCTTCCTTCACGCCGTCGCAGCCAGAGAGCCAGCCTCTTGCACCTGGTTGTCCCTTCTCCGGCGCTTTTCGAGGATCGCTTCGCGGCGCTGGGCCAGGATCCGGAGCTGACGGGTCTCGACGCCCTGCAGCCAGTAGCCGAAGCTGCCACCGACTCCGGCGAACAGAGGGTACACCCAGAGGGATTCCTTGGCGAGGATGGGACGCATCTCGATACCGAGTTGCCAAAGACGGACGGCGATGCCTAGGGATCGATGTGTTAGCTGGAGGTATGGTAGCGGGCCCGCGAGATGGCGCGTATGTCGACAGAAGGTCCGGATTAAGTTGAAGAGGTAGTGTACATACCGAAGCCGCCCCAGAAGAGCACCTTGTGGACCATTATGAATGTGTTGCGCGGACGGAGGAGGGGGGCAGGTTCGAGCGAAGAAAACCCGGCGAGAGGGTCGGGTCTGCGAGGAAGTCGGGGAGGGAGACTTCTCCGGATGAAGCTCAAACAGTCAATTCACGGTCTGGGCGTGAACCGGCGGCGCAATTGGTGGTTATAGGTGATCGTCCGGTCGAGGTGATGTTGACGGTTTGAATGTTCCTTACCCAACTCATCGAATCATGGAGCCGCAGTTCCCAATCCGCGGATTAACAATTTGCCGATCTGAGTTTCCCTCTACGGTTTAGTCCGCCGAGCCCGGTCGGTCTTGCTGAACTAAGGGAAAATGAACCAGTCAGTGTTATCATTCTCCGGCCTTAGCACTGGAGGATCCATCTTGCGCCACGCGCTTTCTCCGCTGTGTATTTCGCGCTCTCTCGATCCCTTTCTCACCGGGTTGTTGCGCATTCTCTTTGCGCTTCTCGTTATGGCTGGTCCAGAGGAGATGACTGATGCACAGCCCGCGAGCGCAAAACGCCCATCGATCGATGTCGACAGTCTGCAACGGAAGAAGTTCAAGACCGATGAGCTACCCTTGTCCGCCGCGAAACACTCCGCGATCGAGGATCTACTTCATTCGTTCAAGAAAAAGGGTGGATTCGATAATATACGGAAAAAGATCTGGGCCGATTTCCACGATGGCGTACGTTTATCTCATTTTATCTATCCTGTGGATTTGTTCCAAGCGTCTTTCTTGCCCATACTAACCATTCCGATTGCAGGAGAAAAAAGTGGAATTTACAAACCTCTTAGTGGAGTTGGCAGAAACGGAAATCGATCGCGAACCGGGCCTCCTCTCCCGCGAGCGCGGTAAGGCTGCGACCTTGATCGAAGGCGCCGTGGACCGAAGCGATATCTATAAAACTGTGGAGAAGTCACTAGACTCGCTAGCTTCGAATTACCTACCCACCATTCTAGATTCGGTCCGTGATATTCGTCGGCAAGAAATTGGCGACGAGGTTGCACTTGCGGAAGAACAGGCTGGAAACAAAACAGACGAAGACTACGCCGCCCATGTCAAGGAATTACGTGACGAGCGAGAGAAAATATGGCAGGAAACGGTCCGGAAGCAGCGAGAAAAGGAAGAGGAAGAAGCGCGGAAAAAGGCAGAGGAGGATCGAAAACGTCGCGAGATTGAGCGACAGAAAGAGGAAGAAGACCGGGCCAGGAGGAGGGAGCGCGAGGATGAGCGACGGGCAGAGCAACGCGCAGTGGACGAGCAGAGAGAAAAAGAGCGACAAGAACGGTACGAACGGCGACGACGGGAAGACCGAGACAGATACCGCGACTGGCATGACCACAGTCGCACAAGAGATCGTGACTCGGACCGAGATCGGGATAGAGACAGGTATCGCTACCGTGACCGCTCTCCCGGCTATCGCTCCGACCGTGGTTTGTCTCCGCGTTATCGCGACGCCCGAAAGGAAAAGTCCGCGACGCCAAAAGAACCGACACCTGCTCCTCCGCAGCCGCCGGCGCCCCCCGTGGATGAGAAGTCGTTGGAAGAAGCAGCTTTGCAAATGCTCCTAAGGGAAGGTGAAGAGCTGGCAGCCAAAGCTCGCCAGAAGCCAGAATTCGACTTCGAAGAAGCAGAGGCGATTGAGAACGGTTTAAAACCCCCAACGACCAAACCGAAAGCAACTTCGGAATCGAAACACGCCATTACTCCTTCCAAGGCAGAGAGTCCAGCTGGCGAGACCGATTCTAATCGACGACGAGAGACGACAACAACGGACGAGCACCACCGCACTCGCCGACGCGACAGAAGCCGCAGCCGCTCCCGGAGAAGGTTTTCACGATTAGACGATGATCGCCAGGATTCGCGGGATGCATCTGCTCGACCTCGCGATCGGGATTCCGGAGAACGGCTTCCGATTCGCGACTTTCGAGGGGACCGCCGAGAAGATCGTCGAGAAGATCGCCGAGACGATCGTCGGGAAGACAGATTTGGCGATCGCAGCTATCGACCCGGAAGGCGGAGCAGGAGTAGGTCAACCACGCGCGGATATGACAGGGATCGGGAACGAGACCGATCTAGGGCGCGATATCGCGATAAGAGTACCGAACGGGAGAGAGATATCCGGCGTGACACCCGTGATCGGGACTTCGACTATCGTCGAGACCGCAGCCGCGATCGTGACAGGGATCGCAGGGATCGAGACCGTGATCGGGACCGCGACCGCGATGAGTATCGTCGACGACGATATCGTTCTCGCTCCCGCTCACAACATCGAGGACAAGGGCGGGATCAGGAACGTGAGCGAGACCGTGACAGGGAACGTATGCGTGGTGAGCGCAGTCGAGACAGGCAGAGGGACAGCGAGCGGGTCAAGGAACGTGGCGGGGAGCGTGAACGTGAACGTGAACGTGAGCGAGAGCGAGAGCGAGGTAGGGAAGGCGAACGGTCGCAGTCGCGTGTATCAGCCTCTTCTCGACGACGCTCACGATCTCGCCGGCGGTCTCGCTCCCGTCATCCTTCTCCCAGTCTCCTCGACATCGACCGCTACGTGCCTGTAACAAGCAATCGCAGCCGATCTCCTCGTCGCCGAGTTCGCTCTCAAGATCGGGCAGATGAACGAGAACGTGATCGAGATCGAGATCGAGACCGAGACCGAGAACGGGACCGTGACCGAGACCGTGATAGAGAGCGGGAGCGGGAGCGAGAGCGGCGAGGATTTGTGGAAATCGACCGGTATGTCCCTGGTGGCGCCGAAAAGACGCCAACTAGACCTCCTTGAACGACCAGAAATGACACAGTCTTTGGCTGTCAACTTTTGTCTTTGATCCTAGCCCAAAGTCCTAACTATAATGTACACATACATACACATCTCTCCCCAGCGGCCTGGACGCCTTGCGGGGGGGCTTTAGCAGCATTTGTGATCCTGGGCTTTGAGCGTCTACTGCATTTTTATAATACATCGAGGCTCTGTGAGGATAAGCCGGGTCCAGTATTCCTTAAAGAATATGTACTATTAATGAGAATTCCTAATGATGGCACTACCGTTGAGATTCTCTTGCTGTGTCTTTCTTCTAAGTCCTCTCACGCACTTCAAATACACGAAGTACTCAATACACAAAAATTGCTGTAGTTTGTTGTTTCCCCCGCTGCCAGGTTTACATAGTCTACACCATATCAACTATATGGAGATCGGGACAACCTATTCTACAGCCATTTATTGCTTGGTATGACATCGATAAAGATACAATACTATAATCTGGACCCAGGCATAGATAGTACATTGTCGCGACAGCGAGTATAGAACTATAATTGATATTCATTTCCTTGTCTGTTTTAGATCAATAAAAAGAAGATCCTCTCGGGAAACGATAACATCGCGGGGTATATAAAAACACAAAAATAGTCGCGCCCGGGATCGAACCGGGAACCTTCTCAGTTAACAATATTTGTGAATGAGAAATCATAACCATTAGACCACGCGACTGTCGATGTATGATTTGTAACCACAAGTGATTGAATAGGGGAAAAATACTTTTACCATGTGGACTAGCTCAGTATTGCATACTGTAGTTCTATAACGCCTCCAGGGACTCATTTATGTTCAATAGCCTGGTGTATTATAAAGTGGAAGAAATAATGACATATTTGTTCAAATCATGCCTATCACCCATTGAATATTCCCAGTCTAATGTGGCTGTACAAATCAGGTTCCCTGTCTGATCCACAGTTTGTGAGTAAAGAGAAACATGCGCTCTGTTGAGGTCAATAATGGATCAATAGTCAATTGACCACTCCCCCGCCAACTCCATCGCCTCCTTATACCCAGGGTTTTCATCGTGGCGACGATAAGAATACGAATAAGATGAGGACTCGGGCCCTGCAGCGGGCAATCGCAGCTCAGGTGATAAACGGTCGATAGCTGTGCACTCAAGTGCTTTTATGGAGCGGTCGTTGGAGCCAAGCTTGTGCCAGATACTAATGAGATGGGAGTTGAAGCGGACGGTCATGGATATACCAAGGACATGGTCGTGTTCTAGGGTCGTAAGTATAAGTGTGTGCATACATCGCGATAAACACCTGTATAGAGAAAGTATAGAGAGAAGAGAGAGAGAGTAGACAATACATACCCTTCTCAACGACCGCCTGGAACTCATTCGCCAAGCACAGCACAGCCATCTCGTGGAAAAACGCCTGCGCCTTACCCTTGGGCACGCGAAACATCCAACATCCACCCTGGGCGTTCTCCGGATCCTCCCAGATGGGACGCACACCTTTCCGGAAGATGTGCACGGAGTCGCGCATGCGGATCTTATGCCATGGGTAGTTGTTGTACACGCGGTAGAATGTCGCAATATCAGAGACGTCCTCGTGTAGTAGGTATAACTGGTTTCGGTAGGTTGATGGGGTGGCCATGTTCTCTGCGTGCTTGTCGTACCAGACGGCCCAGTGGTATTGGAATGGCAGTGGCCGGAGCTTGCTGACGATGTTCTGGTGGAGGGTTTTCCGGGTTTCTGCCGAGAGGGGCTCTCCTTCTTTTGGGGTTGGGTCTTCGTCGATGGGCTCTAGTTTGAGCGAGGGCGCAGCCATGGGTGTTTCTTGTGATAATCTAAGCACACTCATACTTCCGTTTGGGTGGGTGATCGATTCGGTCAAATGTATGTAGTGTATATGGCCAGGCTGAGGACGGGTGACGTCTTCGGAGTATAAGTATACTAAGAATGGAAGGGCCAGAATATGGCCAAGCGTTGGAAAGCCCCAGCAGAGCTGAGAACAATCACCGCAGCCCTATCAATAGCAAGTCAATGGACGAGTTTGTCTATTGTTGGTTTCAGTCACCAGACACGGATGATTGGGAACAGGAAGAATCCGTACAGGCTGGATTGACGCCACGGATAGTATGAGCGAATTCGAGGCTCTCAGTAGCTACATAAGACATATTACTCGCGAATTTGAAAGAGCCTAACGTCGCATCGCGTGATAGCCAGCTTGTTCCAGTAGAAATCCTGAGGCCGACACCATGCTGGGGTGTCAAACGCTCTCCATCAATCAGACAATGATGGTGGAACAAATAATCTACCATTGAGGGGACTCAACCACGCAGAAACCACTTCGAGATTGTTTCAGCCTTCTCATATTTCCCTAACCGCCAATGTTCATCACTCGGTTGCCTGTCAACGTGATATCTTTGAACGAGGCTCTCGAGAATGAATGGACCTCATAGATCGGGCTGCCGCCGACCTTAGTCAGGCGATCCACCAATGAGCGGCCCCCCATCTCGATAAGGATTTATCTCGCGCGATACGCCCGGCGTTCCAAAATATCTCCAATCCTGCAGCGCGGGGCCATAAAAAAAAAAAGAGCACTCAACACCACTACCTAATTCCAACTTAACACAACCTGAACAGCCAATCGACTGACCAACCAACCATGGCCGCCAACCCCGCACAAAAGCGCACAGATCTCGCTCACCGGCCAGCGCCATCAGCCTCGAAACGCACCGAAGCGGATTTTTCCTGCGACGACGATGATGACGACGATCCGACCTCGTCGTCGGGTTCCGATTCGTCTGATTCAGACAGCGACAGCGACAACGGTGCAGAGAGCAACTTCGAATCACGAACCTCTGATCGTCGCACCGACGCGCAGGGGTCTGACGTCCCGCCTAGCGTTCCTGGCCGTCCTAGACCGTACATCCACCGTATGAAGCGCGATAATGGTCTCCTTGACCGCCTGTCTACTTTCCTTCCGCAGATGAAGAGCGCGAATGAGGATCTTCAGCGGGAGATTGAGGCTGGGAGGGGACGGGATGTTCGTCTGGATGAGGCGGACGAGGGGAATGACGGGAGGTATATTGAGATGGTGAGTGGAAGTCTCCTTCTTCTGGGGGTGTATTTATACACCAATTGAAAATAGTGTATGGCTGACTTTGGTTGATACCCCAGAACCTCGGCCTAGGCGTCCTAGAAGAAAAGCGCGATGGCGACAATTCCGACGAAGAGGACGAGAAAGATCACACCAATAACACAAACCCCCAGAATCCCGAGACAGCGGCTCCCGACAATCAGGCCAAGGAGACGGACGTTTTGGGCAAATTGATGGGCAATCAAAATCATGAGTCGTCCGCCGAGAAACCCTCTATCCAGGAGATCAACGAGTGATGTACCCAGCGGGGGAAGACCTACTGTCGCGCGATATTACATTGAATTGCATGGGCTGGCGTTCCCTACGGATTCCGTGTTTTTTTTTTTTTTTATACTTGCATGTTATATGTATCTACGTGTGGGAGTTTGGTGGTTTCGATTTGCTTTCTCTTTATTGGTCTTTTTTCTTCTGTCTGATTTTACATTAGAAATGATGTTGTGACCAAATGGACATGTGCTATGGCTCATGGTAGCTACATCTGGACAAAAAACAATGTATAAAATCTCCATGAACTTTCTCAATTCAAACTCAACTCAATGTCAATTGATTTGATCCCTGTTGAACACCATGTATAACTTCACCAAATCTAATGCGACAAACAGATAAATGGCAGAATGGTAAATGGCCAAGCCCTATTTGCATGAAGGAAGTGACAGCGTGGCTTGCACCCGTCAGAGATAATTAAACATGAGACAGAAAAATAGATAGGGTAGTTGGTTTATCTCCGTAATCGCCGTGATTCATTAAACAATCTCCTTCACCCGGCAGGTCCAGCCCGATTCCTGGCTCAGAAGGGGCAAGCTGTTTGTGTTCGTCAGTATGTTGATTACGAGTCGCCATCGGGGTGGTTTCTTACCTTGCACCAAGACACCAGCCAAGTTCGTTGTTCTTGATCTTCTTCGCAATCTTGACTTCACGCGACAAGGGCATATCGTAGCCCGTGTGCAAGAGTCCCAACATGAAGTTCAAATCCAGGCACCATTCGGGGCGACCCTGCAGCTCCGGCAGTGCTCCCTCGATGCCCTCGAAAATCTTCCAGGACGGGGCACCGGCACAGACCGTCGAGGTGAGGTCGTGAAGCTCCGCCAGGGTGAATGAGTCCGGCATGCCCAGGGGTCTGGTGCGGTCGAAGAAGTACGAGAAGACGTATACGTCCTCACGAGAGAAGGTCTTCTCGAGCGACGGCTGGTGAACTCCGTTGAAGGAGCACGGGGCCAGAGTGCAGTCGGCATCCTTCTTGAGGATCTTCTCCGTGAGCCCACGGCACTGAACAGCCGCGAGAGAACCTTCCTTCGGGCCCTCCATAGTAACCGTAACCTCGGGTCCGAGCGGATGATCGTGAGGGAAAGTCAAGGTAATATCACGGCTCATGCCTGGCCCAATGCACGGGTTAGAGATGGGCTGTTTCAACCAAGCCAGATCCTTAGTGCCCATGGCCAGCTTTGCTTCGACGATTGTCTTGTGGACAGCCTCGCGCGCAGCCATGAGACCATAACCCAGATGCGAGTGCTGATAAAGCTCGAAGTATCGGCCACCAAAGTCAAGAGAGTACTTGTGGTCGCCCTCCGCCAGTCGCTCTGGCATCCCGCCGGACTTGCTCTTTTCGAATGTGGGCTGGAAGACGATTTGAGTCGAGCCACCACCAAGGTCAAAGATAGCAGCCGTCGGAGTCTCGTCTGGCCCGCCAATCTTTCCAAGAAGGTAGTTCGTGGTAATCCAAGCGTAGACACCTTCGTCGGAGCCGTCCATAATCGCAACGCCGTTCTTCTCGCGGGAAACCACGGGGAAGGGATAGACGGTCTCCAATCGAGCCCGCACGGCCTCCAAGATGTTCTGGCTCAACTCCGGGCCAAGCATACGCAGACCCGCGGTGGCTTTCACGGCGACGGGAGAGCAGGTCTTGTACTCATCAGGGACAGACCGCAGAGCCGCCTGCATGAGGGGATCGAGACTCTTCGCTGCGCCCTCAGCATCTTCCTTGTATGCGCTCAGCCCAGAGCCACCGGCTCTCTTTTCAGTCTGTTCGAACACTTCATTTTCGAGTTCGGGAGTGGAACCGCAGTTGTTGAATCGATAGACGTGGATACGAGAACCTTGGCTTCCCGCGTCGATCATCAGGGCATATTGGATCAGTGGCTTTGACGGGTCATGGGGTTTGGTGCACCTGTCCGTTAGAGGCGCGGCGGTGCCGGGGGACGCTGTTTCTACGATGTGATCGTTAGTTGGCTGACCTCCAAGCCAATTCAGTCGACCAGACAGCAGTAGACAACTTACGGGATCCGCTGACACTCGCCACAGACGACTTCGAGGGAGATAACCAAAACATCATCATCAACAGAGCACCAATGATGGCACCTGTCTTGAGGTACCGAGATCGCTGACTCTGTGCCATGGTTGCGGTAAATGGGTTGTCAAGTGGTTTGTCCGATACGTTGTTCAGGAAGTCGATGGGGGCGCTCGCGGCCTCGGAGGCCCGTGAATTTGAGCGTTTACTCGGTCGTGACCCTGGGTGTGAGAAAGACGAAGTGTTCTTCAGATGCCGACCGTCAACTCCGGTCGACATGCGAGCGAGACCGGAAACGTAAAGCTAAGCGAGCGGCCTCTCAATCCGGAGACCTGTCGGCGTGGTTCTGTTCTTACCAACGATAAGAAAGATGGATTAGCGGCGGAAAGGAGAAACCATAGATTCGCTCCAAGACCTCCAGGGCAAATCAACCAAGGCTTGTGAAGGGAATAAAAGACAGAGCGAGTGAGAACCAAGCGAATGAATCCCTAGAGGGCGAGTGAGTGAGAAGACCCAGGGAGGGAGAAAGAGAAAAGAGGGAGAGAGAAAGACCGGAACAGAAAGGAGGCCCCAGTCGCCGAGAGCCCTTTGAAACGTTCTGGATCCGCCCACGGTGGCGCACACCACACACCGTCGAGTCTCCGCGGTCGAACTCTGGAACCCTCTGTGGCTCAAGCTCCGCATGCGTCAGTCCAACCTCATTTCCTCGTGTCCACTCCATTACCCTCGATCTCTCCATTGTATTTCCCTAGATCAGATGAGGGAACGGTTCGCCCACGTCTGAATAATATTATTGTTCTCGTGATTGTGGTTGGCATTTTTATTATCTCATTGAATCATTAGCGGCTCCGCCTTGTTCGCACCTGGAATTCCTCTGGCTCATTGTCGCTCTCCCTGTTCTTCCGGGACCATCCACCTACGCCCACTTGGTTTGGGTCAATATGAAGCACATTCGGGGTCTCCTTTCAACGACACAAGCCCTCCGTCGAACATTCACCACCGATGCCACTCAGTTTTCACTTCTCCGCCGCCCTATATTCCACCTCCGCCCCGTCCATCCTCTCTATCCGCCCGTCGTACGGAACCTTCCGCAATTGCGATGCCTAAGAATACCTAGGCGGCAACCTCCTGCGCAAGACGAGTCGCAACAGTTCAAAGATGAGCAGATCGGGGTGCCGCATATTCAGCTGGTCAACGAAGAAGGTCACCTAGACCCTCCTACGAAGCTTCGGGATGTCTTGAACTCTATCAACCGTGCCGAGGAATTCGTGCTCCAGGTGTCTCCCCCCCTGAGCGACCGACCTCCGGTATGCAAGATTATGAATAAGGCTGCGATACGGGAGTACGAACGCAATAAGGTAAAGGCTGCGAAGGCACAGAAGTCGCAGCTCAAACAGATAGAGCTGAATTGGTGCATCAGCAATAATGACCTCTCCCACCGCATGAAGCAATTGGCGAGCTTTTTGGAGAAGGGTCGAAAAGTCGAGGTCCTTTTGACTCTCAAGAAGAGGAAACGGGCCCCCACCATGGAAGAAGCGCAGAACACTTATAATCGGGTGATGGAGGTGGCAGACGAGTCTAATGCTGGTCTGGTCAAGCCGATGGAAGGGGTTCTGGGAAAGCAGGTCTTGATTATATTGAAGAGGAAAGACTTGATGTAAAATAAAATATAGTTTCATTACATACAGGGTGTATATTGTCAATCCTGTAGGTACTGCCAAGTACCTGACTACTACGGGAGCTGCACAGGAGTCTTTGTATACACAGATGTTCCAGGTCTATGCCGAGCGATGCCCGTAGTGTACGGAGTACTCCGTATGCCTCCACTATATGTATTCTCATCGTTCAACGATAACCAACGTCCCTTATCCAAAACTATGGAAGACGCCGGATGCGCTCAACCAATAGTCTTATGTAGACTCCCTGGCAGTTTGACCGGTCAATGGTCGAGGAAGAAGTCACTATTCCAGCATCAAGAGTTAATAGCAGGCCAGGCACTTCCGCAATCCCGCCACCCTCATTGGACGGGTCCCTGCCCTGACTAAGCGCCTCCCTAAATTTTTCGGGTTCGGGCAACTGGTCCAGGCGGTCCTGATCATATTTCCTTTCTCTTCTCCATCGCGTTTCCTTTGGTATCTTTGTCGTCGGTCTTTTCATCAGTACCAGGCAGCCATCATGTCGAGCATCTCCAGATCCGCAAACCTTCTTATGCGCAGCAGCAGGGCTTCCCTGCTGCGTCCCAGCGCTGTCAACCCCGTCCAGCATCTCTTCTGCAAAGATCGCCTGGCTGCCCGTGGTTTGGCCACTGCTTTCGAGCGTACCAAGCCTCACGTCAACATCGGTATGAAGATATTCTCCTTTTCGCCAACTGATTTGAATATCGCTCGGTTGTTAACGAACACGGAATAGGTACCATTGGTCACGTCGATCACGGCAAGGTGAGGATTGAATTCTTTTCACTGTTGCGCTCCCCTTGGTGCCCGGCCTGTCTCTAACCAACATGTCCTCGTTAGACCACTTTGACCGCTGCCATTACCAAATACCAGGCCTCCAAGGGTCTTGCCAACTTCCTCGAATACAATGCCATCGATAAGGCTCCCGAGGAGCGCAAGCGTGGTATTACCATCTCTACCGCCCACATCGAATTCTCGACCCAGGACCGCCATTATGCCCACGTCGACTGCCCGGGTCACGCCGATTACATCAAGAACATGATTACTGGTGCGGCCAACATGGACGGCGCCATCGTCGTCGTTGCCGCTTCCGACGGTCAGATGTATGGTTCAACCGAAATGAGAATCAGTGGGAATGGAAGGATGATGCTGACTTGCAAACCAGGCCTCAGACCCGTGAGCACTTGCTGCTCGCTCGTCAAGTCGGTGTCCAGAAGATCGTCGTGTTCGTCAACAAGGTCGACGCTGTGGATGACCCCGAAATGCTGGAACTGGTCGAGCTGGAGATGCGTGAGCTTCTCTCCACCTACGGTTTCGAGGGTGAAGAGACTCCTATCATCTTCGGATCTGCTCTTTGCGCTCTGGAGGGCCGTCGCCCCGAGATCGGTACCGAGCGTATCGACTCCCTCCTCGAGGCCGTTGACACCTGGATCCCCACCCCCCAGCGTGACATGGACAAGCCTTTCCTGATGTCCGTTGAGGAGGTGTTCTCCATCCCTGGCCGTGGCACTGTCGCGTCTGGCCGTGTCGAGCGTGGCCTTCTGAAGAAGGATAGTGAGATTGAGATCATTGGTGGCAGCAACGTCCCCATCAAGACCAAGGTCACCGACATCGAGACTTTCAAGAAGTCTTGCTCCGAGTCTCGTGCCGGTGACAACTCCGGTCTTCTCCTCCGTGGTATCCGCCGTGAGGATGTCCGCCGTGGCATGGTCATTGCCGCTCCTGCCAGCACCAAGGCCCACGACAAGTTCCTGGTGTCCATGTACGTCCTGACCGAGGCGGAAGGTGGTCGCCGTACCGGATTCGGCGCCAACTACCGTCCCCAGATGTTCCTGCGTACTGCTGGTAAGTAATCCTCGTCATGCTACAATCCCGCCGACTCCTTCTAATATATGATCTTTCGCAGATGAACCCGCCGACCTGAGCTTCCCCGGTGAGGACCAGTCCCAGCGTGTGATGCCCGGTGACAACGTCGAGATGGTCCTCAAGACCCTTCGCCCCGTCGCTGCCGAGGCTGGCCAGCGTTTCAACATCCGTGAGGGTGGTCGTACCGTGGCCACTGGCCTGGTGACCCGCGTCATGGACTAAGTTGACACTCGAGTCGGGGGGCTGCTTTGCCCCATAAAACACTTGCTTCCAGGGTATTTTTAGGTTACGCCGTCATCGCGTGGGGTTCCGGGAGATGTCGATACACCCCTGATGGTGGTTAGGGCCGGAGTTCTTGAGCCTTGTCATGTCCTTGTATCTGTATTATTGTACTCAAATATGTAGAATTCCTTTGATCACTCCCCTCTTATAGTTCTTATCATGTCTTGAATATGAGACCAATGACTTTCCACGTTTTGGCATGTTGTTTTGTCTATCAGTATATAACAGCCAATGTTAAACTACACTTGCCGTGGCCTTGAATCAGCCTGAGAATATGTATAGCAGGTCAACTTGGTTGAAATTCTCACGTATCATCCGTGGCAAGTACGGGTAAGTGCCTGAGGCATCCATCTTCCCATGACGGAACACGCCATCCCAATTCGAGTGCTGCAGCCTGAAACCACAGGCACCAACGATGATGCAGTTAAGTGTACCTTTAGTCAGTTGTTCCCCTTCGTGTTCTGGCACCAACACCCTCGAGACCCCCAAAGCAGCTAGCTAACCATCCGACCTCGGGCGCAATCATCCATTGTCCTCATGTGCTCCAGCCTCGTGATTACTTAGTTCTTCGATCACTTTAGGATCGGCATTAACTGTGGTTCTTTTTGTCATATTGTTCGCATAAGCGTTTTCCTCTTATTACTCCTTCGTTTCAACCGTCTCTCTCGCCACCCTCTCCGCACTAGACGTTATCCCGATCCCCTCCCCAGATTCCAACATTAGCCGTGTCTCCAACTTCTAGGGGAGTGAACACTAGCTATATATTGAGCGACTCAACTTTTACTCGCATCGCGACTCGCTTGTTCGATCTTGAAGTGAATTCAGGGGGAGCTCTACGTCATGGGTACTAATGGGCATTTCGCCTCGATTGGGGGTGAGAGTAGCGACAAGGAAGCCTACGGGCATGGCGTGCAGGTTATTGATGAGAATAAAGAGTTCAAGTAAGCACCTTCTTTTTCTTTCTTGCGGGCGCATCTTCGGTCTCTTGTCTCTGGCATCTTGACGCCGTGGGATCGGTCTCGGTGTTCCCTATAGTCTAGGGGGGGGCGAATACCTTCAGGGGCTAACCATGATATTGTAGTCCGAACCTGTCCAAATACTTGACCGATGAGGATGTCACGCCAGCAGGCTTCAACTATCATCTCATTTCCGTGTTTGGGTCTCAGTCCACGGGAAAGTCGACGCTCCTTAATCATCTATTCGGGACACAGTTCTCCGTCATGTCCGAGATGGAACGGCGACAGACGACCAAGGGTATCTGGCTATCTAAGAATAAGAAGGGTGGGGATGGATCGATGGCCGACAACATCTTGGTTATGGACGTGGAAGGCACGGACGGTCGTGAGAGAGGAGAGGATCAGGACTTTGAGCGCAAGAGCGCCTTGTTTGCCCTGGCGACGAGTGAAGTCCTCATTGTCAACATCTGGGAACACCAGGTGGGTCTATATCAGGGAGCAAACATGGGTCTTTTGAAGACGGTGTTTGAGGTCAATCTTCAACTATTCCTGAAGGACAGGAGGTACGTTGATTTCGAGTAATGTGCTGTTTTCGATCTCTGTACTGACTGTTCGGTCTTCAGTACCACTCACCGGTCCCTTCTGTTCTTCGTCATTCGAGATTTCGTCGGAACCACTCCCCTTCAAAACCTCCAGAAGACGCTCATGGAAGATATGTCCCGCCTGTGGGACTCGATCTCTAAGCCCGCGGGCCTGGAAAACGCGCCTGTGCACGACTACTTCGACTTTCAGTTCTACGGCCTGCCGCACAAAGGATATCAGCCGGATCAGTTCGTCGCCGAGACGCAGAAGCTCAGCCTGCGCTTCCGTGCTGCCCAGCGGGACCCTACGTTGGATGCGCAGAAAGGGCAGTTCTCCGATGGAGGGGTGTTCCTTCCGGAGTACCACCGACGCATTCCGGCGGACGGGTTCTCGCATTACGCGGAGGGTATCTGGGACCAGATCGTCCACAACAAGGACCTGGATCTTCCCACGCAACAAGAGTTGCTCGCGCAATTCCGATGTGATGAGATTCTGAGGGCAGTGATGGTGACTTTCGACGAGGCTATTGTCCCATTCGAAGACAAGCAGTCCCAAGCCGCTCGTCTGGGCGAGCCCGACATCCTCGGCGGACTGGGAGCTGCGATGCGATCGTCGCGTGCCAAAGCTGTGAAGAGCTTTGAGACCGAAGCTAGTCGGTACCACAAGGGCGTCTACCAGCGCAAGAACGCCGAGCTGGAAGAAAAGATCGATAGCCGCCTTAAGGCTCTTTTCCACGGTCAGCTCCACGCAGCGCATAAATTGGGGATCCACGAATTCAGCGAGGCTGTCTCGGGAGCTGTTAAGTCGGGCCAGAAGAAAGGCACGGGCTACGACTTTGCTGAGATTGTCAAAGATGAGGCGAAGAAAGCCGTCGCGAAGTTCGAAGAAGTTGGTCGCGCAACGGCCGTGGAGGGCACCGAGTTCAGTGACTATAGCCAGGAGCTGGCTCTTTACGAAAAGGAACTCGCGGACGTCAGTTCACGGTTGAGACGGGACGAGATGCGGCGCCTGGCTAGCCGAGTTGAGCGATGGGTTCAGTCACGCTTGGGAGAGGCCATCGGCCTCGAGTTCAACGCCCTCGGCTCCGGACGGGCCGGAGGTGGTGCTCCGGAAGAAGGGAATAAGCCCTCCGAGAAAGGTTTCTGGGACCGTGTGTGGAACGTCTTCGTCGAGACGGTCCTCGATGCTGAGCGGAGGTTTACCGACCGTGCCAGCAGCTTCGACGCCAGCTTAGAGGAGGTCGATGTGGGCCTTTGGCGATTGCGCCGGAAGTCCTGGGGCGTTTTGCGTGCCAAGATCGACGAGGAGATGATTGAGGGTAACCTGCTGCTGAAGCTGCGCGAGAACTTCGAGGACAAGTTCCGCTATGATGAGGCTGGGGTCCCCAGGATCTGGCGGCCAACCGATGACATCGAAGGCATCTATACTCGCGCCCGCGAGTCAACGCTGACCTTGATTCCCCTGCTCTCCCGGTTCCGTCTGGCTGATACAAATGCCCCTCCCCCGCTCGACCGCTGGGTTGGGCACACGCCCACCTCTGCCACGCCGGCCGATGAAGAGGATCTGGCCCCCATTGGCGGAGTCGACGAAGAGGAGGGCAAGAGCCTGGAGGAAGAGATGACCATCCTCGGCGACAGTAAGCGACAGGAGCTCACGGTCCGTTTCAAGAAAGCTGCGGACGGGGTGTACGTCGAGGCCAAGCGGAGCGCCATTGGTGGCATGACCCAAGTTCCCCTCTATTTCTACGGCATTCTGCTTGCCCTTGGATGGAACGAGATCGTTGCTGGTGAGTCTTCCTTAAGCTGTATCGCACCTTCGTTACCCCAACTGACCAATTGAAATTAGTCCTTCGCAACCCGGCATACTTCTTCCTTCTCTTCCTGTGTGCCATCGGGGCCTACGTGACCTACCAGCTCAACCTGTGGGGCCCGATCATCAAGATGTCCGAGGCCGCCTCGAACCAGGCTCTCACGGAAGGCAAAAAGCGCCTACGTGAGTTCCTGGAGTCATCTGACTCGGGCCGACAGGCCATTGCCATGTCTACTCCGGGCTCTGGGCGCGCGGAAGAGGTTGAGATGTCTCGACTCAATGGACAAGGCAAGGCAAGTGAAGACGCGGACGCGGACGCGGATGCGGACGATTTGTAAACGGGAAGAGCCTTGTATTCTATGTGACTGTATCCATGGATCTCTGTATTTGTCTATTGTCCCATTACATATATTACTGAGCGAATCACAGATGTGTTTTTATGTAGATTTTTTTTATGCAACATAAATTCGATGTACTCAGACTGATCAGAGGCATTCATTGAGCACTTCATCCACGCTTAGTCTTTCTAAAAGCACTTTGCTCCACAACGGTTTATTTAGCAATCATGTTTTGAGAGCCCTCACTTCTTACTATACCCCGGATTATAAGTGCGAAACAAAACAGGCAACTACCAAAGCAAATTTCATGTATAGCGTGATAGAGATTCGGGAAGGCCAAGATGTGACAGTATCTTTGTTGGTCTCGCGGTATCTATATCCTCCATGAATTTGCTGCATAATTCGAATCCGCGTACAATATATTATAGCAATACTGCGCAACTTCCTATAGCAAACCTCACTCCAAATTCCTAGTCAGTGGTACACAAGGGTCCGTAGGTCGCACCGCCCTTCACTTCCTCCCATCCCTCATTCCCAACACATCGCCAGCACCAAAACACGCCTTCAGGATCATACTTGTGCTTCACAGACTTGAGCCAACTGTAGTTCTCTCCAAACCAATTCTCCTTCCAATGGGGATCAAATCCATCAGCTTCATTCAGGTACGTTCCCATGCCGGGGGTCAGATCCTCCATTGCTTTCAGCTTTTTGTAGGTAGCCTTGTCCTGGACGTCCCGAATTCCCTGCGAGCCTGCATTGAGCGGGTAGAGATCGACATGCGTCAGGAGTGCATAGGTCTTGCGCCATGCTGGGCTGACGGATGTGAAGGGTTCTGGGTGAAGGACTCGTCCGCCGCCATCGAGAGACAGCGAAAGTCCAGAGCCGGAGGGATGGGCCCCTGGGCCTGTCTCGATAAACATGGTCGAAAGCATATTGGATAAGCTTTCCTGCTGGGAGATCAGGGACTTCTTGTCGAAGAATCGAGAGATCATGAGGAGATTATCTCCAGCCTGGGCTGCGTGACTTTTGGAGCCGAAGTATCCTTGGAACGTCGGGTAATGGCTGAAGGAAGAGGAGACGTGAAGGGCGGTCTCGTTGTACGGAAGTAGATCGCTTACGAGGTGCTTGTTCACAAACTTCTTAGTGCTCTCGATGGTGGTGGAGGAGTTGATGTTGTTGTCGAGGAGCATGATGAAGGTGTGCGCGTAGAGTGTTTTCCCTTTCATATTGAGCAACTCCCCGATGCCTCCGAATCCTCGGTCCGAAAGGAGAGGAAATTTCGATAATACGGCGCCTGTGGCATTCATAAGATTGCTCAAGTTGCCCTTCGTTGGAGTCATGAGTAACGTGTGCGCCAGGACTGGACGCGTGGGGTGTGCTTTGATTGTGGCGGATACGACAACACCGTAAGTACCACCACCTCCTCCACGCAGGGCAGTGAATAAATCAGGGTATTGGCATGGGCTTGCGCTCACAACCTTTCCTGATGCTAAGACGACTACGTATTCGAGAACTTGATCGGTCGCCAATCCAAAGGCGTGGCTGGTCGGGCCATGACCGGCGCCCTGAATATATCCTCCAATAACCCCGACAGTCTGTGTTGTCGTTAGCCTGTCTGAAATTCATGGCTTTGAATGAATGTTTTCTTACGCTATCATCACCTCCAACAGCGATAGAGTGGTGCTTGGCTGCAAAGTCATAGACGTCTCCCCAAACATATCCACCGCCAACAGTGATGGCGCCCCCAGTCCAATTTGCTGGACAAGAATGATTCGACGGACTATAACGGGCTTGGTAAGATAGCCCGTCCTGGATGTATTTGATCCAAATCATCAAACTGCCATATCCTTGAGATCTGCCCATAGAACGTTAGCACATGATGCAACTTCCAAGTCGACGGGAACCAGATCCTCGTACCTTTGGACAATATCGTGGCCGGTGTTTTTGATCACAAGCCGCAGATTATTCTCTTTGGCGAATTTGATGCCTGTTGAGACATCACTTGTTTTGGTTGCATTGATGGTGTATACTGGAGCGGCACCCAGTTGGCAGAGAGGGTAAGCGGCGATCGAGGCATTGATTGGAGGGCAGGTCACAGCAACTGGATATGTATATCCGACAGGTTGAGCCTCTTGGAACTTTGAACTCGTCCATTCCTGGCTAATATCTTGACATAGCTCTGCATCCTGGCCCGGGCCGGGATAACATGGTCGAGCAATGGGCTGGTTGGCTATAAGCTGACCATCAACGGATACATTAAGGGTATTCCATTGAGCAAAAGAAGGCCAACATTCGTCAGTTGGGGTCTATTTAACTCCTGTCAGTTTCCAAGACGTGATAACTCAAGTTATAAAGACATACACATTTACAGGCAGCAAACGCGGACTGTGCTCCAGCAAGGAGCAAAAGACCCTTGAAGAACATAATTGATGAGCGTGTTGGATCATGAACTACAGTATGGATTCAATGGCTTATATACAATTCCCTTTTCCATGCCGGAGTGTTTAGTTACTACCAGAGCCGATCGTCAGTAAGAAAGCGCAATTCAATTTTCCGCTCTCCGCCAACGATAGTTAAAGCCACGAGCCTAGCCTAATTAGTGGGCTGACTTGGTCCTTACGTGTGAAATCATAGAAGCTGAATGCCCGGGGCTGTGGTAGTGCGCAACGAGCGCGCAAGCATGTTCTTGTCGCGGATTCGACGCCCCCCAGTTGCGCGCTCGTTGCGCACTACTTCTCTGCCGGGGAGTCAGAATTGACCCACAGATAGTCAAGTCATCTGGTGTTCGTACCCGGTCGATATCAACTTGCTTTACTCATCTTCACCCAAAAATGTTTGTATTCGGTGCCCATGATTTGTCACAATCATATTACAGCGGGAATTTGAAATTTATGCTGCGTTAGATGGAAGCAAGATTCATAGATTATGCACATATATTATCTCATAGAAATGGGATACTCCCAGGATCAACATGAGTGTTCTGGCCTTCAATCCAGTTATAAAGTTCCAGTGGGTTGGGAAGCGGGTCAAATCCCCCAAGATAAGGCCACATATTCCATGCTTCAGTTGACGTAGTCAGGTCAAAGAAACTACCTTCACTCATGTCTGAGTACATAGGTGAAAAGCTCACTCCTGCCTGTCTCCCCTCTCCGTGCTGACCCTCCTGTCTCTCAGTTCGCCTCGAGAGGTTTTCTTTCGCCGTTTTCATCACCTGACAAAAGCCCAATATCATTTTACTACCCACGGCATAGACGCAGCCATTAGCAAAGGCCACGTCAGTTGACGTCCACGGCGCGGCAACCATAGAATCGAATCGCCGTGCGCATATGTTAAATAGCTCGAGCTGTTTCTCAAACTCGGGGTTCAATCGTCCAAAACACTTCAAGTGCACAAGATTGTTTTCAACAATATTTTTGCAATGTGTGAGAACCTCAAGAGCAAGATGTTGAAGTGGAGGGCGAAAGCCTGTGCCAGCAAGCCTTGAATCCGTGCATCTGATGAAGATCTCCAAAAGGCTTCTTAGCTTTTTGGGATACTTGGTTCCAAGCTGACTCAATGCCATAGCAAAAGGTTCTGCTGTGCCGGCGATCATATCCCCTCTGCTGCTCCTGACTTGATCACTGATTTGAATTGCTTCATGGCTCTCAATCTCGTGTTCCCATTTCAGTCCGCCTTCCAAAGACCTTACTTTAAGAACTGACGCATATAAAAGCCCGAGGCCCCATATCCTAGCAACAATAGAATTGAACCTTAGCTCTAAGATGGAGCGAGCAGTGTCTATCTCCTGTGAATCAAAAATGCCCGATGATTTCTCCAATAAGACGTCACTCGTTTGGAGTTGCTCAGCACATCTTCTCTCAGCCTCTTCAATTTCCCTAAACAGCGATCCGGGGTTGTTCCATCTTTCTTTTAAATTTGCCACAGCAATCAACAGAATGCAGACTGAGATGGCCCAGTTAATGTGGAAGATAGTTCTTGGTGAGCACTGCCGATGTTTCAAAATAATTTGGTAAACATCGACAACAGGCGTCATCTTCGTAAGAGCTTGTCGTAGAGCATAATGTGATTTTGCAAGATAACCATCCAGGAATGTGTCATGATGCAATAGCTGTAAGCGCTCTACCGTTTGATTAAAGCCAAAATCGAACTGGGCACCATTCGCAATATACAACTCACATGGAAGTGCACATCCTTGCTCCGAATTTTCTTTAAGTCTTTCTGCCACTCTTTGAGCTAGATGAACAAACATTTCAGACTTAATGGCACAATGTAAGACTCTTTGTGTCGTGGCTAAAGCTGTGGGTTTGTAGTCTGCTAAAAAAAGGCAAACCACAACCGTGTCATGATGCGTTGGTGGCGCGAATATAAATTCTTGACCGAAAAATGCCACAGCGAGGCGTAGACTCGAATTCAAAGCGGGGTTTCTTTTGGCCAAGGCCTCGTCAATGTCTAGAGCAGTCAAGCAGAGCAGTGCAAAGAGCAGCTTTGTTGCGATGTTGATCGACGTGAAGTCATTCGAGAGTAAGCGGCTTCTAAGCTCTACCAGTCTGGGCATTGAAGGATGAAAAAAGTAATGCCAAGTCAAACTATCCTAGCTAATTAGGCAAGGTGAGAGATGTCAGATCATGTGGACTCACCTCTTTTCAAGCGACTCCGCAGTGTCATTGTCAATGAGCTCTGTAAGAGATACGTCCCAAGAAGAAGGGAGTTGAGCTATATCACTCCCAAATGCTTGATCTTTGGACAAGATTGATGAAAGAAAAAAATGGGGCTCTATCATCGATTTGAAACGCTCCTCTTTAGTCGGACGCGGAGCTAGTTCCGTTCGCAACTCCTTCTGCCAATTCGGGCCAATCTCCCCTGCATCGGAGAGTAGATGATCTTGGATATCCACGCTGGAAAGCGTAGAAGTGATAGGCGGGCCAACAGGTCTGTCGGATTCGGCTGATATTACGGTATTATTTCCTTGAGCCGCCATGCCACGAAGGCGCTTCGCTGCGGGGCGTCCTAAGAAGGTACGCTCAAAGATGCATTCTAGGTTTAGATTGCGACATCTTTCACAAGATGTTTCTGGAGGTTGCGGAACACCCAAGGGACCGAGATCACCCCGGTTCTGCATGACGCATTTAATCTTTCTTGAGCGACAGCCGCGGCATATTGTGCGGGCATATCTTCCCCTTGGACCTCGCTCGGCCTTTTGATTTTGCATTCCCAAAGAGAAAAAGAGGGACTCAATAGTGGTAGGTGGAGTTTTTAGTGGTGGGACAACTCTCAAGCAACAAGGTTGGTAGTCAGAGATACTCAGAGCGATAACGACGTCGTGTCAGCTCGATCTTGGTACCACAGCCACCTTGTGTATGCTAGACTCTGTTTGGAAAGCAATGGCATCTTAGCTGATTGGATAGTAAGTTGTAACTCATGCATTCCAAAAACCTAGACTTGCGCTAAGATCGTCACTTTTTCATCGCCCCTCACCCTATGCATATTGTACATGGCATTGTCAAAAAAATTGCGCGCGACGATCTTCAATTTCCGCATTAATTTGCGCGATGAATCTCGCTGATGGATGCTATTATTACATCCAATGCTATCATTAACTCTATCCACAGTGATCTTGGGGCAATGATTGGCAGTTTAACTTCCTGCCCTCCTACTTTTGAGGTGGCTTAGTGTTGAATTATTGTAAAGTATTATATACCAACGATCATACGGTGGTAAGGCATTCTCAAAGATATAAATCAAGGCGTCTGTCTTGACATTGGAAAACTATCACCCAGCTTCATCCGCAAATTTATCAATCCCAACAGTTTCAGATCATCGAATAATCCTATCCACTATCTGCAATTGCATTGCGCCCTTTCTCTTTCAATATGTCGTACCCCAAAAGTGAATATAACGACCATCACCCAGAGGGCTGCTCTTGGGACCAAGTTGAGAGATCAAGCTCATATCCCCAGGTGAGTTATAGTCTGCAATATGATCTTGGGCTCTATGTGATAGACAAAAATCGCCGAAAGATCAGTTGAACGAAGAAACCATCAATACTGAACGTTGAACCATATACCAGCAGGTCTCCCACAGTGCACAACACTCTCTTAATGACCATGTATCGCTCTCTTCCTACGCTGGCACAAGCTCGTCTCACTACGGCTCTGCACGCATACCAGCCGTACCCACGAATACTCATAGCCCCGTCCCACCACCATACGAGTCCCAGCAACAGCCTGGTGAAAATACTTCTTATTATCAATATACTCCTCCATATGATGGAGTGGATTCGAGTCATACTTCTGAGAACAGGTATGGTGAGAAGGGCCTTGGGTCTACCGTCACAGGTGGTGCAGCTGGAGGATATGCAGCCCATAAGATGGGTGGTGGGAAGTTGGCCACTGCAGGAGGTGCACTTTTGGGAGCTGTTGGCATGAATATGGCGACAAAGAAGATGTACGCTAAGCTCATGGCCCAAATCCATCAAATCTGAAACTCGGAGCTAACAACTACAAGTAAACAAGACCATGACCAACAACAGCAACAGCAACAGCAACAGCAACAGCAACAGCAACAGCAACATCAACCTGCACAAACTGTTATAGTTGTACCAGCTCAAGGGGCAGCACCGAGCAATGGTTTAGGTGGAGGCCTTGGTCTGGGTTCAGGCTTGGGTATGGGTGGTGGCATTGGGCTTGGCCGGGTTCATCGCAGGCTTGCACGTCGCGGAATTGGCATGTACTAAATGACTCTCAACCTCGTTGAGTTCTGTGGCAGCAAGCATCACGTTATGTGTCACACATAGAAGATGTGGCTGCAGTCTCTATATAGAAGAATCAATAATCTCTCCTCCACATTTTCCTCGACCGACATAGGATCACGATAGCTGTGAAGCTACAGAACCGCGGTGATCTAGGTCCCTTGGATGTTCCACAGCCTCCAGAAACATTTTGTGAAAGATGTCGCCAGAGGTAGTTGGGTTCCTTTGGCCTTCGAATATCAACCACTACCAGTGCTGTGATACCCGCCCGGAAGCTTGACCTCTCACGATGACCTGATATGGGGGCAACACTTAGAACATCTCTTACAGATGTCATTATTCATTGGGGATATCAGTCAGGTTAAGCCTTATACCAAACGTTGGTCAACGTTTTGGTGTAGCGGTTATGAGATATTAGTTTACAGTCTGTTAAAAAATAGTCTACTTGGACTCCTTGAGAGACAAACAACACAACATTTTCTTTTAATCTTCAAACTATCAAAGTATCTTTGAAGAAAAAGAAAAAGAAAACTGCTAAGTTGTGATCAAGTTCACAAATATTTTGGGAAAATGGAAGACTTCGAGTCCATGTATCAAGTGCGTTGGATCATGATTCCTAATATTAAACCCAATATGAATCAAGATAAAGTGGGTATAAGCAGTCGAATCTGACTATGTAAGACAGTGTTGCACTGAATATAAGGTTACTTACGAAGGCCAAAAGTGCCTTGATATCTTTTATACTCTGTACAAGTGGTATTTCTAGCAATGCACGGTGTGGAAAGCGCATGCCTGGAGAATTTGAAACCCCGCATAATCACGGCCTTTTCCATCATCATCCACAGCTACTCCGCATTCTCACGGCAGGTTCAGTTTCAGGTGCGTCGCGAAGTCGATTCAGATGAGTGAACGAGTCTACATCTGCAATGCAACTGACGCGTCACGCTATACACATCGCGCACTAGCTCAGAATTCCCGCCTGGGGGGATCTTCAGGCCGAGTGAGCTAATGAGGACAACATGCAAAACTCAGGACGTCGGTTATTTTTTTGGACTTTGGATCTGATAATTCAAGTCCCGGTATTTGGCTCGACATCCCTGGTCTCATCCAACAAGATAAAGCGCGGGATTATCAACACGTGACGCTGGTCGGGCCTCGGTTGGTCAAGTCCCAACATTTTGGATCTGTTCAGCCCATCTGATTCCTCTCCCCGGTCGATCTACATAATCTTCCCCACTTCATCCACCTTTTTTTAGTCTGTCGCAGTCGCTCGTTATATCTTTCGTTTACCTTTTCATAAGTTGTGACGTGTAGCCTTCAATTGTGTTCAAATATTGTTGTGGAGAGGCGCACTGTAGCCCCTCCGACCAGACGCTCCTTCTATCTCGATTTCTATTTGTTGGGTTTGTGAGGCCCGATTATACATATTCGTTAATATCAGCCCTTGCCGTTGAGATACTCTCCTTTGTATTATCTAAAAGCAAACGTGTACTCTTGCTTGATCATGGTGACGACCTCCCACATCGATAGCGTGCGCGAGCTGCTATCAAGCGCATCGGCGTCCATCCCCTGGAAGACGCTGACGCTGCTATTGGCCATTATCAACCTGAAGAACCTTCCATTCATCTGGCATGTAAGTGTGACGCACAACGTACCTTAAGTATGCCAGGGTGCGGGGCGGGAACGGAGGAACAGTATTATGTTAACATGCGCCAGCTTCGCATCCTCCGCCACTTCTGGGGCAACATCCGATGGAAAACCGACCATCCATACTTCCCCAAAGGCACAGCCATCGCCACACATACGGGCAAACCCACCCACCCAGTCTTCACAGCCTTCGGGATCACATCGCGCACACCCATGTGGGAAACAGACTACAACTTACACAAATCCAACAGCACGTACTTCTCAGACCTAGACGTCGCACGCACAGCACTCGTCACAAGACTGTACTCGCCCGGTGTGGGTCTGGTAAGCAAGGAGCTAGATGCGGAGTTCGCAGCCGCCGCCCGCAAGGAAGGCAAGAAGCCGCCTGCGTCCAAGGCGATGTACATCGCGCTGGGGTCAGTGTATTGCAACTTTAAGCGTGAGATCAAGCCCTTTGAGAAGTACGAGATCGAGTCCAAGACCATCGCCTGGGACCAGAAGTGGATGTATGTCATAAGCTTTTTCCTGCGGCCGGCGCCGCGCAAGGGCGGCCAGCGCGTCCTTTTCGCTACTGCGCTCAGCAAGTACGTTGCCAAGAAGGGCCGGTTGACTGTTTCGCCGGAGCGGGTCATGCGTGCGAGCGGCTTTCTCCCCCCGCGGCCGGAGGGTGTCTCGGCTGAGACGCCTGCTGAGTCTTCGGCGGATGTGTCTGGTGTGGGCACGCCCGCTGGTGAGGGCATCACGGCTTCTGCGGCGGGCGTGGATGGGTCGTTGGTCCGTGAGGTGCTGCAGATGAAGGAGGGCGATATCCCTGAGCGGGCTACGCTGGAGAAGGAACGCACGGAGAATACTGAGTCGTGGGATGCGGATGAGTGGACGTGGGAGCGGATCGAGGAGGAGAGATTGCGGGGACTTCGTGTGGTGGAGGGGTATGCTTCATTGGATACAAAGCTGTTGGAAGAGTGGGAACAGTGAGGTCCATGGGATAAATTTAACATAGAGATGTATTATATACCGTTGTTTACATGAAGAACTTATGTTGGTTTATATCTTTAGTACGAAGTATAAGCATTCACTGTTGTCTATACTACCTTAAAATCGCTGAGCTCAATGAAGTGCATACGGAAATATGTTCTAGGATTGAGCTACTCTAGTTGAACAGGATAGGTACTAAGACTGCGTGTGTAAAACATTCGACTGTTCTTCAACAGACCCCATTGTAAGGGATGCAGATCATATAATCAAGAGCGTTTGAACGAGCGAGGTAGGATGGATAACAACCACGTCTTTCTCTCCATTTGAAGATACCAGTCCATACCCATCCCTGTAGAAAAAAATACCAAGAAACTTTTTTATCCAACCAATTTAGAACAGACAGATCTAGTTACAGACGCTGTGCTGCAGGCCCTCGGCGTCTAGTTCATATATGGTCAGCGTTGTTATAAGTGAAGATTGACAGTGATGAAGCAACAAGATCAGAGATGGTCTATCAACGAAAAGTAAAACCGGAACCAGAAACAAAGACACTCTTACCTTTGAGCTGATCAGGACAGTCCCTGTTGATGCAGTCGCGGACCTGGGCCTGGAAGCCTGCGTTGCTGCACATGCAGTCGATGTCAAGCGCTTTGAAGTCGCAAGGCCCAGCATTGCTGGAGCAGGTCTCCTGTAGACGCATTTCATTTAGCATGTGTAGATACTTGAAGATTGACTACCTTGGCGTGGGTGGGTGATTGTGTGCCTAGTCACGGCGAAGGAGTATAGTATGGGGGAATGACGTACGACGCATTTGGAAGGCTTTTGGGCCAGGACCGTGGCCACGAGGGTCACCAGGGGGAGGGAGAGGATGGAGAGCTTCATTTTCTTCTTGTTCCTTGTTGGTCTGGGTTTAGAATATGAGTGTGTAATATGATATGCTTGTGCTTTTTTAAAATTGAAACGATAATTGTTTACTTTCCACGAGGGAAATCAGACTAGTACCTGGTTTATATATCTTTCCCCTTTCTCCTTTCCCCGTTGATCGCGAGGTTACACTATGATCTCATATAGTCCCTAACCCCTGGCGTATGCCAGGGACAGTCCCTTGCATTGTGTAACTGATAGACTTCAGCTAACATTTGGACTCGCACTCTCGGACATACCGAGCATACCACTTGTATGAAAAGACCAACTGTGTCAAGCAAGGAGCTCGACATCCCCAGGCACCACTATATATTTCGATGTGCTGGGGTTCTCTGCGCTGCAGGCCATAGCTTGTTGTTACGTCACTGCTGAATACATTTATTCCATTGGCAATGCAAGTAGACAACTTTGTCTTGAATTCATCTGCTCTGGTTAAACTGGCAATACCATAGTTGCGAAAGCGTAAACCATTCTGTTGTTCTTTGACGGACGTGGTAGATATGAAACCATAAATTGAAGCACTATAGCAAGCGGTATAGGATAGATACTGCATCGGAAATATTGTACGCATGTCTTTCTCTATTTTCTCTATTGAAGAAGACACAGGTTCATAGGGAAGTGATCTATATAGAAAGCATCACCAAGCAACACTTGAGTTCCACCTGTCCACCAAGATCGACGGGTCTATTCCGTATTCCTGCACATATTCTCGAGAAGGCTCTTACCCTCTGGTTGATATATTGTTAGTAATGCTATATAAAATCCGCAGAGAAACAGAAAAAGAAGCGATGATTTATCAAAAAGATGCCCCTCAATCCATGGCAAAGTGCATCTTACCTTCCACTTCCTCGGGACAACGGTGCTCCATACATTCCCAGACGTCACTCTGGAATGCTTTGTTGACACATGCGCATTCCAACTCCATACGGCTAATGTCACAATGTCTAGCACCATTCGCGCAAGCTTTCTGTAGACACAATTCATTCAGCATGTATGGAAACACTCGAGATCACCAACCACTTTAATATGGAAAGATACCCGCGTGCCCAATCATGGTGAAGGGAGAATAAATATATACAAATGACAGACCGTGCATGGATGGGCCCCACCAGTGACCACGAGGGTTGCCAGGGAAAAGAGAGACGATGGAAAGCTTCGTTGTATACAGACTTTAGATGATTGACCGGGTGAGGTGTGTTTGTGCCTAGAATCTTTGATTCCTTGTTGTGATAGTGCAGGTGTACGGTGTACAAGAAGGAAAACCATCTTCTGGTTCTGCATATATACTTCTCTATTCTCTTCCACCGCTATAGAAACCCCAAGATCAACCGTGAGGTTGCATTATGATCCTATTCCTTCCCCCCTGGTGTATGCCAGGGACGTGCCCTCGCATTGTGGGATGGACAAACTGCGACGAAAAGAATTGTACTCCATAGGGAAATGTCGTCACATTAGTACCGTTCCCATTTGGAAACAGGAGTTACTCTATTATTGGCATTAAAACGCCTTGTGGCGTCCGATCGAGCTATCACCCGAAACAATGGAACAATCGAGAGATTCAAGGTCAGAGAGCTGTGTATATCTTGCGAAAGATCAAGGAGCTCCACCCCTATGCTGTGAACTCCTGTCTGATTTTAAAATTGGACCGCAAAGTGTATGCAGTTGGGAAACTTACTCCGTCCCCTCGGTAGGGGTGACATGGGCCTGAATGAACTGTCGTACCGACGGGGGTTCGGGACGGGAAGTTGTGGGGAGTTGAGAGAATGTACTATTGGATCCGAATCAGGGCTGGGTGGGTCACCATGTCGTGGTTTTCCCCACCTCTCCTCTCTTCCGTTCCCTGGTCCCTCCCACAACTTACTTTCCACTTTTACCCCGTGTTGCTCTTCTCATTGTCTCCATCTGCATTGATCGTGAACCGAGCCAGGGTCTGTTGGGACTGATATCCACGCGGCTATCATCGTTGATATTCTCATTCGGCTTTCTTTGACTCGAAGGCTGTCTTTGTAAGGGGACCATTTTTCTTTCTTCATTTTTCTTGTTATATTTATCTTATTTTTGCAACCCTTGCTGAACTCACTCTCCAGACATTTTGAGACCATGACTCAAGATATCCACCGGGTCGTTGATCCGGCCATTCTGGCCGACGTATGTTCTCCCCACCGTTTCCTTGGTACCGCGTGGTCAAGTCGCAGAACCTGACATCGCCCAAGAGTACCCCAGAGAATAGCGACGGAGATTCGATCTACACGATCGAGTCGGATTTGACCTCGATTTCGTCCAGCATCTTGAATTATGAGTGCGTCTAACTCTCACCAGTCTTCTGACCCAATCGAGTTGATGGATCACAACTAAACTAATATCTAATATCGACTAGGTATAAGGTATACTCTTTTCATACCATCTCCCGCGTACGGACGCCTTATACTGACAGTGACGATCTAGAACGGCCGGAGGTACCATGCCTACCAAGCAGGCTCTTACGTCCTAGTGAGCCAATCCTGTGTCTCATACCCATGAAGATCGATGACTAATATAGGACAGCCAAATGATGAGGAAGAGCAAGACCGAATGGACTTACTCCACCATATTTATAACCTCGTGCTCGACGGCCAACTCCACTCCGCCCCGATCGGCGAGAATCCTCAACGCGTACTAGATCTGGGCACAGGCACGGGCATCTGGGCGGTGGACTTTGCCGAGTACGCAAATATACTCCTCCCGACAGTTTAGCAGCCAACTAACACCGTTAATCGACCTGTAGCCATTATGCATCTTCCGATGTGACCGGTGAGTCTGGTGATTCTTCCAAATCTGACATTTGTCGATCTAACTTTTTTCGAAAGGAAACGACCTTAGCGCAATCCAACCGAAATGGTGAGAAAGGAATTATGATCGTCAGCGCTCAAGTCGCTAACCCAGCGGTTGAAGGACCCCTCCCAACTGCCAGTTCGAAGTGGACGATTTCGAAGCCGAGTGGACATATTCGCGCCCTTTCGATTACATCCACGGCCGTGAGCTCGCGGGCGCTGTAAGCAACTTCGGCCGCCTCACTAAACAAGCCTACGCGAATCTGAAACCCGGTGGTCACTTCGAAGTGCAGAGCTTCCGCATCGAGGTCTTCTCGGACGACGGCACCCTCGACAAGGCGCCCTACACCAAGCAGTTAGTCTCTCTGCTGCAAGAGGCGAGCGCCAAATTCGGAAAATCCATGGCCGAGATGGACAGCTGGCCCGAGGAACTGGCCAAAGCGGGCTTCAAGGATGTGAACTGCAGAATCGTCAAGGTCCCGTTCAACCCTTGGCCCAAGGACCCCAAGCAAAAGGAGATTGGCAGATTCTTCCAGGTCCAGCAGGCACAGGGCATCCAGTCGTATGCGCCGGAGCTTCTGACCAAAGTTCTGGGCTGGTCGTCTGACGAAGTTTCCGTTCTGGTGGCCCATGCGAAGAAGGAACTTCGAGATACGTCCATTCACCAGTACGGGAAACTCTATTTGGTCTATGGACAAAAGCCGTGAGTAGCTGCCACCTTGGCGGTATTAAGTGTGACCATATTCCCCAATGTGGCGCATAGCGTTGTGTCTTCATATTTTACTGGACGGTTATGTGTTTATTCAAGGTCACTGCGTTCTATGTTTGATTATCGGAGTTCACCTACAGTTGATGTACATAACCATGTACTGCCTTTTTTGATATGTCAAACGCTCTCTTTGCATCTTCGTATCTAGCCCTCGCTGTTTTTACTGAATCAATCGAGCATGCCCTGGGCATCTTGAGCTAACCATTGAGCAGAGCAACAGTACTCCCAGTAGGTCATCTCAATGAAACATGCCACTTAGAGTTAAATGGCCTGACAGTCATCTATCTAGTCAACCCTACTCAATAATCAATGGCATCAGTGGAATGTGTGATTATACTCTCTCTCCTCTGTTCAAAACAAATACCCAGATAAACTTTTAGATACAATTGGCAAATTGTTCTGGATCCGGCCGCCATAGCCGTGACATTCTATCAAATGATTTCTCTACTAATTTTCTATCCTGAGATATAAGTATGAGTCCATTATAAGCCTCAGAAAGGATTGTGTACTTGACTTTGCCTTTGCGTTCAGGCAGATGACTTTGAACAGGTATAAACAAACTGCCGAATGGCTCCATCAATACAATTCCATGGCTTCTTCTCTCCGCAGGTCTTTTCCTACTAACTAGCTAGCTTTCCCTGCGGCCGATTTCCTGAAATACCAAGGGCTCTCTAATCACTGCTTCTTATATAGCAACTCTGTACTGGTTAAAGTGATGGTGCATAGGGGGTTCAACGCATGGCTTATGCCACAATTGGTATTGATGTCGGGAAAATACTTCCATTGTCTGCTAACTGCAGCTGCAGAGTCCTCAAGAGACTGGCAGACTGGTTGCATTTAGAGTCAGGAACAAAAGTCAACTTAGTCTTCTCTTGTATAAAGACCCATGTTTCCCTTTTGAAAAATAATGGTTCTTGAACTTTACAGGTTATCGGTCCTTAATCTACCTAAGAATCACTGTAATCCTCTTAGCTGTATCTACCCCACTCTCATACTTGAATAGTATGGCCCATGTCCACACTAAGTAGAAGGTGCCTTACTATACAACCCTAAACCATAAGCAATCACGGAATACATCTCAGCCTCGTCAATAGACACAAGTCTCAGCCACGCCGTCATGTCCGACATTCACTGCAAACGCCATCAGTCTGGATTGAAATCCGGGCCAGACCCATGGAAATCTAGACCACTCCCCCAGGCAACCTCCCCGACCCCAAACCGCAAGCAATCGCGAAAATCCACTTTGACAACCCCGTCCAACGGCGACGTGACTTCCACACGCGCCGACGCGTTTGCCGATGCCAGATCTCACCTGATCTGATCCAGTCTGAACTGATCTCTGGACCCAAATCTAGAATGTTCTCCTCCAGCCTTGTTATGCACTGCCAATGCGTTTGTCCAATACTGGCGTCTGGTCAGCCGTGAACTGCAAGGAATCACGAAAATCCACTTTGGACTGACTGTCCAATGGGGACGTGATTCCCTAACGCGTTGACGCGACTGGTTGGGAACGGGTTTAAGCTGATTGTGTTAGGTGGATGTATCCTGGTTGCCTGATTCATTGGCGGTCTATAGTGTCTAACTGTACTACTATGTGCTGTGCTATAACCAGCCTGTTTTCTGCGTGGTAAACTCTTTCTTGACAGGGCGCAGCCGCAGCATTGATCGTTTTGCCATGGCTCTTGTCTTGTGTTCTATCTGGTCCACCTACGATGGTGTTAAATAGGAGAATTTGGCCACTGGAGGGACAAAGTTACTTACATTGGTGAATTTCGACGATATCCATACTGCCAGTGTAAGTAGGAGCAGCACGCCTCCTACGAGGGGATACCAGCGCCAGCTGGGGTCGTTCTTGAGCACGTCTACGTTCATTCCGAAGAGACTCTACACATCATATTAGACATGAGAATAGGAGTTGTATAACGGAAGAGAGAGAGAGAGAGGGAGAGGGAGAGAAGAAAGAAAGAGAGAACACACCGACGCAAACATAAGTGGCAAAAAGATAAACGTGATCCAGCTGAGCCGCTGTAAGCTGGCCGCAAGACTTGTCGACCGATGAGCTTCGTTGATGGTAACCCAAGCAAATTCCTGTCCTGTCGTTAGTAAACCGTAAATATAGAAGCACATGTGGGGAAACTCACTATCTGGAGGAGATCGCGGACAGTTTGTTCCAGCTTCTCAATCTGCGTCGTGACGTCTCGGTCAAGCGCATCGATTATCTCGCTCATCTTTTCGCTGAATCGGCGCGTCTCACTGAATCGTTGATATTGGGATACGAAACTCCGTGCCTGGCTGAGCTGCTCCGCGAGTATGCCCTGGATGTGCGTCCACTGGAGCATACTCTCCGCTACGGTGTCTATCAGGACGTCGTCTTTGCCGCGGGCTGTCAGTTGGTGGGATCGCTAGCCGACTAGTTAGCGATGTTCTACTTTTCATTCTGAAGACGCTGGCGAGAGTCTTACAAGTTCTCCCATGCTGTTGCGCGCATCCTGGCAGAATGTCATCCAGTCGTCTCTCAGCGTTTGCATGAACAGGCTGACCAGCTCGACGTCGTTCTGTGGGATCCAGCCGTACGGCAAGTTGCTGAAGTAGTGGATCGTTTTGAGAGGCGCTTCAAGGACTACCCACTCGACGGTGCGGGTGGCATGGTCTTCGTATCTGTTATAGCCGTCTGCATCATATCGTCGCGAGAGAACCCTCCGCATCTTGACGTCTCCCCGGATGGACAGGGTGAACGTTCTGCACGGGCCCCTGTGGCCGAGAGAGTAGAATAGCTGGTTCGGCGAATGATCCACCTGGGAGTACGTGTTCCACACGTAATTCTCTCGGAAGAGCCTGTTCGGATCAGTACAGTCTACCGGCTAGGAAGAGCGTTACTGACATCAAGTGCGTCTCCTCCGTCACCCGCGGCAAGGCGCGAGCTTCGCGGTCCACGAAGTTATTCAAGATCCACCGCGCCTTTTTCCGCCCGTCGCGCAAAGCCCTGATGTAGACGGCTGTGCTTGCCCTGCCCTGTATCCTGTTGTGTCCAATGCCGTAGCCTTCTTCGTCGTCCTCTTTGAGTTGCAGTAACTTGGCGCGCTGGCGCAACAGAGTGGCAATCGCGCCGCGGTCGGCCTCCTTGATTGTCATGTCCATCACGGGAACTGAGTGCTGGCTGTTGTCTACGTGCCCTATCTTGAGAGGAACCAGTTCCGTGGCCGGATTGGTTGTGCTGCACGGCCCAAACCAGTCGGCGTTCTCGAGACACTCGATGGTGGCCTTGTGCTCTAGAAGGACTGTGACCGTCGTGCGGTCACCTTGGCTTAACGCCATTCTTATCAGTGAAAAGGAGCCGTACTCGTCTTCCTCCTCGAGACTCGGCTTGTAGCGCTCGAGGAACGACTTGAGGATCCGAGACCGGCCCTCCTGGACCATAATCCGAAGGGACACTATATCCCTCCGTCTCGTGTCAGACTCGGCAACGCCTGAGAGAAGCAGTTCGACAATGTCATAGTGGTCCCACTCCAGCGCGTAGATCAGCGGCGTCTTCCTGTACCGATCGACGGTGTTCGGATCGGCCCAGGTCGTCCGCAGGAGATGCTCAACTAGCCTTTTGTCGCCGCGCTCACAGGCCCACGAAAGAAACGTACGGCGCGCTTTTGTCAGCGGCTCCACTCCATGGTTGGACCCCAGGAGGTCTAGCCATTGCTGGAAGTCCTCCGGCGACGTGGCTAGTTGTTCATCCACCGTACGGACGGTGGCCGTGTGGCTGATAAACCACCACAGCGGGATCTGCCCTTCGTGGTCCTGAATATCTACACTGGCGTCGTGGTCGAGCAGGATCCTCGCAGTCTCCAGACGTCTGGTCTCCGCGGCCCATGACAATGGCGTTCGTCCTCTAGCGTCTTTGCTGTCCGCGTCCGCCCGGCCCGTCGTCAAGAGCAGCTTGACCACCGCGGAATGGCCACGCTCCGCCGCGCGCGATAACGGCGTGCGGCCGCGCAGATCCGCCAGATCGGAATGGACACCATTCTGCAGCAGCAAATCCACCATAGCGTCGTCACCGGCCTTGGCCGCCCAATGCAGCGGCGTCTCGCCGTGGAGGTCTCCCAGGTTCGGATCAGCGCCTTTCCCCAGGAGAAACCGCACAAACTGCTCAGGGATAAAGCGATTTCCTGGCCTGGCGGTCAGATCGTACGAGGCGATCCATGATAGCGGTGTCCGGCCCGTCCGGTCTCTGATGTCGGCTGAGACGCCGTAGAGCAAGGGTTTCGCGATGTGGATGTGGCCGTTCCGAGCGGCTTGCATTAACTGATCGACGCTGTCGTCGTCCACGGGAAGGGAAAGCGTATGGTGCTGCGGAACTTTTCTGTCCATTGCCCACATTGTTTATTCCCTTCTTGTCAGCTGAGGAGGCGTCAGAAGGTCGGGAAGGCCAAGGATCTTTCATCCTGGCTTGTCAGCCTCACGAAGCGCTGCGCCTCATTGGTGGGAGACGTGCAGGATCTCTACCTAGTATGCAGCTTAGCTCTAGATGAGCGGGGCAATGATAGTGCAGATCGACTCTGGATGGCATGTTTATGATGTATGACAATTGATCTCCGACTGGATTGTTTATTTTGACTCGTTACATGGATGGTGATACCATGCGTGGAGGCCAAGTCTTAGGTGGAAACCGAGAAGCTTATAACCCCCGAGTGACGTCTATTGTCTTTCAACACCAGTCTGAGATTTCAACCCCACCAGGTGAACGGGCTGACGATCAGGCATGTAGGCTAATAAAATCAAGCCTTTCTTGGTGGAGGATGATGTAAATCGAATGCTGGATCAATGCTCGTTGTCTCTAAGATCTACGATTTGTTTTTTGCTTCCACCGCCTCTCATTTGTACGATAATCCTCAATAATCGATTCAGCTACTGACATCAATTTCAAACACACCTTAATCAAATATCTAATATGTATTATGTGAATGTATCACCACACCAAGATATAGACAAAAGGACACAAACCCAATAGCGAGAGATCATGTACACGAATGATAGGGGAGATAGCGGCGAGATAACCGCGATATACATCACAATAACCAAGAAATAAAGGAACGAGGCAGATCCACCGCATGTAATCAACGTATGGACCAGCCATGATTAGAGAAAGTAAAAAACAAGGGGGAGTCAACACCATGCACCATCCGAGTAAAAACCCAATGAGACTTTTTGAATCCATCATCAAGCTTCACGCTTCCTTCTTGCCCTCCTCCTTCACGGGAGCCGGGTCCTGCTCCTTGGAGCCCTCACCAGTCTGCGCCTTGGCGCCCTTCTGCTTCTCATGATGCTCATAAAGATCCACATGCTTGTTCTTCAGTCTCTCCTCCTCAGCAGCGACCATGTCCTTCCACAGATCGCCGCTCTGCTCCTTCTCAGGCTGAGCGACCTCAGCAGCCTTCTGGCCCTTCTCAGCAGCCTCAGCCTTCTTCTTCGCATCAAGGATGCCCTTCCCCTTCTTCTGATCGGCGATCTCAAAGCCCGCCGAAGCAACCAGCACGGCGAGCGTCAAGCCCTGCGCATACACACGAGCCTGGACAAGCTTCTGCTGCCCCGAGAGGTAAGGGTTCCGGCCGACCAGCGCGAACGACCCGATCATCGACGCAATCCACGTCGCGCCCACAATCTTGTACTTCTCGCGCTTCGCCCACGCCACCGTGCGGTCGACGAACGACAGGCTCGAGAGCTCCTTATCGCGGAGCCGTTGCTCGCGGTTCTCGTACCACTGGACGGTCTGGTTGCGCTCGGCTTCGTACGCCCGCGATGCGTGATCCGCCGCTATGATACCCACGAAGGTACCGGATGAGGTGACCAGGAAGGCTTTCATGGGGATGGTCAGGTTACGGATCGTGGGGTAGCGGCGGGCTGCGGCCAGGACGCCTGCGCCGCCGCCGATGAGACCGAGGACTGTGCCGATCGTGCCGCCTTTGACGACCTCTCTGTTCCGGTTGTTAGCTTGAGAAAAGACACCTTGGCTGCCAGAATACGATCGTGGACTGCATTCGACAGGTGGCGGGGTGGCGGTTCGCTGCTTACCGGTAGTGAGCATCCTCTTCTTCCTTGGTCAGGATCTTCATGGTGTGGATTGAGGGTGGTGGGGGTGTATTTCAACACTTGAATTAATGTAGTGTATAGTGGAAACAAAGAATCCAAGTGGATTGAGGAGCGTATTCTGGATTTATACGAACCAGAAGTCGTTGGGAGTAAGAGTCATCGAAAAATCAAGAGGTTGAATGGCGAACGGAAGCAAGACGGAACGAGCAAAGCCCGATGACGTCGGCCCGGTATCTGCCGGCCATAGTTCGGTGTTTGCTTGCGCTGTGGTGGTGCCATACTCGGACATGCAATACTAATTTTAGCCAGTAAAAGGCGTGTTTTTCTACTTTCTTTTACTTGATTCTGGTAAGAAAAATTGATAATAGACATGCTATGTTCAAATACTAGTGCGATCATTCCAATACGACCCAGTCATTGCACAGTTACGATCCATGTTTGAAAAGACACGCCAGAACGCCCCCTCCACGACACCAAGATTTCTAATGACACAATCTCCAATCCGATCTCTACCTCTGCCGACTGTTCTTGGACGCCGCAATTTGGCGCGCCCGCATCTTCCGGAATCGATCCTCTCCGCTGGCGCCCAGAGGTCGCGCAAACTTGCTTTCCTGTACCATTGTCGGTCGCGGCACCACCGTGTAACTGGTGTGCGTGATGTCGGCCCGCGCACGGTTGGCCAGACGCGGGGGGAGCAGTTCGCGCGCACGCGCTTCGGCAGCCGTCGCCTGCGCCGATTGGGTCCGGGAGGTGAGTTTTCTGGGGGATCGGTTAGCACCGGCAGAACTAGATCTGGCGGGGTTGAGCATGCAACATACGTAGGATCAAAAGCGGCCTCCTGGTACACCCGCTTCGAGTAGTCATCGCTCCGCTGGAGAATCGGGCGAGTCCATTCAGCTAGGAGACGCTCCGCCTGGCGCTTGATGCCCGGCTCGGGGCGCTTGCTGCGCGTGTAGAAAACGATAACCTTGCCAATCCCACTAGCGATGAGAGCCTCCTTGTTGATCGGAAGGCGGCCCAGCGCACCGATCAGATCCCGCTGGATATTGTAGGCCGGCAGCGATCCGTCATCCAGCGGTTCCAAAAAGAATTTCACGGCTTCCAACAGGTTGATTTCCGGATCGACCAGACTGTTGACATACTGGTTGCGATTCAACAGCGACACCACCTCGGGCAGCATCTTAAGCTTGTGCATGGCGGGCTTGCCCTCCCGTCGGTTTTCGGCGTCCATTTGCGCCGCATTGGTCATGCGACGGCGCATATCTTCAATCTCCGCGTCGGCCATTTGTTCCAAATCCTAAAGAGTTAGACGACTTTCCTTTTTCAGTAGAAAAGAAAGGGGAACATACAATGCCATCAGCCTTGCGGGCCCGTCTCTTAGTCGGCTTCTTCAACGCTTCGTCCATCGCACGATCCAAAGCCCGACGACGACCTGTGCAAATTAGCCATCTCGCCACCAGCAAACCCGTACACCTGTAGAGAAAGAAAGAACATACGCGTAGCAGGATCCAGCGTTTCATCATCCTCCGGCGCAACCTCCTTCTTCTTCCGCTCAACCTTGCGCCTAGTCCTACCCTCCCCGTCACTAGTCGGGCCCTCCTCCAGTTCCCTCATCCGTCGGGTCTTCTTCTCGCGACGGCCCTCGCGCTTCCGCTGCGACCTCTCGCCACCGGAGTCCGTGCGCTTCCGCTTATGCCGACCGATCAGCTTCAAATTATCCTCGTCGATGGCGAGCTGCGGACGGTCCTCGATATCGACGTTCTCGAGGTCGAAATCCTCAAACTGGGCTTCGTCGACTTCGGAGATGATGGATTCGTCGTCGGACTCGACATTGTCATTGTCGTCTTCCTCATTTTCGTCGACATCCTCCTTATCGGCGGCCGCGGCGGGAGGGGAGGCAGGCTCCGCTGATGCAGCTGCCTTCTCTTCGTGCTCTTCGTCGTCCTGCTCATCATTGCCGCCAGGGGTCGGGGCCTGGGTGGGCTCCTCCGATTCGGGCGCGGTCTCCGGCACCGTCTTGGGTTCGGGACTAGCGGACATTTCGACGGCGGGCGATGAAATCGATGTAACGGTGTTGAAGTAAGTGAAAGGGGGAAGGATAGATAGATAGTAAGGAGTCGGTAATATGTGAGATTAGATAGAGCGGCGAGTTCTCCGCGGATCACAACGCGGGATCCGAATCTCGGCTACCGAGAGAGATTAGACAGACAACAGCCGCGGCACTTGTTAATAGGTATTCTGATGCGTGTGAATCCCAAGGGGATAATAGAGCAATGAAGAAGAAACGCGCGCAGTGAGGTGGAAGACACAGGAAGAGAGGCAGGCTTAATAGACCGGAAGAAACATCATTTTCCGCGACACCGCCTGGTCTGTGCGCGGCAGAATCGCAGCCTCTTCAAACATTCATTCAACTTTCGCCGTCGTCAGTGTTTCTTTCAGCTATCTATCACCGTCACTTTTATACCATCCGCTTTTTTCTCTCTTATCCTATCCAACACACGTCACAATGTTCGCTCCTGGTTTGTTACTCTATCAATAGGAGGATGCTTGACCTGGGATATCTCAGCTGACATGGAACAGGCCAAGAACAGATCTCCAAGGAGGATATCCGCGTACGACTTCCCATCTTCTTCCCCTCTGATCTATCGCTCTCGATATTCTATCCGAGGGCCTCATGAAATCCAACGCTAATAAACAAACAACAGGCGGGTGAACAGCTGGCCAACCAGACCGTCCGCATGGCCGTCACCGGCAGCGTCCTCCTCTACCTGTGTATGTTTATCTCGCCACATTCGATGAGAATCTCAAACTGACGATATCCCGTGGATAAAGCTCCCTTCGCCATCGATTTCGTCCGCAAATTCCTGTAAAGGTTTCATGTTGCTATGCCACGCCATGTGTTGAGACCGTCGGTGTGAAATGGGCACGTGTGGACAGGATCGATCGGCTAGAATCTATCGCTGGCCGGGAATCGCTACGTCTCCCATTCGACCGATCTATATCATGATAGATTGTATTATTACCATTTTGTTGTATACTTGAATGCATCCCGAATTCTTGTCGGTCGTGTCTTGGCAGGGCTTTTCTAGGCAGTTGTCTATTATGGTATGAAAGTTAAGACCGTTTGTTTAAGCAAGCCACGTCATACGGATTCAGGTCCACAACCAAGCTCCAAAACTCCTTGCTCCGTGTAGGATTCAATAGATCAGTCAATCAACCGTAGGACTCGAAGCGTCCAGGACATTACAGAGGAATAGCCGTCCGTGAGTTACGCGCCAGTCAGCTTTTCAGCCTCCTCGAATTCCTTCTTCACGGAGACGAGCTCCTTCTGCAGGTGCTGGATCTGTGCGTGGTAGTCGTCGAGGATCTGTGCCGGTCAGCAAGGAGAGCCATAGAGGTCGCGACAGCTGTGTCAAAGCATACCTTCTTCGCCGTCTTCATGGTATTTTCATCAATCTGATCGTCCGCTTGGGCAGCCGCTCTCGGGCCAGCCCGCTCCATCTCCATCTGTAAGCGTTTCGATTGTTCGCGAATGGCAAGCATCCGCGCCCAGATCTCCTCCGCACGGCCGCCGAGCGAGGGATCGAACACCGATCGCTCCAGCTGGGTTAGCTTTTTCTTCAGTTCCTCCTCGGCATCGTCCATGGCGTAGCCTCGATTGCGCAGGACCTGGGTCTTGGCTGCCAGCGACAGACAGCGTTTGCTCAGCACCAGGTGCTTCCGTCGGCAGTCGGCGATCTTGACGGAGATTTTGAGGTCGTGGCGGGACAGCAGGTCCGACAGACAGTTGTTGATCTCGTGCAGACGAGTCTGCATCATGGACAAGAAGTCCTTCTGGCGCTGCGCCCGCTTGCCCAGCTCGAAGAAGCCCCTCACCAGGACGGGGACGTATCCGGGAGCGGGGCGCTTCCGCAAAGCATCTTCCCATTTGGTCTCGTCATCCTCCGCGCTCGGTTGGTAGAACGGTGCCGCTTCCTCGCCGACGTTGTTATACAGGTAAGTTCGGAACGGGGAAGTATGGTTGGCGGCCTCCCATTTATCCTTGACGATCTGAATCTGCATCGGGACAGTTCGATGTACTGTTACGAGTCAGCTTTATACCCCATCGGTTCACTCCTTTGTCAGGGGCCCAGGAACTAACCTCCAGTGACAGCTCGACCGGGCGACCACAGACTCGACCCTTGCTGCTGAGAAGCCATCGTTTGGCCCAACTGAGGCTGCTGCTGCTGCTGCTGCTGCTGCTGTTGCTGTTGCTGTGGTTGCTGCTGCTGGCCACCTAGTAGCGACCCTCCGAACAAGCTCTGTTGCTGTGGTTGTTGCTGCTGTTGCGGTTGCTGCTGCTGTGTCTGACCCAACCCTCCGAACATCCCACCACCCTGCTGCGGCGTTTGCTGCTGCTGCTGTTGCTGCCCGCCTAATGTACCCCCAAACATACCAGTTCCCTGCGGTTTCTGCTGTCCCAAGGCACCACCAAACATCCCACCTCCAGCCTGCGGTTGTTGAGGTTGCTGCTGTGTCTGCGTCTGGCCGAGGCCGCCGAAGAGACCTCCGCCCGCTGGCTTTTGCTGAGCCGCCGCGCCCCCAAACAATCCACCACCACCGCCCGTCTGCGTATTCGTCGTCGAGGCGCCGCCGCCGAACAATCCACCACCCTGCTGTGGTTGCTGCTGCGTCGCATTGGATGAGCCGAAAGGACTGCCTCCGCTAGGCTGGGTTCCGGTATTCGCGTTTTGTCCGAAGAGACCACCTCCAGTAGCACCGGCACCGGCGCCGGCGGCGGCGCCTCCAAAGGGGCTGGGTTTATTGGCAGCTGCCCCAAACAGGCCGCCGGACTGGGGTTGGCCGAAGAGAGACATGGCGAAGAGGGAGTAGGTAGACACACAGGGTCAAGATCGATGATATTCGGTAGGACGAGAGCTGCGCCGGCAACGTCGAGACAGTCCGGTCTTAGAGAAGAAAAAAGTGAACAGCTCCGCGACGGAAGTGAACGGGTCGAAAAAACGGCTGTCTGTCTTCAGACCGACTAAACCAATTAAACAACAAGGGGAGATCCGTGGATGCCTCAACACCACATAATTAGAAGTCAAAAGTGAATCGGAGAGAAGGGTGAAAAGCACGCGCGCCAGAGAGAAAAGACAAGACCACCGCGATACGAAGCTCTCTCATCCACGGGAGTTTCGTGATGGACCCAAAAGCAACCACTTTGTTTTTCGCCGGTCACGTGGGCGGAAGCTCACTGCTCTCGTGGTGGCCTCAGGCAGGAACTGCAGTTTTACATAACCACTGCAGCCACAGCCAATCACGGACGGGCAAAAACGGCCCTGACCAAGCCAACCTGAGCTCCCGCTTCATTCCTCAATCCCTCAATTCATCCGAGGCCTTCGACGACGACAGCGACAGCGACAGCCTCACGGTCCACACCACTCTCAATCCCTCCAATCCCCCTTTTTTCAAGTTACATAGACACCCACCAACCGCCACAATGTCGCGCCGGGAGCCCCAGTATGTTGCAACGCTACCCGCTCGGACAGAGCCAGCGCCCTTCCACCGATAGAATCATCCATCTAACCACCCAATGCAGGTTCAACCAGCAGATCCTCGTGGATACGACCCCGATGCCGGATCACATCCCCAAGGTGGAGGAGATCGGAACCACGTCGGCGCCGCTCACCAGCGCGGCTTACTTCATCGGCGACCGCTGCAAGGCCTTCAACGACGACTACATGAAGTGCAAGGTGGAGTCGAACGGCCGTGGGGAATTGGAGTGTCTGAAGGAAGGGCGGAAGGTCACGCGCTGTGCGGCTAGTGTGTATGTTTTTCAATTACCGGTGGACGAATTGGGACCCAACATATGTGGTTTATACATTGGATGGGTGGATGGGTGGATGGATGATGGCTGACAAGCATTGATGATGCAGAATCAAGGATATCAACACCCACTGCTTGCAGCAGTTCAATGCGCACTGGGAGTGTCTTGAGAACAACAACCACCGTCTGTGGGAGTGCCGAAAGGCGGAGATGAACCTGAATAGCTGCGTGTTCGAGAAGCTGGTATGTTCTTTCTTTCTTCTTTCTCCCCGGTTGTCCCAGCGATATACACCCCTCAATTGCACCCCGTCATATGAAATCCATACTGATGACAATATAGGGCCTCAAAAAAACCATTCCCGGCACTCCCGAAAACGTCGTCCCCGTGCACTTGCGTCCCAAGCAGCAGTACGCCCAGTACAGCGGTCCCCAATGGTGAACCAGAAACTACTACGAAAAATAAATGAAAAAAAGATAACAAGCCAGGACGCTTTATGGCAGTATTTTATGTTGATTTTCCTATCTTTTTTCCCCTTTCTTAATTCGTTCGGTCTAGATTTGGCTCTGCTTCAGGGAATGCGTTGGTTCCTTTGATTGATCGGGCTGTGCGTCTTGTCTTGTCTTGTGTCTGTCTGTGTATGTGTATATATTAGCATTAGGAATCGATGGTTGTTTGAATCGTCTACTTTCCATTTCCTCGTCTATACTCTTTCGTACTAAATCTACGCTTTCTAATACTCGTTTGGGCGAAAAAGATACGCCAGTACAAAGTAGTATAGTAGGGGATCTAATCAAGGAAAGAGATAAGACACGTTTCCAAAAGCCTCAGAAGACAACAATCAAACAAATGATATGATGGATGATTCCCCGTCCATCTATATATGAGCCAACCTATGTATGCATAGAATACAGGAAAAGCAAAAAGAATTGTCAAAAGTGCATGCACATGCTCGCCTCTACCAATAAAACAAACACAAAAAACACCGACTTGAATCAAACAAAAACACCAAGATCAAGATCAAGATCACAAAGGAAACGGGCCGGCTGAGGCCTTCTTCTTGTCTTCCATGCAGGATATCATGAATTGTGGGAAAAAAAAAAAAAAAAAAAGAGGGAAGAAAGGAAAAGGAAAGGGAAAAACGGTAGAAAAGAAAATGATAGAAGAGGAAGACCATATCAACCCAAGACGAAGAAAGAAAAAAAAGAAAAGAAAAACAGGGCCATGCCCCTTTTCTATGAATCAAATATGTACGCGAAGCGAAAGCGGAACACCGAAGAACAGTCGATGTTTGAAGAGGGGGGGGTGGGAAAGGGAGGTGGGAGGAAGGAAGAATCAAGGAAAAGTGTATAACTTCGGCACCTGTCGTAGCGACTTCAACCTCATCAACCGAGTCTTCACCTCAGTCCATCCCACCCGGAGCTTCTGCTCGAGTCGACGGTCGCCACGCATCCTCATCCAGATCAGCATCGCCCCCAGCACAGCCAGGTCCCAGATGATCTGTCGGAACGTCACCCACACCAGCCACTTGATCCAGGTCCAGAGGGCGTTGCGACGGCGCTGTGCCAGCGCGCGCGACTCCATCTGTTCCCGGACGGCGGCGATCTCAGCCGTCATGCTAGTCAAGGCCTGCTCGACCCGTCGACGCCATCGTGGGTGGCCGACATCCGGGATTTGCTGGTTCTGGTGGTGGGGGTGATTCAACCGTCGTCGCTGCAGGGCGCTGCTGACGTCGTCGTCGTACTCTTCATCTGGTGGGCGCTCCTGCTCGAACTCCTCTTCGTCGGCTTCTGGGTTCGTAGACCCGCTGTCGTAGTTGTCGGGGACTTGCACGATGTCGTCGATGATGTCGTCATCGTCGTACAGGGTGTCTTGTGCTTCGGCGTACTCCTCTTCCTCTTCTTCGTCCAGCGCGCGCTCCTGCTCGTCGATTTCGTCCTCGCGCATGGGCGAAGCGCCCCCGCGGCGTCGGTACATGTCTTCGGGCTGGCTGACGGGACTGAGCACGCGCAGTCGCGAGTCCCCGCGGGCGGTGGCGGTCACCATATGTTCGTAGTCGGATCGGGCCAGGCGATCGTTGATGCTGGGGTAGCTGGCGGGCGGCAGGGGTGGGACTCCAACGGTCTGTCGCGGACTGGACGCGGTGGACGGGGGCGTGTTGGACTTGATCTGGTCCCAGACGAATTCGAGTTCGGCGACCAGTTCGCACGCCTCGGGGGTTTGCGACGCGTATTGGTGCATGGTCTCGATCAAGGTCGAGATGTATCGTCGTTTGGCTTCGGTGCGAGATAGCCCGCTCTGGGCAAACCATGCGTCCCTAGTGGCGAGTCAGTATGCGGTGTCCCCGATGTTCTATCGTCCCAATCTGACGATCCACCCGTTTGGTCACCAACGCACCATTTCTCACATTCGGCGTAGACGTCCGCGGTGTTCCCAATCGGCCGATCCATCACTCCCTCCACATCGCCCTCTACGGTCGTCTTATCAGTATAGTTCGAGAAATTCAGGAATATGTAAGTCCATACCCATGCTCTGTTTGTACAAGCCATAGAGCTTCAGTCGTTCGGACGCAGGGGGTCGTGCGGTACCGGTTCGGGGGATTCGTTTGACGGTATTCAAGGCGTGGACGAAGACCCGATCTGCCAGGTCAGATTAGTGGATGGAACAATAAACCAAAATAAAAAGACAGTACAAAGAAGAACAAAAAAAAAGGAATAAACAACAAGAGCGACAATTCAATAAAGTAGTCAAACATACCCACGGAGTCCGACATGCTCATTAGGAACCTCGGCTGAGCGAGCGCCTCTTCAGTGTGGTATCGAAGCATTGGGGTCGACGGGTTACCCTCATGGAGGTCAACAGGGCAATACAATCAATCACATAAGCATTCAACCGATTGCGGTTCGAGGTGACGACCCGGCGACGATACACGGTGTGTGACGTGTACGAGGACAGGATCGAAAGGGGGTGTTGTAGAAAGGATTGTAGAGTTCAAGGAGAGGCAAAAAGCTTCCCCGGATTCCGCTTTCGGGGAAGAAGGGAGAAAAAAAAATGAAAAGAAAAAAAACCCGATGGGAGTGGGAGGCTCCAGGCACGATGATAACAATAGAGCAGGAGGGGAAATGGTAATTGTACCGGTGTGGCGTTTGAGATGAGGAATTAGGGGTTGGATAAACTGGTTTGAGGGGTGAGTTTGTAGTGATGATGATGAATGAGTAAATGAATGTGGAGTTTGTTGGCTGATTGATTGAATTGAATGCCAGGATTGAATCAGTTTGCGGTGATTGATTAGGTCGATGACAACGGATGAGCCGCGGTTCTCGGACATCTGGTGCCCTGTGATCGCCGGCTGTCCCCGTCTGGTTGGAGAGAGACTTCCCCAGATATACATGTCGAGAACTGACACTCCACTGCACTTAATACATATTAAATCTTAATTGTCTAGGTTCATTCATATACATAAATTGTTTTATTCTGCGCAACATACATGATACGGCTAAAAAATCAGTCAGCCCCGCTATAACAGTATAAATACGTGGTATATCATTCCCAACGCCGAAAATCAACTATTCCATTCAATCCGATATTTCATTTTTTCACGGAGCGTTTCTCAGTCTCCTCCGCAATCACCGTCTCGGTTTCTCCCAAGTCTTTCCCAGTCATCACGCCCCGCACGTCGTCGCCGGAGACAGGAGGCCCAGTGAAATGCTTGCGCGCGTAGACGAAATACCAAGTAACGCTGATCAATGCAAATCCGGCAAACACCACACTCGCGTAATTCATGGACGAGGGCGACACCGGCAACGACACGGGCATGCAGAATAACACCACGGCTAGCACAATCCAGCAGAGACTGGCAATGTTGATGGCGTAGCCAAACCGCCCAAGGGAGTAGCTCGACTCCTTCACAGCCTCGCGCCCGCGGACGACACTGATCAAAATGGGGAGGCCGTACGACATCAGCAGGCACAGGGTGGCGACGCCGGTAAAGGAGTTAAAGGCCGCCTCCGATCCGAAGTAGATCAGTCCCAGCAGGCAAATCACCAGGGTCGACAGGATGATGGACCACAGCGGCACGTCTAGGCGCTTGTCCACCTTGCGCCAGAGCCGGAATCCGGGGATGGCGCCATCCCGGGCAAACGCGTAGGTGCATCGACTGGCTGCCGTCAAGGCCCCAATCCCCGCAAACACCAAGATCCCCAGGAGTAGGAATAGTAGGCCAAAGCCGCCGCCGGCCGAGCCGGTGACCGTCTTGAAGACGAGGCCAATGGGTTGTCCGCTGGCCACTTCGTTGAGCGCCTTGACCGAGGGCAACACGAATAGCACGGGAATGAGGTATACCACGCCGGTAACGCCAGCGGCGACGACAGACAGCACAATTGCTTTCGGGACCTCTTTTTCGGGGTTTTGTACCTCTTCACACATGGCAGCCACCATGCCATACCCGGTCAGGGTATACGAAGCCTGTAGGAGGCCGACGAAGAAGGCCCAGCCATCCGGCCTAACGGGTTAGCCGGTGGGTTAAAGGAAACGGAGGAGCAGAAGGAAAGAAAAAACACACCATCCACTCTCGGACGCATCATAATGGCCAAAAACGAACTCAGCATCCCTCCGATCTTCCGCCATCGTCAACAGCGTAACCAAGATAATGATCACACTGGCCCCGGTCCAAAAGATACAAACTTTATTGATAAGGTCCAGCCACTTCGACAAGAAGATATTGACAGCCGCACAGCAGAGAATGACAGCCCAGAAGGTAAGAATAGTCTGCCAGGCATTGGGGACGAAATCCTCATTCCAGAGCGAGATAGCGCTGAGAATGAGCTGGCCGCCGGCGAAGGTTATGCTGAGCGTGACGGTCCAGTTCCCGACGAGGGTGACCCAGCCGTCGATAAAGGACATCATGGGGGCCCATTTTTTGGTGGACAGCATGGCGCTCCAGTAGTAGACGCCGCCGGCCGTGGGGTAGACGGCGCAGATCTCGGCCAGCGAGGCGGCGATGGCGATGGAGATGAGGGTGACGAAAACCCAGCCCCAGAGAATGGTTACGGATTGGCCGTCGACGAGGGTGATGTAGAGCGTGGTGCTGAGGCCGAAGGGGGCGGCGATGATGGCGAAGGAGCTGTATCGGTCAACTGGTGTTTCTGACAGGGCGGAGGTAGAGGTAGAAGTGGTTGTTGACATACAGACCCAGAATACTCAACATGCTCAAATTGCGCGGCAGTTCGCTCTGGTAGCCCATGCGGGCCAACGCCTCGTCGGCGTTGGCTGCGACGGAGGGTTGCTCTGGGTCGGGAGCCATCTCGTAGGATTCGTAACAAGGTTAAGATCACGGTTCAAGGAGGAGAGCTGAAGGGATGGGGCGTCATGCCGATGACAGACAAAAGGGTGAGGTGACGAGCAGGAAGAAGAGTTGAATGGACGCAATTGAGCAAGGGATCAGAGTCAAAAACGTGACTGAAGGAATATGAGGGGAGCTACCCAAAGAGTACATGCATCATGCTGCAGGGTCACTCCTAAGTAATAAACTAAACCGCGACCATCGGCACCGATAAGGGACTTGGTTTTCGCAGGCGCTCCTTCGTTGACGCAAGTACCATCAGGATCCTAAAGTTACCACCAGTATACCTAGTACTACCCCAGACACTAGTAAGAAGGATGCTCAGACCATAGATAAGACCCTAGCGTCGAAGATTCAATACGCGACTAACCTTCTCCAATGGTGATCTTCTCCTTATAGATACGGTAGATACGGTATCATATCTTACCCACCTTACCCACCTGGGGAGTAACTAACGTAGGTAATGATATCAAGGCAATCAACAAGAGATAGTAATGGATACCCCAACCTTAACAAATGCCGGCGGTCCCGGAGCGCGCTGATAACGTATCGGAGGTTTAGCATAGATGTGGGGTCACGGTCCAATGCCCTGGCAGACCAGAGGGTGCAGAATCCACATGGCTCTCTCTCTTTTTCTTGCTTCCCCGCCTCTTGACATTGATCCATTCGTATATTAATTAGATAGATGGTTATCTACACGATGGAACCGACTCTATCAGATAAAATCTTGATCCCAATACTGACCCTCACAGGATCAATTCAAACAACCATAATCCCTCTATACTCCATGTATCAATCCGTCGACTCCAAAATAGAATCAATCAATTCAATCCACGTGCAAAACATGTAAGGAGCTCAGGCTATCCTCTCCAGATCCGACCAGACAATTTTTCCTTTTGTCCTACAACGCAACTCTTACTCGACCTCAACCCCAAGTATCATTTGACCGATTTTATCTTATTGAACCCACCCCCACATCTGACATCAAACACATACGAGGTACATCCCCTCATTTAATTCTTCATCCCCATAAAAAAAAACGTCATAGCCATCGTCACCGTCACCGATTTCGTTCATCCTTTTCCCCCTCCGCAGTCCGCGCGGTGGAAGTGGAACCGAACCGCCCACTTAACTTGCGGGGAAGAATGAAAACGGTCGGTCAGGGACGGACGGGCGGATACGAGGAGGGAAACTGGGGTTGAACCATACATGATACAACATTGGGTTACAGGTTCTGTTCCATTACTCATGGCCCTGGCTTTTTTTCCCCCGCAGAAAACCCAAATGGTACAGTACTTATGAGGCTGTGGTTACAGTTGCAATTAGAGTGAAGTCTTCAGGTCTGGGGTCAAATAGTGTCCATTCAAAGCTATCAGTAGGCTTTTTTTTGTTTTTGATCGTTCTCCTTCTACATACATCATGCGACTATATCCGTCGATAAAGTTGGCTGTCGCCGATATAGCCAACCGCTGGTTCCGCCCGTCTCATAGAGAAGGGACAAGGCGAGCCAGGACCAAACCAAGAGAAGTGCCAGTAGAGATAAGGCACCTTGTGAAGGAGAGACACGAGAGGGGGAGGAACAGGAAGTGAAGGCGGGGGCGTGTGTCAGGGGATAATAAAACGACCGTTGAGGGATTATAAACACATCCAACCGAGTTGAAATAGGGAAGGAAATTCAAGGGGGGGTATCAAACAAGGAAATGGGGGGCACAATCGAGATATTTGATTGATAGGTAAACAAAGCAGAACTGTCTTTTGAGGGGGAGTTATGTGTGGCTTTTGGTTTGGTTTGTTTTTTTCTTTTGTTGAATCTCTCTATAGTACGTTCAGACTCGCAGGCACGAGGGGCGAAAGTAGGCCCCGTCTGTCTCCGATCGTGGATCGGAGCCCTGCGAATGCACTCATAAACAAGGGGGTGAAGAGGAGGAAGGCAAGATGGTGGAAGATGTGGGAGGAGGGAAATAAGGAGACAAGATACAGGGAGATAAAATCACGGGAAATGATGAAGGATTGCTCATGAAAAATGGAAAAGAAAGAATTGTGACGTGGGGATTAGATGTTGGGTGGAGCAATCCGGGCATCAACCCCAAGCTGCCCTGCTGGCATGCCACCTGGCGGACTGCGCTCCCACCGCCATTTGAGGAGTTTTGGAAGGGCCGTCTGCTCCCCAAGTCGGTCATCACGATGCTGTCGTTTTCGTCGTAGACCAGAACAAAAAGCCAGGACTTGGGAGGCCAGTCCGTGGCTCATCAAACTCCAAGCGGTTGGTTCTTTTCTCATCCTGAGCGTCGTGTCGATGAACTAACCAACGTCAACCGTCGTCGGTAGTCGACTCATCAAGGCGTCCAGCCGTCATGACAAGAGAATGCCAAAGAGAGCATGGTGGAGACGAAAACGAAATGAAAAGCAAAATAAAAAAAGGGGGAATGGAAAGAAAAGAAGAAACGCCCAATCATGCTGTCGTCAATCCAGATAAATCGTTACATGCGAGTGATGGATGCAATGATGCCACCCTGCGAATACATCAAAAAAGGAAAAAAGAAGGTTGCCACAACGTCAGGGACTGAGGACGGCACAGATGTCGTCGTTCCCGTCTAGCCCGAACCCGGCCATATCAACGGAATGTAGAGAGCCTGGACCACGCCCCAACGAGATGTCGGATGACGCATAGTCGTGCTTGAGGCGTTCGTGTGGTCCAAAGAACGGCCGCATTTCGTCGTTTGGCGTGTTGCCGTCCCCAGCGGCCCACGGCCCATGCTGCCAGAACCGGGTGTTTGCCTGTTGGTCCCCAAACAGATCGTGGTGGTCCTGATGCACTTCCCCACCGTGACTGGGGAAGTCATTGGGGGACTGGAACCGCAGATGCGACCGGCTGAAATTAGAGCAGGGCGAATCGGCATGAAGCGGGAAGTCTAGGCCCGTGAACGGGAGATCTTCGACCGTCGTGATGTCGATCGTGGGGTTTTCGGTCTGTTGGGCGAGAGCCGACGCGAGGCGGAGGTTGGACGCGGAGCTCTGACGGCTGTGGCTCGCCGACCGCTCGATCGCTCGCTGCACGAAACTGCCACACGTCTTCAGGATTTTCTCCTGGTCCTCGGGGGCCAAGCCGGCGAAGTAGTCGTTCGCCAGGGAAGGCTTGGGGAGCTCGGGCTCGCACGGCGTCAGACCGAAGGTCTTCTGTGCGTATTCCGTGAACCCGGACGGCATGTCGTAGGGGGACTGGTAGACGGTCGGCGTCTGCTCCTGCTGCTGTTCCAGGAAGGCATACTTGCGTGGCATCCGCCCAGAGAACGCCGTGCCCCGACTGGCCGACTCCTGCCGGGCATTCTCCGACTCCTTTTTCTGGATCACATCCAACCGATCCCGATGACTCACCACCGAGAACCGAAGCATCTGCAACAACCGAGTCACTTCCTCCGAGCGCATGTTGAGGGGTTGCGGCGGCAGCAAGGTGCCGTCGGCGGCCCGTGGTTGCACGCGTTGTTGGGCCATGGCCAGCTCCAGTTTCTCCAGGCCATTGGACGGCATCATGGAGCCCATCGGCCCCAACAGGGTCTCGACGACCAGCTCGGGGCTAACGATGGTGTACCCGGCGAACACGTTGGCATGTTCGGTGATCTGGACCAAGCGTCGACGGGCGATAAGCTCTCGGACATTGGCATAGGTATTCGCCGGGAGGGAGGAGTGGCTCTGCTGCTGCGGCTGCGGGGTATGGTGTTGGTGGTGGTGATGGTGGTTGAGGTGCTGCTGCTGCTGGGATTGGTGGGGGTGGTGTTGAAATCGAGACTTGGCAATCGATGGATACGGAGCATGGCGGGCAGATTGAGTGGGCAAGGATCGATAGGCCGACGGCATCGCAGAATGGGCGGCGGAGGTGACAGAAGGCGAGGGAGAGGAGGTCGACGAAGTACGAGGAGGAGGGGCAAAAGAAGGGCGCTGCAGTAGGGAAGGGCGGGAGAGAGGTGCAGCAGCAGCGGTGGTGGTGGTGGTAGTAGTGGTAGTAGTGGGAGTAGTAGTGGCGGGAGCAGCAGCAGCAGCAGCGGCGGCGGCGGCGGCGGCAGCAGCGGGGGCAGCAGGCGAAAGGCGATGGTGAGGGTGGCTGGGCGGGTAGAATTGTCGGAGGTGGTTGAGGTGAGGAACAACAACAGAAGGAACAGGAGGAGGAGGGGCAGCATAGTGACTATGACTAGTCCGAGAAGTAGAAGGTTGAGGCGGGACGTGGTGGGGGTAAGAGGGGAGCCGGGCCATCACGGCGCCAAGAGACTTAACGCTGTCTAGGAAATTCGACCGCGGGTTGTGGACGGACACGCTAGGGTTGTGTGTATACTGAGCCCTACACTCGGTCGACGACTGGCCCAGGTAATACCAGACCCGGTCACCCCTGTTCAAGTCCACTGGCCCCGACGATGGTGGGGCTAGGTGGTGATTAGTCGTATCGACCGTCTCGAACTCGGCCCACTGATATGGAGATCGCCCATCGCCAAATGGTGTTCCTGCCACGGGCATGGCCGAGTCCACTTCTTTCCGACTGTCGGGCTTGCGCGCCAGATGCGCTGGCAGTGGTTCAATCCCGGGCGCCAGAGCTGCAAAGTTGCTCCGGCGCACAAACAGCATCCACCGGTACGGCAGTTCGATGACATCCCTGGAACCATGGTCAGCATCAAGTATAGTTTGAGATGTTTGTTTTTGAATTTCCGGAACAGGAAAATCCCAAAACAGCTTTGCAGGTGGTTGGTTTAACTTACCCTCGAGGAAGCACTTTCACTAGGGCCGCCCGCTCCTCTGGTCGATTCTCCACCACCACGGTGCCACTGATCTCCTTGTCGGCCTGGAACTGCACCAGCTCCCGGGGTCCCAACCTCTGCGCCATCGCCAACAGTTTTCGGTCCTTGTCGGGCGAGTCGTGACCCACCATCCACGCAGGAAGCTTCTGGCGATGGAACTTGCACTTGAGATCCACACTGGGGATGGAGTACTGGTTCCCGTCGTCTGCGACCACCGCGACCTGGCCTTCCTCTACTTGCACACCAGCCAAGATTGCACAGGTGGCGTGGTAGGACCGCGTGCATTTACCGAAGCTACACTGGAAACAGGCCCCCCGCACCTCACGGCAGTACAGGCACTTGAGACCCATCCGAGCCTTGGGGATATTGTCCACGTCACACACCGTCTCTTGGTCGGACCCGTTACGGAGAATGGTGGTCTCCTCGGTATACAGCGCACAGCGCCGATGAACCTGCGACTTTCCATCTTCGGTCGGGAGAAGATCCTCGTGGTCCATATCGTTCGGGCACAGGAGGCAGGGTTTCTTCGCCAGGTTGAAACCAGCCTTGATACGTTTCGTCTTGGTTGTTTCGCCATCGTGCTTCCGTTTGCGACCGCGAGTAGACGTCTTTTCCGGAACGCTGCGCGGGGGAGTCAGAAGATCGGAGGCCCCCTCGACTTCATCCAGATCGCTCTCGAATTCGCCGTAATATTCGGGCGTTGATTCGCCACGCAACTTGCGCTCGATCTCGTCCACGTCAATCCAAACACTATCCGCTTCGCAGTGACACTTCTTGGCCACGCGAGCGTAGTCCAACCACTGTTCCGTCGCGAAGTTGACCGATTCAGCGCAATTGTATCCGATATTGTACCCGGAATGGTACCCATAGGGGTAGGTGATAACGAACTCGCCCTCGTAGTGAACTAGTCGGTTGACGGTAATGCCATATTGGGATTTGAGGAGACTCGGCGACACCAGGTAGGTTTTGTGACGGAGAAATTGACCGCAGTTCTTTGCATCGCTGGTCCAAATGCCTGGAATTCCTGTCAGTACCAGTAACACCACTCTAGCCCCACAGACCCAACTTACTCTTCATGGCTTGTTCGAAACGGGGAGCATCCTCCTGCGAGATACTATACCACTGTTTGGGTGCACCAAAGTGGATATAATTGATACTGTACAGATCCACGTCCTCCAGATGCCAGGCGAAGGTTGCTTTCCACATGCCCAAGTATAGATACGCGGTGTTCACTCCGGGCACCTTCTGACCGAGAACATCCAGCAGATTGGGCAGTTTCGCGACATTCCAAGTTTGGGTGATATTCTCATCGAACAGGGAGCCCGGCATATCCGCCCCGTACATCGGGTTGTTGAACATGAGCGACTTCCAGTATGCGGTCTCCAGCTCCTCGCATCGTTCGGCAGTGTACTCCCCATGGTCGTGGATGCGATAATCAAAGTCCTTGAAGGCCTCCTCGTCGATAAAATCCACCGCGTCGCCCTTGTTGTTCTTTCGCCGTGCCGTCACCGATTTGGGCTGTCGCCCCTTGGGCTTCGTCGCGGGGAGTGATTCGCCGTCGCTCAACTCCTCTGTCTTCGCTTCGACGGGGTTCGATTCGGGCGACACGGGGGTTGGGGGCCCTTCGGGCTTAATCTTGTCGATTCCCTCTTCGGCCTGAGGTTCCTCCTTCACTTTGACCTGGTTCGCTCTCTTCGGCGGGCGCCCTGGTCCAGGTCGGCGCTTTTGTGTTTCCGACCGACCGGTCTGAGCCTTGGGGCCCGGAGCCGCACGGTTGACTCGCTCTTGGTTCCGGCGCCGCTCGCCGCGACGAGCGGGGGGTTGGTGGCTGCTTTCTTCGCATAGTCCTTTCCATTGTGGCAGGTTGTATGACCGTTGTCGCTCGATGTTCGCTTGGGTGTAGGTACCGTGGGAGCCGTGGAATTCCTGCATGATCGGATTCTTGACGCGGATCTTCTTGACTGCATCGTCAAGGGGTGGTAGGGCATCGCTCCTGCAAACGCAATTAGAGACGGATCAAGCGTAGACCTACATAGATCCAGAAATGCGCAACCTACCATTCTTTTGGAGGAACGACCTTGACAATCCCCGACTTCATACCATACTTCTCGATCTTCTTGATGAAGTGCTGGAAATCGCGAAACTGGTCCATGGTCTGATTCCAGCGGCCAATCAGTCAACTGTGTCCGGACAGGGGTATTCCCGCTCGAACGCGAATTCCAAGCTCACCGGTTTGAACACAGGGACCTTGCCACCACCGTAGTAATGATCCGGTTCGATATCCTCCTCTTCCGCCTCGATGGACATGGCATCCGGGCCGCCACCAGCATTGGGATCGAGCTCGAGGTCGGAGAGGTCGGAGAGCGCGCCTTCGGGGGCTTCCTTCTTGCCGTTGACGCTGTGAGGGGGGGTGATCGAAGCTGCCTCGGTCGCAGGGGGGCCCGCGACCGAGTCGGGTAATGGTTGATCAAGCGCGGCCGCCATCATCTCAAGTCGGACTGGAAGAGCCAAACGAGGGCTAATCGGTTGTTCGGGGGGCCGTCGTCGAGAATGCGACCGCTGATCGACGGCAAACGGGGGAATCCCAGCGGTCGGGGAAGAGGGCGCTAAGGAGAGGGTAGATTGCTGCACGCTAGTTAATATCGCAAAAAAGTGTCGCTTTCTGTGGCTTCTCTCTCCTTCAAGGAAAGTGTTGGTTTAAGTCGGGCGCAGAGAGGTGGCTAAAAAAGATAAGGGGAAGGAGTAGAGATAAAGTGTGGATGGAGTGATGCAGTGATGAAGGCGTGCGTGAGCCCGGAAGTAGATCAATAGATGATCCGAGCTCGGGTCTATCAACGACGGAGAATTATCCACGCAGTCCAATACCACGCAACCAGTAAATGACAAAGATGAAGGGCAGGACAATGGGAAGTAATAGGTAGGGTATCATCAATATGGAGAATGATGAAAACACAAAGCTCGTGCAGACCAATAATCCCTATCAATGCAGGGCAGGTTGAGGGACGGAGAGCGAGCAGATTTGCCGTGGTGCAGGACCAAGCAAGACCGCAGATACTCAGCAACGAGGGCGCTGGTTCGCCGACGATGCAGAGGCAGGATCTGTTAGCGGAAAGGTGGATGGGGGCCGCTAGAGGAAGAAATGGAAGCAGAAGGGCCAGGGGGGGTGAGCGGCAGAACCAATACCAGTGACAAGGAGGGTGGATCCGATGCACCAGATGGTCTGAGGATTCAGAGAGGTTCTGTACCAGGTCAAGGTAGTGTGCTAGGTAATGTAGGCCGTGGAATTAAGAAGGGATGAAGTGTACGGAGTACGCTGGTAAGGAAGGGGGGAAGGGAAAAGGTGGAGCTGCCTGAGGGCCTGGGACCGGTTAAGGCATCAAGACTAGCAGTATCAGGACTCTCTGGCCATGGCCTGAAACCACGGGCAACGAATGAGGATGAAGATACGCAATGGTAATTTGCCAACCAGCAGCAGATCACACAGCACGGGTCCGGTGTCGGGCTAACACCGAGAGACGGTATAATCGGAAGGAATTGAAGCAACTTACTCTGGATTCTGTAGTGGAGGGAGGGTATGGCTGATTGATAGTCTATGAGAGCTGATGGATAAAGACAGGGCAGCCTAAAGTATAGAACAATGACACTGATCATTGTTACTGCCATGGATCCGAAAGATCATGATCATGCTCCTGTTCACGTGACTAGTATACAATGACTAATACTGGATTTCATCCGGCAGGACCCGCGCTACCCTCACCACCGTAGTCCTCAGCACAGGGCCCGAAAAAGAAGGCTGTGCAAGTCCACATCTGCGTAACACGGTGGTATTGGCCATAGATCTTAATCTGGCTGGATATCAATGAGACTAGGGGCGCTCTAGAAGGTGGTCTGATCCATGGGATGACCTCACCGATGTCCATTTTCATTGGTTTGGCTTTGTTGGCTAAACGGAGGTCAATTCCCGGTTATCCTCGCGGTGGATTCTTTACGGTGAGATTTGAGATGCGAACGAAGGATTTATACCCTCGCTCATGACGTGCTGGGAGTTACCATTTGTTTCATGTATGGATTATCAAGTATACTCAATATACCAGGTAGTAAGTAGGTAGTAAGTAGTAAGGCTCAGTATTACGAGGTAGGGCTCAACTGAGAAGCATATCTACATCATGCCACCCAATTTCGACCAACTTATACTCCATGCTCTAGTCCATACATAAATCATATGTACCACGGTCCACGAGTAACCTGCAGACCGCTCCATCTTCTTCCAAACACCAACATACAGCATAACATACCCCCACACACCTCCGCCTGTACTCACGAACCCACCCCAACAACACACAAACTCAAAGAAACCACACCAAATAAATCAAAACATGTAAAGTGGGGAAGGGCAAGAAGAAAAGAAAACACTCCTACCAATACCTGACAAGCCACTAAACAACTCAGTTGAACTGACTGTTGATAAGATAAACTAATCCCAATCCAGCAAAGCCGTCTATCACCATGCATGAGGCTTGCTGCAAAGAAGCTGCCGTACTCGCACGCCACTCTCGAGGATGTACAGTAAGTAGGTCGGTAGGTAGGCAGTCAGTATGCACGTGCGCCAGTATGGGGTAGAGCTGCATCGCTAGACTGTTCACCTGCATTCAACGGCTTGGGTGAGTTGGTTTGATTTGTGGGGTGTTGCCATGTATGCCTGATCTCGATGATTTGACCAAGCTTACCTTGCTCTCCAGAGAGTTGTCGGTACTCGATAGACCAGTAGGCCCCAGCCATGAATGAGCAGTTGGGCACACACGGGTGGCGCACTGGCGCTCCATGTACGAGCCATGCAAGGAAAACTCGTTCGGGATCGACAGAGGGCATACATTGGTGGAAGTTGATATCAGAACTGCTGATGTATGGGCAATACGATCAGATGGGCATGAACGCATGTTGGCCAATTGTATCCGTTTGAGATTATCATTATGGGAATTGATATCACTATCTTAGGTATTGGTAGGATTGACTTCTCATTTTTTTGTTCTGGTTTGTGTATAGCATTATCGCATTGATGATGAGGATACCTATAACTAAGTTATGTACATAGAGTTATGCTAGGTACACCCAACCTGTAGAACATCATGCGGAGAAGGTACGAGACCTCTACGAAAATCAGAAAACCCGAGGCCTGTATAAGTCACGTTCTGAGTATAAACAACCCACCTCTTTTTTCTTCGTCCTCTTCTCCCTCAACCTCAATGGCGGGCCAATGGCTCTCACGATGTAATCTACCCACGCAACGGCATGAAGAACGCTCCGCAGCATAGTCCTAGCGGCGTAAAAGCATCATCATCACGTATATTTGCATCCGCATCCAGCGCAAGTGACACAAGGTAAAGCGCAATACGCAAGTAGTGAGTAGACCATAAGTTGGGCATGAGACAGATGTATATAGAGGTAGGCAATACGGATCTCACTCCAGGTGTTCAGCATCAGCATCAGTATCAGTATCAGTATCAACATTAGATCATGTTATGCCGTCGAGGAACAAATAGCAAGGTTGTTATTAGCCCGAGTCAGCGGCGATCAGTGAGTGGGTCCTCGGTAGAAATATAGATCTATCTCACAGTCTGAGCCATGTCTGTTTCTCTTAGATCTGGGTATATCCTTGTGTGGGACCTGTATTGCATATCTTTCGGAAGATTTGCGGACATGATTCTGGGCGTTGCTGATGTGTCTGGGTAGTACTACTATATTTGAGTTTAACAGTGCCATGTCTACAATATGGACGTCCACCCTTTCTTCCCCCAGTCTATCCAAAGGCAGGGAGGGCATGTATACCTCCCCAGCAAACCCCATCCAACCTTCAGACTCAACTCCCCGCCAACGTACAATCCCAAAAAAAATGTAACTCATATATATCCAATTCAGCTATGGAGCTTTAAATCCAGTAATCATAATGGTATCGAAATGCATGTATCCATATCCGTGCAGCGTCATATACCGACACACCATACCCAAACAAATCCAACTCAATAATCATTCAACCGCAATTTCTTCCCCACAAACCGCCGTCGTTCGGGTCTATCGGCGCGTTCCCGATCAGCGCTGACGCCTTTGAGCGCGTGGAGGAGCATGCCTGCGTCGAAGAAGCCGTCTGTTTCACTGTTAGTATCTTTTCCCAAAAACACGAACATGAAAAGAAGGAAGGGGAAGCACTTACATCCGCCCATGCCATCATCGTCGACCTCGCCACTATCAGTCGTGGGCGTCTCCGCCCCGCGATTAATCTGGCCCGGATCCCCCCGGACGATGCGCCCCCGACGGTGGTGGTTCTCGCTCTGCTGGAGTCTCTCAGCGAGGGCCTCGGTCTCGCGCGCGCGGCTGGTGCGCGGGCTCGTCGCTGAGCGGTTCGTCGTGCGGAGGAGCTTGCGGATCTCGAAGAGGTAGGATTCGAGCGTGTACATCAGACGGGCAGTCTGGCGATGTTTGGAAGACGCGCAGATGGAGAGCGAATCGTCTTTGATGATGTAGCCGATACCGAAGCCGTCGGCAGAGGTCGGGCCGAAGCCGAAGTGGCGCAGGCAGGGATTGCCGCAGTTGGAGGTGGAGAGGATCGTGCTATTGATCTTGTCCCAGCCGGGGTCGCTGAAGAGGGCGGGGGTTGGTGGTGCGGGGCGGATGGCGCGTAGACCATAGCTGTTGGTAGAGAGGCCGTCTTCGGACATTGCGGGGGAGAATTTGGGTGAATCGAGTCCGTTCTCTACTGGGCTGGAGCCGAAAGTTGAGCTGCCTCCTTCGAAGCTGTCGTTGCCGGACGAAGCGGGGGCCTCCTCGAAGGACCGCTGCCATACGCAGTAGAGCGCGTATAAGTGACGATCGTGGCCCTGCGCCTTGGAGCACACCTTGGTCATAGCCGTGTGCTTCTCGGTGGCTCTGCGGAGAGCGTCCACCTTCTCCTGCGGCGGGTTCTCGCCCCAGAAGGTCTTGACGAAGTCGACGCATTCGTTCGTCACCGTGCGGATGGCCTCTGTCCGGCCGTGCAGGAAGAATTTCGTCATTGCTGGCTCGTATGTGTTCTCGATGCGGCCGTAGAGGCCGTAGTAAGCGGCCTGGAATGCCATCTGCACGAAGGCATCGGGTGAAAAGCCCATGGACGTGATAAAGTTTTTACCGTAGCCGTTGAATTCGAGGACTTCGAATTCGTGCTGCTTGAGGAGATCCGAGAGATGAGACTCGGCGAACCGCAGTGCGATGATCAGCTCGGGCGCCATGTCCCATTCGAGCTTGCGCGGGGTGGTGCTGACGTTGCCGAAGCTTCGGGGGTCACGCTTGGATGGGTCGGGGCTGCTGGTCGCCCACAGGCTCGGGGCCTGGCCGTTGATGGTCTGGGCGAAACGGAGGATAGTGTCGGTGTAGAGGTCGCTGGCGAACCGAAGGACCGTGTGGCCGTCAACACCGGTGTGTTCGAAGTTGATACCCGCGCTGCCGTTCTTGCAGACGATGATCTGGAGCTTGTCGTACCATCGGTTGGTACAGGTGCCGACCTGCACCCCGCGGATCACTTCGCTGGTCCCGCAAAGCATGTTGGCGCACAGGTCGGACGTGCTTTGGGGCTCGGTGTCATCCAAGCAAAGGCAGAAGAGGGCGGTGTCGACGATGTTAAGGCACTCCGCGTTGTTCGATCCCTCGTCCTTGGTCAGGATGTCTCGCACTCCAGACCACACTTTGCGGTTCTCCGTGCTAAGAACGCCGAGGGCACCCTTGGCCGCATCGTGAATTGGAGTCTGCTCCGCGTCGTTGATGATGACCTGTAGGTTTAAGGCGATATCCTTCTCACTCATGATGAGATCATTGTTCTCGTCGAGAACATCAAACCAGTAGAACTGGCCTCGGCACAGAACGACCAGATGCTTCGCATTGGGATCCTGGCTGATCATGCACCCATTCTCTGTCGGAAGTCGCGCGGTTCCGAACAATCGCGAGTATTGGTACATGCAAAGCGGCGTTCCACGGACGTTGTCTGGCGGCAACTCCTCCCGCCGGACAGCCCTGACGAAGGCCAGTGCTGACACGGCCAGTGACGCTGACCGGGTCACCTGGTTATTCCGTGCAGGGGTGGGATCGTCTTCCAACAAGAAAAAGGGATTGAGGTTCAGGACAACCGCTGTGGTTTCAGTTAGTACAGGTAATAGATTGAGAAGGAAATAGGCAACTTACGGCTGTCACAGTTCAAATACGAGTCGTACCCTACAGTCGGAGTTTGTTAGACATTCTGTCGCGCTTGGTTGGTGAACACACCCATCGAGCACTTACAAAACTGTTCAATGTAACTTGTCTTCGAAGTAGCATAATTCTTGAGTTTCTCCTGGAGCACCGGACCGTCCGATTTGAGAAAATCCTGCACAGCAGCCTTGGACTCTATCTGCTCCCTCGGCGTCTGCAGCGCCGAGAGGGACTCAAGATACCGTTTGCAGGTATCCTCCAAGCTGGGGATCGGCAGCTTAGGTAGAGCGTCCTGATGAGAAAAGGTCAAGCCTGTTTTCGGTCCTACCACCGGGGTGGCATTCTCTTGCTCTCCCGCATCCACAGACGTTGGGGTGATTTTCGGTTCCAGCGACGGGTACCGGGCAGACTCCATGGTGTCCGCGAGTGGTTTGGGGGATGTGAAATGGCGAACTGCCATAGACGAGTACGACATGATGTCAGTAAGCAATATCCGGACCGCGCAGTGAGAATATCAAGCGTAGCGACAGGCAAGTAGAGTGGGGATAGATAAGAGACGCAAGGCGGTGCGGTAGAAGTAGTGGCAATCTTGCGTGCAGTAGGAGGGCATAGAGATTATCGCATGACAGGTATAATATAGATCACGAGATAGGGTTCTTGTAAGTGGGCTTGGGGAAGTAGGTGAAGTGAAGACGTCCAACGGACGGAGAGAAAAGACCGGGCCGGATGATATTTGTATTTAATTGGGAAACAAGAGGACCGTCCATGCGGTGCCACTGCCCCGGGGGAAACATGAGAGCGCGGGGTGGAGGGGGTGGCTTCGGAACAATGGGAAAATAGCGCCAGACGACGGAGGAAAGGGAGGCGAGGTGGAGGAGACTCACCGAGCAGTAGAGCCCTGATACGGCGCACCAGACGCAAGAATCGCCGGTAGGTAGTATAAGGAAACCTGCAGCTAAGACAGTAGAGCCACAAGTGGATCACTTTCACACGGGCATAAGCCTCCGCAGCTTTCCAAACCAGACCGGGGTGATGTGAGTTGGTGTCGGAGAAACGGATGGATGAAGCTTGGTGTGGGCTGTATAGGCAGGTTGCGACAGATTGCCAAGAGATACGATGCCCGTTGCAACGATAGTCCTAGTGGATCAGGTATAAGATTCAACCCGGCAGGAACTAGGAAAGCACTGTTTTACCAAATCAACGATACCAGCATCCAACAGGCTGATGTTTAATTGATATTGTACAGCGATGGGATGCCGTTCTCGCCGCAGGAATAGATGATGTCAGAAGGCGGGGGCGTCGAGTAACGAACAAATAGAAGAAACTTCTGGCCGAAACTCGGGAGAAAAATCCAAGACGGATGCAATATGGACAAATCGCACCGGTCAGAGGGTTTCGCTCAATTGACGCAGTGACCAATTGGGGTAGTCCGAAAGTCACCGTAGTAAGGTAGACACTAAGTTACTTAGACTGGACTATAAAAGTCAGTGATCCTGAACAAGTAAATCATCCCCAAACCACAGTGTATTATATTTTCTCTATTACAAATATCCGGAACACGCAATGACAAGATCATCTTGGTAGAAATCAAGAGTCACAGTCCTCGCCGTGTGCAGAAGTCAAACTTACTAGTCAAGGCTTGATGACGTTTCGGGCGAAGGGAAACCGAGTGTAACTCTGACTTTTGACGCAGTGGAAACGCTGAAGGGCCAAGGGAATCGGATGAACTGCTTGCGGGGGAACGGTAGATCACGTGCTCGTCGATTCCAGGCCCACTAAACCCTATGGCCGGTAGGTAACTCGCCGCCAGAATGATATACCGAGGCAACAACCATGGATGACTGCAAGAGTTCCGTGGAATTACATCGATCAACTGAACAGCAATTACATCGTTGCTATCTACAAACAACATGACCAAGGGAGATCGTCATTCAATGTTTGGTCATCCATATCGTAGTCTATTCCAGGCGCCAGTATACCCACGTCACAGGCTCGACAAAAAGAAAGAGTAAAAAAGAAAAAGAGGAGAGATCCAACGATTCGGGTCTGTCATTGGGATACCAAGACAGGAGAAGAATGAATATTCACAAACAAAGACCGGATAACGTCATGCCCAAATGGCGTAGAGTTGTGGTTCGGAGTGGGAGATGGTGGGGAAAGAGGATTTAAGTCATCCCTCCCCCCTCCCCAAGCACCCCGGAGCAAGCCTTGGCAAGTTGGGCACGGGAGACAAACATGATGATGCAATCTCGAAGGGCCAGAGGTCAAGAAAAGAAGATTAAAGGACAAGACTAGACACAAAGAAGTCAAATTAAAACAAAGACAAGTGTTTCGAATGACTGACAATTGCCAGAAAAAAAGATTCTCCATTCAAATTTGGACGTTCGACTTCCCAAAAAGATCGCAAACGGTCGATATCAAGAGTTACACCCCGCCCCAAAGCACGACTGACTGTGGCGGTCTTCCTGTCCATAGAAAAGGACCACGAAAACCCCATAAAATCCCTAATATCCATCCGGACAGCCACATGCAAGATTCATGGCTGCTTCAAGTACTAGGCGGTTTTCGATGCCCCAGGCGGGACCAAACTCCTGCTACCGTTGAAGCGAGAAACGAAGGTAATACAAATAGGATTCGGGTGGTTAGGCGGAATACATCTTGTGTCCCTGGGGACGAAGGACGTTGGCGGCGTATTCACCATCGAAGTTTCCTAACAATCATAGTCAGCGCACCCCTTCTGGGTAAACCTAGAGACGGAGGCGGGAGCATACCGGCAGGGCCGTAATTGCAGACCGTGAAGGGCATGTCCGAGCCATCAACGTTGCCGAGGGAGGGGCACACGACCGTGGAACAACCCACATGAGTCGTGCCCTTCCACACAATCTGGGTGAAATGGCCCCAGGCGTGGAAGTTGGACTGGTCCGGGGTGTCCTGGCCGTACAGGCTCTCGAAGAAACCCATCTCGTTGTTGTACATCAGGTTCGAGATCATGACGGCGACCTTATCCGACTTGATTCCGTAACCAATGTTCTGACCATATCCGCCACCGTCGATATCGCTATACCAAGAAAAAAAAAAAATGTCAGCCTCTCCCACATGCACCCCACACGGCCGGTGAGGGACACGGATACTCACGTGTCGTGCGTATACACGCAACGCTTCGCGAGGGCGTTTGCGCTAGATTCCAACTTATTGTCCCACTCCAGGGAGTTGGACGAGTGGTTGCTCCGGTGGACGTTGTGGCTGTACAGAACGTGCTCCATGTAGTCATTGGTCGGCTTGGCCTCATCGGCGGAGGTCGTGGTCGACATGGTCGTGGGCTGGGGGGCATCGCCGGTGATAGTCCACTCGCTAGACCAGGAAGAAGTCCAAGTGGTGGCCTGGCCGTCGGCCGGGGGTGCCGGGTTGTCGGTCGGGGGAGGCGGCGCAGGCTGGTTGTCCGTTGGGGCCGGTTGCGGGGGATCCACGATTGTCGTCACGACGGGGGCAGGTGCCGCTGTCGAGGGTTCCTGAGTCTCAGCATGCGTACTTGAAGAAGAAGAAGAAGAAGAAGAAGAAGTGTCCGGATCCTGGATTCCTGGTACTGGCGGATTGGTAGGAGTCGAAGGGGGCAGGGGTGCCGTGATAGTAGTCGTCACGGTAACAACAGTCCATTCGGTGGTGTACTCACGCTTATCAGCGGCGCTGACGGCGACCGCCGCGCACAGGGCGCTCCAGAGATATACAGAGCGCATGGGGCCTACGTTTCCTGGTAATTGACTGGATTTTCGTTTGTCCCTTGACGATATCGAGAGAAGTGCTCCAACAGGTCAACTGCGATAGATCAAGAAAACACTTCACCGGGAAGTATATCCGACCAAACAATCAAATCCAAAAAGAGCGAATTCGGGAAGGACCAAAGAGCGAAGGGCGTTCAAGGCTGACGAGCAGATCGACTGCGATAGAACTAACGGGTGCGATTGAGGGGGGAATATTGAGCGGTCCGGGGGATCCTTGAACTTCCGTGGGTAAACAAAAAGAGTGACAGGCCTGAAGAGCACTTTTTGAAAGAGTGGAAAAAGTGCACCAAAGGCGGTTTGGGGAGAGGAACGAAAGTGAACGCTCAACGGTGGGGATGGGGGAGAGGATAAAAGAGAGACAAGGGGAAGGGTAAGTGATAATATAGTAAATGAGAGAGTGAGGTAAAACCGATGGAGAGCGGGAGGTAAGCTGAGTGGAAAGGGGAGACCGTCTCCAGTGGGCGTGTTTTCCCAGTGGGGCCGTGCGATCTGGGATCATTAATTAAAAGGCAAATTAATCCAGCGCCCAGGGAGCTCCAACTTCACTTATAGTGCTCTGTGTGATGCTCGATCACAAGAATGATGAGGGCTAATTTTTTTTTTATTTTTTTTTATTTTGATTGATGACCATTATCCTCATCATCAGAAAAAGAAATCTCTACCAGGGAACGCTGGAATGCCTCTTTTCATTCAGACTAGTCTCAAGTACCATGGGAATGGCCTGAGGGGATCAAAGTCTCCCCTGAATGGGAAGAGGAATCTCCCAACCGCGTATGGCACATGCCACAAATCACTATGGGAGACTGGGCTACATTACTCTACTTGATGGACTGCCATGAAGAATCCTTTTTTCAGCTGAGTTTGGTTCTGGATAATATAAAGGATACAATGGATGTCTAACCTGGGGAGATCCAGAACGCCGTTCTCTTTGTCTATCAGCCACTCCACAGGAACACATACTAATTGTTTATCATTTCGACTACTTTTTTTCGCCAGCGGTTGATGATGGTAACCCCTGACACAGTCTAACCCGAATGGGGATATCCACATGCCGCCCCGTTTCAGGCACTGGAGGGTCTGTAACCAATGGAAGAGGCAGCTCAAACCCTGCGACCCCTGGCGCGTCTCCACTTATCCCACCGTCATGACCCATGAAGGCCTGTCCTCAGGTACTGGTTTCTCCATACTTCAGAACTAGTTCTTACCGCCGAACTAAACAAAGAGAATCATCTCCAAACAAAGGTTCATGCCCCAATTCATCATCCTGTCAGTAACCATTCCCGTGCCAAGGGTTTTTTACCTTTTTTTTACCTTCTTTTTTCTGGGGCCAATCAACCCTAAGGTCAAGAAAGTATCAAAAAAAAAAATTGATAACAAAGAAAGATATCATAAAGAATACCCAGCGGGTACAAAGGATATGCATAGATAGAAACTTAAAATAAAAGATCCGGCTTTGTTCAGGAAGAGAGAAAGAATGGAACGTGGCAAACCACTTTGCCTCTTTTTGTATTTTTTCAGCAGGTATCGCCCGAGGAAGACAACTCACTCCAGGCGGTAAAGTGGTGTATCGAGGGACAGGTGGCTTGCTGTGCAGGGCGGAAGCTCCGTAAATGGAGGTAACTACTAGGTAGGTAAGGTACGGAGTACGGACAACGGAGTAAGGTTAACCAGGGTACATCCGTCGATCAGTGAGAACAGACTCGATTGTTGTGCCCCCATGAAATTTCAGATTGTTCGTCATTTTGACACAAGTCAGATCAATCAAAGACTGTCTGGTCTCAATAATTTGAAGAATTTAGGATATGTAAAGGATAGAAAGAGCAAAGCACGAGAAACCGATGGTAGTAACCATAGGTAATATGACGATAATAATAATAATGATGATCATTTATAGCCCGAGGTGGCAGGATACTACTGCTGACGTCGGTAATAAACAACAATCCTAATACCCAACAATACCCGACCATTTTATTTTCCGGCCCTTTCTTCTCCTTTCTTTCATTGCCACCACAGGACCATTGAACGGACCACTCCAGCCAAGAGAAAATGGCTGGTAGGCTCGATTCTTTTGACACTTTTGTGCTCCTGGGGACGGGCACCAGCGCAGGGACGAGCAACCATGATTAACCACCAAAACTTGGCAACTCGGCAGCTCACTCTGTTGGTCCTCCACTAATGTTTCATCTTGAGGACCATCGACTTATGATCTGTGAGGGTTCGGAGATTACCTGGTAGGATCCATGGTTGACTCGATTCATCGAGATATCCCACAAAAAGAAAGATTTATCTTTGTTGACGGATTTCTTCTTCTGTCTTTGTCTATTTTTTTTTCTCTTCTTATTTCTGTTCTTCTTTATCGTTATTGATAGTGTCGATGTTTTATCTTATCTTTTTTCTCTAACTCATATATATGTATTATCCTTTGTCTCCAAATCGTAATCACCTACCACTGACTCTTTGACCACATAGGCAAGAGCCTAAGAGCTCTAGCCCATCCCTTTACATCCTCCAGCCATGGGGTCTAGACATATCGGAAAGGATTTTGATCGTGCCCAGCCTTAGGAGGCCTTGGCTGGGAAAATGAAAAAAAAAAAAAAAAATTTCTTTTCACCCAACTAACACTAACGCTCTTGGCTGGCCCATTGACAGTGTCATTGCGCATTTTTATTCAAAACTTAATTTATTCAATTCCACCGGCCAATGCCCAGTCCACACTGAGTGGTCTGGTCTGGCCTAATCTAGTCTAGCTGGCTTATCCCGACCCCATCTCTCATTCAAATGGAAACGGGACGCTCAGACGAGAATGGACGGTGAGGAGATCTGGGTCTGGGTCTGGTCTGGCTCTGCAGGAGAACCGCCCAGCTTGGTTGTCAGGTTTCTGACATGTTCTTGGTGCTCAGATTGTCAGGTACCTGACTAGGGACGAGCGATACCACGTTGACTTTGATGTGTCATTCTAGCCTATAGTCGGTTAATCAGGCTGGGCCTAAATCTAATGATATTGATGCCATACCCTCATCAATTCCTACCTTACATCTACCCCTCGTATCTATCAATCACACTATACGACCTCGACTAGTCCAGAAAAGACACTCTGCAACAAACCCACTCCACAATTACAGAAACAACTATAGTCTTGAGTGGACAGCGACCGTGGTACAAACACTGTGCATAAAGCACCCCGTATGCACATGTTTCAGCCACCGCGCTAACACAACCATAATATATTGTCCACCGCGTTGGGTAATCTCATTCGGCTCCAGATCGTAAATGAAGTAATTAAACTTGACTCGGAAGTTCGGATGGCGTCCTGTCCGGGTTGGGGCTCGCTAGTTGTTCGTATGTTGATGGATAATATCCTGTATCCCTGTCGGTGAGAAGAAATCGTCGCGCGGATCCGGATGGTTTCACCGGTATGATCAGAGCAATCTATCCGTAGCATTGGGCTGGGATTAGGGAAGGTAACAGGGTGACTTGATATGTTATTTCTTTTCCTGGCTATCATGGTATATGGGTAGATTAAGGTAGAAGATGTATCATAGAGGCGGGGTTATCCAATCAATGTTCCTCTCATCCTCACCACAATAGCCGCCTGAATCAACGAGACAAGAACGTCTTCCCTGCACTTATCCGTGAAATGCACTCTCCGGAGAACCCCTTACGTGGTACAAAGTACACAAAAATAAACTTTTCAAACGATCAAAAATTGGATATTCTCCGATCACCCGATCCCGATCTCGATCTCGACTCGTCAGAGCGGCTAGCTGTGTGATATCATCGGCAGGGAACCGTTGGATCATCTGTCATACCCTTGCGTTTTCCCTCGACTCATTTATTTGTTTGTTTATTGCTAGCGGTTAACCCTTGTCTTAGGTAGATATAAATACTGAGATCTGTGCGGAGGGATGGGCATGCTCGAGGGTTTTTAATATGTATATAATTATTACTCTGTGGATCATGTAAGGATGGGCGGATTCGGGCGGATTGGATCTAGATATAGATCTACGACTACGTCACTTTTCGCTGTGTATCTTTAAGTTGTCTGACTGTGTCTGTTTGATGCTGTTCCACGAAATTTCCGTGGCTAACAATTTTGTTTTGGAAAAGGAAGACAACAAGCTTTCGAATATCCGGGTGCCTGATACTACTGGAGTTCCCAGAACCCCCCCCCCCCCCCCCCCCCCCCCCCCCCCCCCCCCCCCCCCCCCCCCCCTCCGACTAATCGAGATACCTACCTAGCAACTGACCAAACTATACACCCAGATTGGACTCCTTTCCAATTGCACTTTTTTTGCGCGCAAACGAGACACGCTACCCCAACGATACATGTGTTGATTAGATGGGGAAAAACTCCGAGATGCATGTATCTACCCTGACTTAGACATCAACGGTTTTGCAGCTGCCGCTCTCACAGACCAGTAGGTAGTTCTTGGGCGGCTCGGGAGGCGTAAGGTCCTTGAAAAGCGGGTTCCGCGTCCTCAACCAGAATGACTGGTTTCCTACGAAGTCTCCCACATGCGATGGGCGAACGTCCACGAGCGAGGCGGTTGCAGTCGACGTCGAGGTCCCCGGCCCGGCTTGGCTTCGGACCTTCTGGATGAGGATGTCCCGCACGGAGACTGGCTCATCTGATCGCCTGATCACTTCCTCTGGGGGCTGCGGCCGCGAAAGATGGGTGGTCGTGAAGACACCCGTGACGCTGCGCGTGCCGGCCTCTAGGCCGACGATGGTGTCGAGGAGGCCCACGAAAAGGAATGGGTGTTGGATGATCTCTACCGAGAAGGAATGGCATGTCTGCCGTGCGAGTGTCCGGTACACGTCATCTTCTAGGAGGTTTCCGAGACGGAGTAGGTTGCGGGCGATCACGCCGTTGAATGAGGGCGTCGCTGACTCTGTTCCGGTCTTCAGGCGGAGAAGAGGACCCGGCATGTCGGCTGTCATGGTCGAGGGTGTACTGTAGTATCCTGCTGGTGTTGAACCTGCATATGCAAGGAAATTCCGGTTGAGATATTCTGATATCGACTAGTTAGCACTGGGGAAGTCTTGGTTAGGAGAGTCACGTACTCTGCAGCTGTTCTGCAAACTGCAAATGGCTGTCGTCAAACGTAGCCTCATACAGTTCCAAGAGCCCACTGATCAGGTAAGCGTAGTCATCGGCAAACCCAGGCGTGTCTCCTCGTCCGCCATCACGCCAGATGCGCCAAAGCTGGCCGGTGCTCTTTTCAAAGAGAGCTTCCTTGATAAACCCTGCAGCTTTGACCGCAGCCTCTCTATATTGCAACGCTTTCTCGCACTCAATCTTTTCAAGCAGCGTACTGCACTTTGCAAGCGCACCAATTGCCAGTCCGTTCCAAGCAACGATGATCTTGTCGTCCAGGTCGGGACGCACCCGCGTTCTCTCCCTGTACTCACGGAGCTTTTGCTTCGCGGACCGGATGATGCGAACCACTTCGTCCTCTCCAAGGCCAAACTCCCTAGCAAGCTTGCTCGGTGTCACTTTGATAGAAAGTACGTTCTGGTTCATGAACTCGTCGTGAGGGTCGTTCTCGGGAGCGATGTTGCCATCGGGCAGCACGCCCCAGTGACGCGCACATACGCCCGCATCCCGTGCACCGAGAACTTGCGTTAGCTCCTTCAATGTCCACACGTAGAAAGCGCCTTCGCGCTTCTCTGTATCGTTTGAGCTCGGGAGACTGTCCGCATCTTCGGACGAGTGGAACCCACCCGTCGGTGACTGGATCGGGGGCGTCGTCAGATAAGTGGCTAGATCATAAACCGCGCCCAGGAGTTCGGGGTTGTGGGTGATTTTAAACGCATCCACGTAAACGTCCAGGAGCTGCGCCTGGTCGTAGAGCATCTTCTCAAAGTGAGGCAAGCTCCAGTCTGGGGTAACACTATAACGCGCGAAGCCATGGCCAATATGATCCCGGATACCACCCCGAGCCATATTGATGAGTGTGTTGACCGCCATAGCGGCTGCAGTCTCGCATTCATCTTTTCCGACCACATCAGACACCGCACTCGGGTAGATTTTGAGGTTGAGCAGGAAGCTGAGGTTTGCGGGGGTAGGGAATTTCGGAGCCCCCGAGAAACCACCGTAGACGGGATCGTATCGCGACACAAAATGCTGGTAGGCTTCTTCGAGAAGCTCGATGTCCAGATCCTCATCCACCTCCCGGTCGCCTTCGAACGAATGTGTCCCCTCTTCCGCAAACTCCCGGAGCTGCTTGGTGATCTCCTTCGCACTCTCCCTACACCTTTGCTGCTGGGTCTGCCACACATCTCTCAGCTTTTCCAGTATGTCGACGAGAGTCAGCGTCTCGTGACCATGCAGCGCGGTCGAATTCGGTCCAGGCCAATAGGTGCCGCCAAACACGGGCTCCAAGTCCGGGGTCAGGAAGACGTTCAGCGGCCATCCGCCCGAGCCAGTAGTGGCCTGGACATAGTTCATATATACATCATCGATATCGGGTCTCTCCTCGCGGTCGATCTTGATCGGGACGAAAGACTCGTTTAATATCGCCGCCACCTCTTGGGACATGAACGACTCCTTCTCCATAACATGGCACCAGTGGCACGCCGAGTACCCGATGCTGAGGAAGATCAGTCGGTTCTGGCGCCGGGCTAGGTTGATAGCCTGCGCGTCCCAGAGCTGCCAGGCGACGGGGTTGTTCATGTGCGCCCGCACGTAGGGCGATCGGCTCTCGCGCAGCCGGTTAACCAGCTTGGGCTCCGCTTCTGCGGCAGCATCGTGGGACTGCGCGTGCAAACCCGCCGATGTCGACATTCTGGAAGGATTACAGATGGATTCCCACGCGGCGGGGGGTAAGTGTTGAAATGCGTTTCTTTTGGCGCGGAGGAACGATCTTGCCCGATTGTAGGCGGAAGTGCGTTGGAGGGGTCCGAAGCACTGATAAGAGTTGGCGGTAAATCGCCCCAAGGGAGCCGCGGCTCCAGTCAGAGATCGTCGAATAATTTTGGAGTGCTCACGTAGAACAATCTTATTTAAACACTCCACACGAAGACTAATTTAGAAGAGCGAGATAACTTGAGAATCAACTAAATTAGACTGGACAAGCGCCTCTGTAAGAAAGCCAGCCCATGTGCTTCGTCCTCTGCGCCCTGGCCCGCATCCGGGAGATCGTCGCCCGCAGGCAGTGCGTCATGGATGCATCAACGGTCACGTGAGGTGCGTTTACGGGGTGCACTGGCGACACAGCGTCTCGTTAACCGGTTCTTGTCATGAAGCTCGATTATGTTTTATCATGGATGATCTTTAGTTTGTCTATAAACAAGAAATATACCCTATGCATTCCACGTATCTCATTATGGCTGGCTTTCGCCATGATGTCAGTCCATTCAGTCTTCACCCATGAGCTCGGCCAGCTCCCGTTCTTCTTCTTCTGTAAGCTTAGGTCCCGAATCTTCCGGCTTCTCCTCGTCCTCTTCGGTCGGGTTTCTGGCCTTTTCCACTGCGTTTTGTAGATCATCCGGTTTCAAGGACCACTGTCGTACCGTCGCATCGATACTGACGCTGACAATCGTCCATCCAGAGAGTATTAGGCCCGTGACCTCTTCGAAGTGCCCGGAGAACGTGTGATGGAGCTTTCCAGTCTAGATATTGTGGCTGTCAGAACACAGAGAAAGTGGCAAGCCAGAACAGGGATAAGACAAGACACATACGGATCGATTCCACACTCGAATCTCTTCGTCTCTACAGGCAGTGACGACCCAACCGCCCTGTTCGCACACCACGACGTCTCGGACGTAGTCCGGGTGTGTTAGAGTCAGATTGGGCTTCCAGCTGTCCTCTCGGGCAAGACACTTCGCGGTCTTGTCTGCCGAGGCAGTCCATAAATCCCCGTCCCGATCGAAAACCAGCTTGTAAACGTTGGTGTCGTGAGCCAGAATGGCATCCGTCCCGGTAAGGTCTTTGCTGCCATTGGCGATGTCAAACTGGCGAATTTCCCGGTCACTCCCCGCACTGAAGACGGTCAATTCCGGGCTCTCGGATTCCAGAGAAATGGGATCCACCGCGAGATCTTGAATTCCTTTGACATGGCCCTTCAGGACCGACAAGCGCTGCTCGCTGGTAATGTCGAAAACCAAGATTTGCGCGTCCGCACCTCCGGAGACGAGGACGTCCTGTCCCTTCAGCTGTGTGCTGACGACCGATCTCACAAAATCGGTGTGGCCCTCATATCTTAGCTTCGGTTGTGCTGTAGCCACCTCCCAACTCCAGATAGTCTTGTCCCAGCAACCGGCAAACAGCAATCGGCCATCGGGGCTGAAACAGATACTCGTAACCGGAGCAGTTGGACCTTTGAAGACGGCGACAATATCCCCTGTCTATGATCACGGGCGACGCACAGGGCGCTATCTTAGCTACAGAACCAGCAAGATATCCAGAACGAAGGACACCATGCACCTACTTCGAGTATGATCTTCCGGACCGTTCCCCCGCTCTGGGCAACAAACACGACGCCCGCATTCACGGGGTCTGCCTGAACAGCCAGTATTTTACTCTGTAACCTAATGGGCGATCCATCTGTATTCAAGGACTTGGTATTCTTGCGAGTTTGATCCTCTAAAGCTGTCCTAGAAGAGGGGAATTAGCAAACATGACAGTATCTTGCTGGGAGGTCTGACGTACGTGGTTTGGAAGAAATCGCCACGGTGGGATGACTGAGCCATGTTCGCCTTGTAGTGGAAGGAGATGATCGCGCAACCAATAAATCCGGGACTGTCTGTCACTACAGTTCAATGACAATCAATACTCACCCTAGAAACCAAAATTGACCCAATAATGCCAGTGAACCACCCACTCGCGCCGTCGAGACGAAGATGGCAGAAAGAATCGAAGTATTTGCGCCCAGAGCTCCTCCAGCCCGCCGTAGCGCCCGACCTTTTCCCACCCTAAGGCTCCACCGCCTTTCCCGACTTTCCACCTATTTCTTCTTCTTCCTTCTTCTCACCTCGTCTTCTCTTTTCTCTTCTCTTTTCATCTCCTACGCGTTTTTTCCCCCCCTCCCCCCTCCCCTCTCCACCACCCTCACTCCTATAAAATCCTCTTACCTCCCGCTTTCCTCTCTCTCTTTCCTACTTTCTTTTTGTATTGTGCGCATTGGCGCGCAACTCCCCCCGTCAGCATGGATATGAACCATCTCATAGGGTCAGTCTTCTCTGCCCTCTGGTTTGAACCAGGGTTTGTGCGGCTCGGCTGGAGTTAACACCTGGCAGTCAGCGGTTCAACCTGATTTCCAAAAGTGATATTCGGTAAGCTTCCCACTTTCTAGCTTTTTCCTTTTAAATCTTTTCCTCTTCGCTTTTCTCCTTCCTTTCTACTCCCATCCAGTGCTCTCATCCTTGAGCTATAACTATTACCTTACCGAGCTAACTTAGTTCCCCACAGCTATGTTGGTACCTTACATGAGATCAACCCTGAAGCTTCAACGATAGCTCTGGAGACTGTTGTTTCCTTTGGGACAGAAGGCCGACGAGGCAACCCTTCGGAAGAGCTTGCTCCCTCTGCCAGCGTCTATGAATACATTGTGTTCCGTGGCAGCGATGTAAAGGACATCAGTGTAGCTGAGGATAAGGAACCGGCAAAGCCCGAACCCCCTCAGGTACCTGATGATCCTGCTATCCTGGGTGTAAGTTGAACCTGTTTTCGCTGTGTGGAATTTTTTTCTTCCTGCCCAAGTCCACCGTCTATGTCGCGGTCGGACGAATGATCACATGATGAAATATATTCGGATGTAAACTCACAGACCTGTTCTGAATTGCGCAAAACCATGTGGATATTTTCCGTTGCCTTCCTTCTGATATGATCATGGGCCATTGTTTTTTTTTATTGCACACAGCAAATGTTACTTGATTTGAATAACTTGCTAATTGTGTGAACAGAGCATGTCCCGTCCAGGACCTGGTCCTCAAGGTCCCCCCGGGCCTCCCCCTCACTCTCAACCACCCCACCAAGCTCGCCCGGCTCCTCCTGGGTACCCTCCGCAGCCTCCTTTCCAAGGCTTCTATCCGCCTTACGGACAGAGATTTGGCGCCCCTGGATTCCCGCCTGGACCAGGTTTTCCCAACATGCCTTACGGAGCCCCCCCGGGATGGTTTCCTCCCCCTGGTCAGGGATTCCCCCAAGGACCGGGCCAGTTTCCTCCACCTCAAATGCCCCTCGGACCTCCTGGCCCACACCAGACACCTCCGCCACAGCGACCAGGAGTCCCTGGCGCAGGTCCCGTAAACATGCCTAGGGCAACTTCAGAGCTCCCGGTTGGCGAAAGACCATCTAGTAAGCCTGCTAGTCGGGATGTCACTCCGGCGCCTGCGGCGGCCACACCACAAGTCACTCAGAGTGCTCAGGCGCCCCCAGTTGACTCTAAACCTCCCGTATCAGAAGCTTCACAGGCCCACGCCGGCGTCACTCACGGTGGGTTTGGTGTGCCTAGGACAGCACCCACTGGACCTAGGAATGGCCGTGTACAGCCCGCGATCCCGGTAACGGGCCCTGTCAAACCGCCGGTGCCCACTGTAGCCCAATCTTCTGCTGGTGCCCCCGGGAATAATGTATCCCAGGGCCAAGCTCAAGCGGCAATTACCGAGGCCACTCGCGCGGCAACGGCTGCTGTTGCCGCCGCCATGGCGAAGCTTCCGCAGCCTAATGCTCAGAAGTCCGCGCCTGGGGACGCTGCTGTCGACGCAATGACGAAGCAGATGGCCGAGATGAAAGCTTATGAGTCCAGCCGTGTTTCACGGGGTGGTCACCAGAACCGTGGCGGGCGTGGTCGAGGCCAGTATCAGGGCCAGACGAAGAAATTCGAGGTCCCCAAGACGGACTATGACTTTGAAACGGCCAACGCCAAGTTCAACAAACAGGACATGGTCAAAGAAGCAATTGCCTCTGGTTCCCCCATTCATGAAGCCGAGAACCCTATGCCTGAGGGTGACGACGAATCGGCCAGTGCTAGTGCGGATGGCTACCAGCTTTACAACCGGACCAGCTCTTTCTTTGATAACATCTCCAGCGAGGCTCGTGACCGTGAAGAAGGGACTGGCGCCCGACATGGCGGTCGCGAGTGGCGCGGCGAGGAAGAGAAGCGAAACATCGAAACCTTCGGCCAAGGTAGCGTCGATGGGTACCGCAGCAGCTACCGAGGCCGTGGACGAGGCAGAGGTTTCGGCCGTGGTCGGGGTGGTTACAATCGCGGCTACTCGCGTGGCCGCGGTGGAATTCGCGGAGGTCGAAATGCTTCGCAATCCACCGGCGTGCCTACCCAAACTTGATACAGCCCAACCTAAACGCTTGGCTGTTTCTTCTTGTCTTTCCATTCTTCTTTCTTTTTGATCTTTATTTCATGATCCACTTAGCGACCGTTTGACTTTTTTTTATCCTGTGTTATGGAAGTGTCGGATGACTTCCATGTGCTTTATCTGGAATATCCCCGGCGTCTGAAGGTGTATCATCCTACGGCTATTAACTCGGGCGTACCATGCACGATCTCCTAGGATCAGCAGGTTACGGTGGCCTTGGTGAATTCTTCTGGGAAGGCTTCTACTGTGGTGTCGAATTTTATGGCGTTTGTCCTTCTGCTTTACGCATAGGTTGGTTATGGCCGCCTTGCATCATGTCTGGATTATGATAACATTTGTCTGCTGCGCGTTCGGATGCATAACTTAACCCATGCCGTGGCATGGGTTTCTCTGGGTCGGATGTCCGAGTTTATTTCCTTTCCCCGATTCCCCAACCCTTGGTGGGTGATGTTGCTGGCCAGGTCAGCTAATGCCTCTGACGGAATACACTTTCTGTACCATAATACAGCAAATCATTCCCTGAATGAAAATCCACAAAAAAAGGAAGGCCAATTGGTCTACCAAACTGATACATGAACACGTAGACTGTTAGATGGACAGTCATCGAAATCAAACTTGTAAACCTGTTGCAAACAACAAGGATATTCCACTCGGCTGCAAGATATCACGACACGTTTGGCCTTCCTAAGTATCCTATATAGTGGGACAACCCCATTCTGTTGGGTGATTTGATATGTATCGGTGATACATGTATCACATCGGGACATACTCAGAAGTTGAAGATAGACATACAAGATACTAAGTAACAAGGGACACCTGGGCACGTACTCTAGTAGGAAATAATTACCCGATCAGGCAATGGTGCCACCAAGCCGACCTTCTTGAACCCCAATGCTGCCAACGTCCGTTTTCCGTTGCCTCCTGGTGCTGTTCCTCGGTAGGTGGGTCCCACCCGGCCCCTCTATCCGGTCGTAGACCGAGTATGTACGAACCCACGAATATTCATACCTAACCCCTCACCAAGAGCCTTGGATTTATCCAGACGATTGGTTGATTGGATCTTTCCCCGCCGAGGTATCCATCTATGTTCAGCAGACGTCACTCACCTCGGTCAAATGTGGGGCCATGTCCACCTCTCCATCCACGGTGTCCACCGGACAATGAGGCAACACTACCAAGACTCCAGTGCCATATATAGTCTGCTATCGATTTCATGTTGGGTGCTTCTAATCGATTGAGTCAGATTTCTGGACAGGTTGCAGCTAGACTCCCGAACAATAATAACCGGCGCCTCTCGGACAACAACACCATGGCTAAAATCCAGTCTCCAAACCAGCTTCCCTGGGATCCGAACTGTACCCAGTTTCCATCAAGGAAGGAACTTCCTAAGATTGATGGTGCCCCAGATGGAGCAGCCTGGGTTTGGGGGAAGGATGATCAGGTGAGTTGCGGCAGCTCCTTGCAGTTATCATGACTTCGGCGCATGGAGCTGGAGCCATGTCGTTTCCTGTGAGGGAAGCATCAGCTAACAAGCGAGCAGCTCGGACGGCTCAATCTGTTGACGCCTCAGCGTGTCAAGGCTGCTGCTGCGGAAATCACGACTGGAGAGATGGTTCGATTGGAGTGAGCCTCCCTTGAATCATTACAGCGGCGTGGTATAACAGTGGTACAAGAGAGCACCACTGCTCTCAAACCTACCCACATACGACCACACTTATTGAATTGGGACATCCATTCTGACAGCCATGTAGCCTCCCCCTCAATGTTCCCGAGACACCCGCTTTTGGCCGGGAGCAATTCCAACACAACATCAAGAGTCTGATTGATGACATTGCCTACGATGATACGTACACTCTGAACACTCAAAGTGGCACCCAGTGGGATGGATTCCGCCATGTACATACATATTCTCACCTCTCTATCTATCTATCATCTATCACCAGAACCAACTAACCAACCCAGTTCGCACACATCGAGACCAAAACCTTTTACAACGGAGTATACACACCCTCCCAAACCCTCCCCAGCCCACAAACCCAACACTAACCAACAACCAGACAAAAGGCACCGACATCCTCGGCCCCAACGCCAACACCCACAGCTGCAGCACCCACCACTGGGCCACCCACGGCATCGCCAGCCGCGGCATCCTCCTCGACTACCGCCACTACGCGAAAACCCACTCCATCCCCTACGACCCGTACACCCGACACGCCATCTCATTCACCGACCTCCAAGCCTGCGCCCAATCCCAAGGCCTCGACCTCCGCCCCGCCTCTCTCGGCGGCGACATCCACCCCGGCGACATCCTCATGATCCGCTCGGGCTTCGTCGAGCGCTACAACGAGCTATCGCCCGCCGAGCGGCGCTCCGGAGCGCTGCGCGCCCACGACGATCTGCACTGGGCCGGCCTGAAGCAGGAGGACGCGATCCTGGACTTCCTGCACGACGGGTACTTTGCGGGTGTGGTGGGCGATTCGCCGACGTTTGAGTGCTGGCCGCCGGTGGAGGGGCGTGGATATTTGCATGAGAGTGTTCTGGCGCTCTGGGGGATGCCGCTGGGGGAGATGTGGGATTTGGAGAGGTTGGCGGTGATGTGTAGGGAGAGGGGCAGGTGGTCGTTTTTTGTGACGAGTGCGCCGGGTCACATTGCTGGTAGGCTTTCCCCCCCCCCGCCTCTGTGTCCTTCATTCTTCCGCTCTATAGCAAAGTCACGACTAACGGTGCGCCTGATAATAGGAGGCGTTGGTTCTCATGGAAATGCGACTGCCATTCTGTAGGCTTTGATAATCCAAAGGAAAGCTAGCCTATCACCCCGGATAAGCAAGCTATATATACACCTAGTATACATTGCATATCCTCAACAATTGATGACCCATTGACAATAAACAATAGGATTGTATATGCCTGTGGAGTGCAGCTCATATATACATTGCAAATAGTTTAGACTTAACACGGGACTCCAAAGTAAAACTGGATTACCACACCATCACTTATCTACGTGTGTAGGAAATCATCTCATTGCAAGGCATAAGGCATAGGCATGGCATTGGTTAACTGATTAATCATAGACATTGTCGCGGGAAACATTGTCGTAGCTTCGTGAATCGTAATAACAAAGGAAATGGCACACACATACACATACTCACTCTCTCCCGCTCGAGCTGACAAGACACCGTATACCTGTATATGGTGCATCCAGCTGCGAAGCAGACTCTTCGTCCTCATCATCTCCTTCCGCCTCTCAAACCCAACATCCCAACCATTTCATCAAATCAAAAACCACGAAACCACCCCCAAAACCAATCAATCAATCACTTAAAAGATATCATCCGGCCACTGAAAGTTCAACCCCTCCCGACTCCCCTTATTATGCACAACAACGCCCCCATCTCCACTCCCACTCGCACTCCCACCCTGCGTCTTCTTCCCGCGCACCCTCTTCGGACCAATCTCCTTCGCAAGCCGTCGATCGACCTTCGCAGCTGTGGCAGCGAGGTCCTTAGGCAGGGGTGGTACAGGCGGGATGTAGCTGTAGGTGGTGTCGCTGCGGTTTTTGCGTTTGTTGGGTGTCGGGCTGGGACTTGGTGTTGCCACATCGTTGGGGTTGGGGTTGCCGTCGTCTGACTTGGGGGTTGTCGATTCCCCGGGCTGGTGATACTGGTACTGGTTTTCTTTATCTCCGTCGTCGCCGATGTCTGGGAAGAAGCGCGGGAGAGCCTCGGAGCTAGCGCTCGCAGAGCGGAGGTTCGAGCGGCCCTTTTTCATGCGGAGCGAGGGCACCCCTGCTGCTGCTGCTGCTCTGTTGCGCGAGTTGGATGCCTTCCGCCGGGAGGAGGGGGATCGTCTGGCGGAGGGTTGGAGGGGTGGTCTGCCTCTATCTTCCTTGGGGGTTTGTTGGATATTGGGCTTGGTCTGGTCTTTCGGCCACTTGCGTTCGACGGACCCCGGGCTGTCGCCTATGACCATTTTCGGTAGTTTGGCTTTGCGCGTGCTGTCGGGCGCTGGGGTGCTGGTGGGCTCCTCGGTAACTCTTATGGACGCGGATGGGCCTTCTCTCGCTTGGGCGGAGGCTGGGTCCGGGGACTTGCGTTTGCGAGAAGGAGGGCTGTCTGTCGTTAAGGAGGTCTGCATGCGAATGTTGTGGGAGGCAGACGTCGGGGTGAAAGGCGCAGCTTGACTCTTGGATTTAACAGGCGAATGAGGACCGCCTTTTAGCTCCTCTAGCTGTCGCTGGACATTCTCCGACACAGCAGCCAAACGAGCAAGCTCGGCCGACGGTGCCGATGGCGACGAAGCCGCAGCATGCAAGAGTCGCTCTGAAGGAAGCGAAGGCAGCGCCCCCGGTACGAACTTCCGTTGATAAGGCCTGTCCTGACAGAGGATAGTCTCGAAGACTTCGTCCTCCCCGATCAGATCCTGCAACTCGCGACGCGCTCTGCTGAGCTTCACTTCTAGATCGCTAACGCGTTTGAGTAACTTGGCTTGCTTTTGGAGTTCCTTGCGCGACTTCTGGTGTCGCACTTCGGGGTTCTCTGAGTCGTCGGAGCGACGACGCTGTGAGCCGAAGATGGACGTCGCGTTGATGGTGGGGATCCCCAGGGAGGACTTGGCCTTGCGAAGTTCCTTGATAGAGCTTCGAATCGAAGTATTCGATTCGTGTCCGTCGCCCGAGTTCTGCCTCGAGTGGTAGCCAGTAGTCGGTTTGTAGTCCGTCCTCTCCCTCGTTGATTTCGATTTCCACATCTGTTCGTCCGGCCCTCCCGGTTTCATATCCTGAAAATAACTCCCCTTATTCGTCCCCTGGTACCCAGACTTCTTCAACTCCGCGTAAGCCTTCTCCGCCTGCGCCACAGGGTCGTCAGTAGCGTTATTCGCCTCCGGCGAGCTACCCTTCCACATCTCAGTAACGTTACCCCAAGCACCAAACGGATTAAACGCCGACGCAATCGCTTTCCCGAAGCGGAAGATCCCGGACGAACGTTGGCCGGTCGCATTCGCCCCATCGCCAGCAGCAGGTCTACCATCGCGCAAGTAGATACTCGGAGGCCTCTCACTCACGCTGTCATTCATGTGTGCTTCCACGAACCTGGACCGTCGACCCCTCGCCGGGACCGCATGGCGGTTTCGCGCGGACGCCCGCGGGGAGCCTGTCGTGCGCCCGTGATGGAAGGGCCAGAGGTAGCTGGTGTTTTCCTTGCGTGCCAATAATGATGAGGGATCCTCTGGGCCACGCGGCCAGTCGTTGGAGCGACGGCGTTTGGAGGACGGTGAGCCAGCCGGCCCCGGAGGGTAATCGAACTCGTCGGCGTCGTCGAATTGGCCTGTGACGCCTGACAGGTCGGATCTGTCGCTCGCGGTGCTGCTTGCGCGGGAGTGTTTGCGGGAGCGGGGTGGCGAGCAGGCACTGGTTGATTGGAGGAGGGTTTGCTGCAGCTGGTGGGCTGCTTCAAAGGGCGTTGGAGACTTGTTGTTGTCGACGTTCGCTTGAGCGGGTGTCATCTGCAGGTCAGGGTGCACGGGTGAGTTGGTTTGAACGGGAGGGAGGGCGCAAGGGAGATGAGACAGAAGAAGAAAGGAATAAAGAGATTGACACGAACCTCCGCATCCTGTGTCATCTCAACGATGACGAGATTGGGTAGCCTATCCTCCCTTCTTTTGTCAATGCCAGTCTACAATCAGATATCTAGGAGTGACAAAGAGAGAGAGAGAGAGTAAAGACGGAGAGAGTGAGAGAAGACAGCATTAAGATAGCATTAGGGTTCTTGACAAGTGGATTAAACACCTGAACACTGGGCGGGGGTGTTTGTTTTTGTCTCAGGTGGAGAAGACCAGTCAATGATCGACAGATGGGACGAGTTATTTTGACCGCCAGTTGTTGTTGTTGTTGATTGTTATTGTCATTGTTATTGTTATTGTTGTGGTTTTGCCGCGTGCGGTAACTGACCAGTCAAGTATGTGCCAAGCTCATCTTAGTCATGTCTGCAACTTCTTCCTTTATGAATCAACTGGGTATCAGTTCCAACGGTTCGTCATTCTTGACAGTCCTTGATATGAAGGCTCTAATATTCCATCCTCTCCAACTGAACCATCTTCCAGACCCAGGAATGGGATATCTGGCGTTTGGACCGACCTGCGCCTAGCCTTATAATAAGAATGCAAGGTGTTTGAAGACGAACTGATCGAGGGGCCCGAGGCGAGGGATTGAGGGTCTTGGACCACATTCTGCTCCCCATCGTGCAGCAGTGACTGCCGGCCCACCTCTGATGGCCCCACCACGGAATGATCCAGAGGGGGGCTCATCTTACGGGGAACCACTTACGTACCAGAGTTTACGAGCTGGAATGTGCAGAAAATCCGGCTATCTCGAATGTGATCTCAGTGGACAATGCTGTCGTGGATTTGGTATGTGGCAAGCTATTCCCATTGTGTAATATAAGGGAAAACGTGGTGCCAGCAGGGTCTGCAGAGCACGAAGAATGCAGGGAAACTCAAGATACTAGGCATGATGTATCCATAGATTCATCCAGCTCCAAACCGCTGGATTGCGACGTAGAAAAGAAGACAAGAGATGAAGTTCATCTGCCCGGGGCAGGATAAATTAACCAAAATAGAATCAGTGTCTGTAACACAACACAGTAATCAAAGTCTCGTCTGGAGTATGAAACGAACAGTCCGGGGGAATATCTAGGAAACACATAAAATGAACCATATACAACAAGAAAAGAAAGAAATGAGAAATACAGTATAAAGGGAATCAAAGGAGAGACAGGGAAGAGAAGAATGATGAAGATGGATGCATGGGGCCTGATTCACCAACGAATCTATTCAACCTCCACAAAAACCAAACAAAAGAGATCTTCCACCACAACAAAAATAGTTCCAATGGACAATGTGCCCAGACGCCGTCCTTTATGAAAGAGCGCGGAGAAGAAAATGATTTTTTTTTTTTCTTTCTGTTTCGTCTTGTTTTCTTTCTCTCTTTTTCTTTGTTCTTTTAACAAAGATCGACGGGCTACGGCATGGCAGGGGTTGGCTTCGAGGCCATCCGCCCGTTCGCTCGCTTATATTCCATTTCATCCCGAGGACTGGGGTAGGATGCCTCCCGGGTGCTGTCTTCCGAGGCTTTCCGTTGTCCCACGGGGTACGATTCGGTGTCGGGCCGCATCCCATTATACAATGGACGATCGTCGTGACCGAACGTCTCCGCGTGCGTCCGCTTGGCCAACGTGGGCGCGGTGTCCCACAGGGTCTTCTTCGTCGGAGTCATCTCAGCGGATTGGCTCTGCGTAAACCCGCTGGGAGGCTGAAATTCAGGGAGTGACCTCTCAAGGGCCCTCAAAGGCGGAAGCGAGTGCAAAGGAGGAGCTAGAGGACGAGGCGCAGGCGGGGCCGTGGGCCGATAAGTACTCGGATCAGAAGACCGCGCTTCATTTGCGGGTACCGTCTCCAGCGGTTTGGGAAACGCTAGGTGAATAGGAGGCAGTCTAAATTGCTCACGGTCGTCTCCCGTGTTTTGGCGGGACTCCGAGGAGGGAGCAGGTCTCATCGAATCATACTCGGTACCCGTCGACGGAGTCCGGTGATGAGCCGATGGCGGGTGGGGAGAATAGGTGGCGGACGGGGTCGTAACGGGAGCGGATTGGGGTGGCTGGGGAGCCATATACTGAGATTGCGTCGAGCCGAAGGCAAGGTGTGACGGGTGCGATGCAGCCGCTTGGGGTGGAGGCGGAGCGGCCGCAACAGGGGCGACGGCGGTGGCGGCCGGGCCCGGTACGCCGGGTGCCGGGGCCGGGGCCGGGGGCATGGGTCGTTGATAAGGCTGGGCAGCCGGATAACCATACTCCGCGGTCGACTGCCGCCGTTGCGCATCGGCGCTATAGGGGTACGACAGGTCGGTCGTACTAATGCTGGCCGAGCGGTCGCGATCCGCAGCGTTCCGGGCGTAGGCATCCGACGAGGGGAATCGGTCCGACGATCGATAGGTGTCTTGCTCCTCGTAGTTATAGTCGTCCGATCGTTTATCGCCACGGCGTCTCATCCGGACGTCACGGCGAATCCGGACCCGACAGCCTTGCTCCGCGATGACGCGGCTCAGAGAGGTGCTCATGGTGAGCCCGGGGAATTTCTTTGCGCTGTAAACGCTGAACTGGTGAGAGAGAACGGCGAGCCGGAAGTCGAGCGCGGACTGGGGAGGGGCCGGCTTGGACGGAATAGTGCTGGGGTTGGGGGCGGGTACTTGGCCCGCGGGGGCGCCCTCGCTCATATCCTTGCTATCTTTGGTCTCCTCATACAAATGGAAATTCAGGTGGTAGTGACCTTCGTGCCGGACCGATAGGTCGGGGAAGATGAAATACCCAGCCTGGTGCGGACGGTCCAGATAAGCCACTCCCGCTACGGGCACCCCCGTCAATACCGGACAGGACTGCGGAGGAGGGGCGACCCTTGGGTGTGCCACCGGGCGTGCGCTCTCCAATGTAGCAAAAAGGAAGAAATTGGCATTGTAGGCGAACGTGATATCGGTCTTGTTGTGCTCGTCGTGGGGGTCCGACTCGAAGATACGCAGTTCGACAACCGGGGGCGGGTCGACAGGACGACGGTCCGCAGACGCTGTTAGGACGAGCGACAGTCAGCTTCGTCAGGGTCTCTTTCTCTGGGGTAGTTTAGAAGTCGTTGCGCACATTTAGCACCGGCACCGCAAGCCCTTGCACGGTGCGGTTCTTGCACCACAACCAGTCGGTAGGTAAGCAACTTGCCGCCGCGGGTGATCCGGCTGACACAGTGCTCCCCGATGGGACCCGGAGGCGGCATAGGACCTCTGGTTGCCATCTTGATTGCTACCCCGTGCGATCGAATGATATCCTGTTTGATGCCATCAGTATACTCTGGAGGATCATCAAGCATCACGCATCGACCGAACAAAATTTCCGGAATACAACATACCTGACAACCTCAAACGCCACGCTCAAGCTCCAGGGCTGATTTCCAGCGTATGTTCTCACACACGTCAACTAATACGTATACAGCGTTTAGTCCGATCTCTGGTGGTTCCGTTCTTTAAGAATCCTGTGTGAATTCCAAGCTGCGACCCGACTCGTAGGTATAGCGGGACAAAGGATGGGCGCAGGTGATCAAGGCATCTACCGGCACGAGAGGAACCTCTATGGTGCGAGAATGGAGAGACGAAAAGGAGAGGGGGAGGGGGGGGAAAGAATATCACTGAGGCTGCTGTTGATTTAACGAACAGCGATCAATCCCAGCGATTGACCTATATAGAAAATGGAAGGGAAAGGGTGAACGAGGATCGTGAAGATTAAGGATAGAGTGTGGAAGAAGTCGGTAAGTCGGGGTGGGAGTAGGAGAGATGAAGGTGAACTAGCGAAGAAGAGGAGGGGGGGAGCGCAGATAGACCTCCCACCTGTCAGCTGTAACCACGGTCCCGTTGCCGCCATCATGATCTAACTATACCATGGACACTAAACCCCAGCGGTGGTAAGATTCACTAGCTTGGTACTTACGAGATATCCTGATGGGTTCAGTTTTTCTACGGGGACGGCCCACTTTCTCGATCTTGACCACTGGTAATATTTTATCTACACATTTTTCCTCCAAATGTTCTAGTTATTCAAGTACAATTAAGAAGAAACAAAAAATAAGAAATATAAAGAAAAGAAAAGAAAAGAAAAATACTGATTATCCAGACTGCAAAGAATGGGATGAATTCCTCAGGTCGGTCTGGACGAGTAAATTGAGTGGGTGGTACTTTTTTTTATTTTTTTATTTTATGATTATTATATCTTTATTATTATTTATTCTTCTTACTAGTATGCAAGTTTGTTACCAACAAGGCAGGACCCAGCTGCAACCACGGAGCCGGAATGGTGGGTACTGGGCCAGCACGGATAAAACTGAAAGGTAAAAGGGGAGAGAAAGGAGGAGGGGGCCATGTAAGCTGTGTATCTCCGTATGGACATTTCACGAGGGCTGTAAATAATGACAATCAGCGCTGCCTTGGCGGACATGATCGGACAGAATCAAGAAAAAGAAAAAGAAGGAGAATAATGAAGAAAGAAAAAAAAAAAAAAAAGAAAGAGAAGGAGAAAGAGAAAGAGAGAGAAAAAAGAGCATACTCCGTCGTAGGAGTAATAATAAAAGCAAAAATAAAAATGAAATACAACCCTCGATCTGTGGTTTCACCCCAAAGTACGGACTACGGAGCATATGGTCATCACTGCCAGTGGACCCTCCGTACCGTCCCAAGTGACAAAACATCACTTACTCCGCCCCGACAATGATTCCAAAGCTAAGAGGAATATTGGGAAAAGTCACGCCGGCGCCAGTGCGGAATGGAACTGCATGACTGGACGGAGGAATCGTCGGGGCGGGACGAACTAGGACGCTTGAAGATTAGCGGTAGTCCAATTCCTTCCAATGCTGTAACTTTGTAACCCCCACCGATTACCCGGTCCCAACTTTCCTGAACCCCCCCCTCCCTCTCTGTC